GTACAAATACATTATTTACGATTCTTTAACTCATAATGATAATAATATAATTTTAATTCTCTACAGTTAATTCTCTTAAGTACTACATCAATCATTTTGAAAATTCATTGAGGATTATTTTTACAAATTTACATAAGTTTATTAGTTTGACACCTTTACAATTAAATAATTCATTCATTTTGATGGTAGAAGGGTTTCGGTAGTAATAGCTAGTAATGAATTTCACTCTATATTTATCTAGCTTAGAACATGTGAATATGTAGTGAAATTCATCACCCAAGTCACATGAGAGACAGAGTGTGCAGGTGTGTTTTGAAAGATGCCTGCCTCTATAGGGAGTCTGTTGCTTCTGCATCGTAATTTGCTAAATGCTATCCTAAGTTGGGGTGGTAGTTCTACAAGGTAATTTTCAAGATGGAATATTGACTTAAATAGACGGTAGTTAATACATTTGTTACTGTTATTTATAGTACTTAGCCATGTTTGTATGAATTGGTCTCTGAGTTGTGTTTGGACTGTGTACTTTAACCATTGGCCATTGATGCATTGTGCCTGTATGTTCCAAACATAGGAGAGCCCAATATCATCCAGACATTGACTAATACTATTTAACCAATTATAGTTGTCTTGTGATTGGAATAATACCTCATACAGAGTTCGTGATAGTTTCGTCATAGGACTATTAATTATTTTATGCCAATAAATGATCATTCTCGTTTTTACAGTAAATGATAGAGGGTAGATACCCAGTTCCCCATATACCATACAGCATGGGGTAGACATTTTTATATTCATAATCATTTTACAGAATCTTAGTTGCAACCGTTCAATTTTTTCAATATTTGATTCAATAGCTATACCATATATACTTCACACCCATATAACATAATTGGTACAACTAGTGTCTGAAATAAATGTAATTGAGTATCTATGTCAAGGTATAGTTTTCTACTTTTCTGAACAAGAGAGAACATAGCTGCTGATGCCTTTGTTAAAAGGTAATTGATTGATTTTGAGAATGATCCATTATAATTAAACTTAATCCCCAGATAAATAAATTCATTAACAGTTTCTAAGCATTCATTTCCAAAGTATATTACAGGTTTATTCCTTACCATACCCCGGGAAAAAGCCATAACCTTTGTTTTTGTGGTATAAATCTGGAGTTTCCAAGTCGAGCAATAGTCAAGCATGCCAGTAACCCCTGTCTGCAGTTCTAATTCTGATTCTGCTAAAAGAATAGTGTCGTCAGCATAAAGCAATAAAAATAACTTAAGATATACACCAACATTTTCAAAGTCTGATTCCTTGATATTAAGACCCGAGTAACATTTTGACAAAAACAAAGACAAATCATTCAAGTAGATACAAAATAAAAGTGGGGATAGATTTTCGCCCTGCCTCACGCCGATGGAACAGTCAAATTCTTCTGACACAGTTTGATTTACCTTAACTCTAGATTTTGCTAGCTTATAGATATTTAATATTACTCTAAATAATTTTCCCTTTATTCCAGATTCGAGCACTTTCTGCCATAGCTCAAGTCTTGGGACAGAATCAAATGCTCGTCTGTAATAAAAAAAAGCAGGCGTATAGGCGTTTACCTTGTTTTAAGTACAGATTAATGAGGCAGTTTAGGTTGAAAATATGGTCGAGGGTAGAATGATGTTTTCTAAAACCTGTTTGCTCGGGGTTAACAATATATTCTGATTCTATATAGTTAGCTAATCTGGAGTTGATAACAGCAGTGAACAATTTACACAGACAACTTATGATTGTTATTCCTCTATAGTTGTTTGTATCTGTCTTACTGCCCTTGTTCTTGAAAATGGGATGTATAAGACCTGTTGCCCATTCAGTTGGCACTACCCCAGTATCAAGAACAATATTGAACAGATATTCTACAGATTGTATAGAGTTAATATAATACTTACTCTACAGATTATACAGAACCATTACTCACTGTACAGATTAAATAGAATTATATTACCCACTCTACAGATTGTATAGAATTAAATTGCTTAGTACAGATTATACAGAATCATTACTCACTGTGCAGATTATGAAATTGTACTCACCGTACAGATTATATAGAACTATAGTTATAATTCTATATTATCTGTACAGTGAGTAATGGTTCTGTATGATCTGTACAATGAGTAATATAATTCTATACAATATGTACAGTGAGTAATGGTTCTGTGAAATCTGTAGAGTAACTATTATAATTCTATACAATCTGTAGAGTGAGTAATAATTCTTTATAATCTGTACAGTGAGTTATGCTTCTGTATAATCTGTAGAGTAAGTATTATAACTCTATACAATCTGTAGAGTGAGTAATAATTCTTTATAATCTGTACAGTGGGTAATATATTACTCAATACTCACTGTACTATATAGAAATGTGTTACTCATTATACATATTATATCAGGAGATATTACTCACTCGTTGTACATATAATATAGAACCACATCATTTACTGGCACAGTACTGTTATCTACAAAATTTTCTTTATGAAAATGCTTTGCAAGGGTCAGTGTACAATGTCGCGTAACAAGTAAAAACATATTCATCATGTACGGATGGTGATAACACATAATGATATTAAGCAATTTCGATATATTCAGACGTTCAAATTAACAATAAATCTAGGATTCTATGAGATGTTAGATTGTATTGAAAATTGGAAATGAAATATTGGAATTAAATGGATATTTCCATCGTTAATGGTATTCTCGGTGGAGATTTCTTGTCTGTTTCTACAGTTAGCCTGACAATATTTACATCAATACGATCACCTGGGACTAGCTATCGAGTTGTTAAATCATGACTGATGTTTTCAATCCATTCTCAGGTTAAAAGTTTTGTCTCAAGGGAGAGAACTGAGTAATAGAGAAACAAAAGATCTAGTAGTTATTCGCGTTTAATGGCAGACAATTGGAATTTATCGCTGTTAATGGAGTGAGTAGTTGAAACATAGCAGTAACTTGAAAGAAACGATTATAAAACTTGATTAGTTATTATAAAAAGTTGATGGATTCCATATTAAGTTTTACATGATTTACTTGCCATGGATCTTGCAGACCACACTATTTGTTAGACAAAGTATAGTATCTTTTTTCTTTGGTGAAAACCCCGTGTCAGACTCGACCATTCCTCCCCACAGAATCATGATCTTATCCATTCTTATTCATTCAATTTATTATAGTTTAATGGGAAACATAGCGTAATCATCATTCAAAGTCGAGCAAATATCTGTTTCAGGTTCCAATCCACTTATTATCAAGGCTATAAAACGTATCGAGGATTTCAGTAATCCTTCAACTGAATATGAACGCAGAGGGTATGGAAATCTCTCGTATGTGTGTATTTTGAACATTGCATAAAATGCACATCAACCGATTTAATGAAACAAATCTAAACAGTTCGTCTTGATGCGTCGGTTGTCTCATTCTGTGTATTGCAGATAGCCTATCTCTATGGGAAGGGAGATCTACAGAATTACCACCTAAGGGCGGTACTGAGTCTAGCTGTGGCTCGATCAGACAAAGAGTCGACAAAAACAACCAGAAACGAGACAACCAACACAGTATCAAAGTTTCGGAATGACCGTTTCTGGAATACTTACTTCATCAAATTAAATCAATGTCTATATGTTTTTGTTTTATATATTGTCCAATGTTCATACATTCAGTTCAATAGTATTTTTTTATACCCGGATCATCCGGATATTTGATGCCATAGTGTAAATAGAGATTAACACAACCCCAGTCCAGCCTGTATAGTTACTATAATTGTTTACTGGCTATAAGTATATAATCTCCTTGAAATTGGTAATAACCAATGAATTGTGAATTATCACCCCATAATAATAAAAAAGGCTGCTTGTTTAAATTTTAAATCGCACCCGGATGTTTAGGCTGCAAACATGTTTTGTTTGCGATAGTAGTAATTCAAGGGAGATAACCTCTACGAAAATTCTTTCCAAATTTGAAGGGCGAAATAAAACCTTTTTGACAGTCAATTCACACAAACAAACTCAACAACTTCAACAATATTTTGAAAGACACAACGAACAGTAGCCAACAAACCTTTCTCTTTATTAGAATGTTTTAAAATATTAACAACTTTAACTACCATTGATCATTCATTATATTTATGAAATTAATAAGAATATTAATGTATTTTCTGATATTTAACATAAATGTCCATAAAATTTCGGATATATGAAAGCACTAATATTATCTTTTTTTCTAGATGGAGAGGCTAGAATTACTACAATCACTGTATAATGTCGTTGCAAATTTCAACGATAAAAAAAAACAACATTACATCTGGTGACGACATGTGTATATTGTGTTGAAACGTTATGTGCCCAACCTTATTAAAGAAGTGTGTTATATTCCATAATATTGTCTTGTGTTTTTGTTATATGTGTTCCTCGCTTCTATATGTCGTTCAATCTTATAAAAAACAACGTTCAACATTTCTTCTATTCGCCGTATTTTAATTATTTTAACAGATGAGGGATGATTCAGACTGGAAAATAAAAAAAAAACCTCTTCAACTCGTCTTGAATGTTATGTCAGTCAGTTTGGTTTAGAAGATGATTAGCACAACAGACGAATTATTTTCTAATGCATAGCCTTGCCCTTCCAGAACTATGTAAATAATTAACTCATTTGAACTCAATAAATTCATTATAATTTCTTTAAATGTTTCTAACTATTAATGTATAATATTTAGCAGCTTCTTTGGACTAAATGTTGTCTACAATTTCAACTTACATTACTGCTTCATAAATAGGCTATATTATTTTGAAATCGTCTGCAAAACGTTTTACTTGCATTTTGATCAAGACTACAGAAATCTTCCTTTCATGCAATTTGGAAGTTGAAGAAGACCATGTGTTTTGGCTGATTGCCATAAATATAGTAACATTATTAAACAAACTTTCGTTGAGAACAAAGAAAAGAAAGGGAATTGGATAGTCAATATGCGGGAAATTGTTCATATTCAAGCCGGGCAATGTGGCAATCAAATAGGATCAAAGGTAAGTAGTTTATATTTGGAATGTATATAATATAATTACGATTAAATTATTTTTAAATTTAGAATATACATATCAAATACTGTAATATTCATGTCTATTTCTATATGTCTTATATACAGACATGTATATAGTTAGTCATTTAAAAAACAAAACTGAATAGCACATACATCAATTTAAAAAAACACAATAAAATTTATATATAGTGTCTGAATGATAGTTAACGTCTACTCTAATGTAAATTTAGGACATGTAAGGTCATTCATATACAAACTCAGATACATGTAACCATTGAATTCAAATATATTGAGCAAACGACTCTTTCTGAGTACACTCTTTTTATGTTTTATTATATTATAATATAGTATCCTGAATTCTATCATCTTGAATGCAATAGTCACTATTCTTTTATCCTGAAATGCAGCGATATGATGGGATTGTAAGCCAGAGAATACAGATCACATCAGATCCCTCAAAACAGTATCGCTTATTGTTTATAAACTTTCTGTCGAGAGCTCGGATTGGCTATATTCGATAGCGTACAATCCAATCAAATCACTACATTGACAAACTTACTATACAATAGTATAATAGTGGCTATTGTATTAAAGGTATGAGATTAAGTTCGTAATAGCTTGACATTGTGAAGATGGAGTTTTATACCATACTATATAATACTCGTGAAACTGAAAAGGCAATTGAATGAACACGTGACAGTAAAAGATATTAGAAATTTCTCTTAATGTAGACCAAACAACGAAAATGCATCTATTACAGAACTAACAATTAGATAACACGGGCATATTCATATCTTTCGTTACACAATTTTGAGTCAATAAATTAAATGCAAGAGCGTCGTGTTTTCTATCAAAGTAGTAACTTCTTAATACAGCTTGCATCAAATTAACATATTTTCTCTGTGAGTCAGATAGTGAGAAAAATCTTGAAGAAAAATCTTGAAGAAAAATCTTGCATTTTTGTCATCCAATTATAGTAAAAGTATAATTCTGAAATAAATATTTTCTAACCTAGACCAACTAAAACCGTGTTCAATTAGTATTTTCTATTTACTAATCTTATAAAGCCACGAATAGACGAGGTACGGTGTCCGGTACGGTGTCCGGTACGGTGTCCTGTGTTGTAATGCGAAATAATAGATACAAACGAAAACAGAAGTAGTGAAAGCACGAACACCGTGAACACACGAAGCGAACACGATTCGTTTTTTCTTTTTTCTACTGTATTGATAATCTCGCACCGTACACCATACCTCGTCTATTCGGAACCAGTTACTAGCCGGTAACAAGTTACTTTTAAAATTTCTCGACCTACTACTCCCACATTGAATCATTGTATAACAAAACAATTATTGTGTATTTCTTCATGTAAAACTTTAATGACTCGGTGTCATTAATGACAGACGGTCACATTCCGTATGGAATGGCCAATATTGCATAGAAGGCCCGTTTACTTATGGTACGTATACCTAGACGCACGGCACATGGTTTTGTCATTAATTTCAATTCTGAATGATTTAAGATGACTATTGGACTCGTTTAATTTTTACCTTTTACCTCAAAGACAGAAAACGTTAACTTATTGAATACGATTTTGACAGGTATGTTTTATGCTTGTGATTCGATAGTTTCGAAATCTTTTTCTTTTACTGATTTGCCTTAAAGGGTATCTGCTAAAACGAACTTCAGAGACGAAATAACATTTGGTCGAGTACGATGCGCTGTTTTCAGGAAAAGTAGGCTACTGTTTACCCTATACACAATTTTAGTACAATTTATATAGTATAGCTCTATTCTCTGGGGTTTTTTTTCAGCATATAGGAACCTGAACAAAATAATTCAATTTCAACCAAATAGTTTGAATCACGCCCATACAATCAACTATAAATTGTATGGTCTAAGACATCGTATCACGAATACGGGTATTGGCATGGTCTTATTAACCCCGAGGAAGTATGATGAATGGGGGGTGTGCTTTGGACACTATGGGTCTAAGAGCGCATACAGTGACCAATGGGCATTAGAAAAAGACTTCCGACATAAACAGAACAGAGTGACGCTGGTAATGTGTAGACATGTAACATCACACGAAAACATTTCTACTTTGAAAATACATACATCTTTCAAAGTTATAAAAGACATTCTTTATTTAACAGGGGGCTTAATTAGCAGTAATCTTTGATTGGTCAATAAGATGACTGGGGATACTGAAATTCCAAGAAAGGTGTTGGTGATAGGTCTCGAATTTGTCCAAGGAAAATGCCACACCATTCAATTGTCATAGACTGTAGATTTGGGTTTAATGTAGAGCTGAAAGAATTTAAATATGTAAAGCAATTCAACTGTCACAAATAATTTTACATATGGAATTTTGAAAAAAATATTCATGACATTGCTTCCGTTTATCAACTTTATAACTAACGGTAGGTAGGTAGGTAGATGACAAGTTAACGTTCGCTTCCAGCGGATGCTGATATCGCAAACTAGGTAGTTGTTGGTTTATAACTAACAGTTGCCGCTAGAGGTTATAGCATTTTTAATGTTTACGAGTTAAATATCACACGCCAAATTCGCCAAATTAACCTTTTGACCTAACCAATCAAATTTAACTGGGTCAATTCGGAACATCCAATGGAAAGACGTGTTTTCTATTTTCGCTTTGATAAACTAGTCTATTGCTCCTGAAAATACACTTTTTGATCGCGTCACAAAACGACAACAGTATTGAAGGCGTAAATTTTGATTGGTTAAAGCAGGAAGTGACTATACTAAAAATAAAAAATAATAAAATAAAAACGGAACGAAAGTTGAGTCTAATTTTAATTAGACTGTATTTCACAAGGCTCCGTCAAAATTTCATTTATGACCACGAAGAAAAGAAACGTCACAAAAAACACGAAGTAACAACGACAAAGTCAGTTACATGTTAAAGCTATCTTGGACCATTCAGAACGTACTGAATGGTACAGCCTGGTGGAGCAACCACATTTGATGTCGCCTTTGGTTTTCAGATGTTTGCAACAAAACATAAGCTGAATATTTTTTAGCATTTAAATTGATCAAATCCCCATATGAATTCCATTATTTAAATCCATTCTAGTTCTGGGAAGTTATAAGTGATGAACATGGTATAGATCCAACTGGTATGTATCATGGTGACAGTCAGCTACAAATAGATAGAATCAATGTTTACTTCAATGAAGCATCAGGTAAATGTCCATAATCTCAATAAGTAAACAGGGCGTATCAAAACACGATATTGTTATCCCTTTGCATTGTATGACTTGCAAAAACGTTTTTTGCTCACTGCTCTTCCGTATTTTGTCTTTGAAAGTTGGTATCGTACTAGAAGCATGCTCTTAACGGACGTTGCGAGGTTATCTTTCCGTCACGCTATTTTTCAAAGGTTAATTTTATCATAAATTTTAAGGCGAGTCTCATGCCGAGAGTTGATTGAACCGTTGTCGCCGTGCATACATAAATTAACTCCAATCTTCTACCATGGGAATATGTATTGTTATAGCACAATCAAAGATTAAAAACCCATTGACTGTTTTTTTTTTTTCAGGGAACAAATTTGTTCCAAGAGCTTTACTTGTTGATCTGGAACCAGGTACAATGGATTCTGTCAGATCAGGGCCAATTGGAGCTTTATTTCGACCAGACAATTTCGTCTTTGGCCAATCTGGTGCTGGAAATAATTGGGCGAAGGGACATTACACTGAAGGCGCTGAGTTGATTGATGAAGTATTGGAGGCAATGAGGAGAGAAGCAGAGAATTGTGACTGTTTACAAGGTTTTCAGATGACCCATTCCCTTGGTGGTGGAACTGGCTCTGGTATGGGGACATTATTGATGAGCAAGATTCGCGAAGAGTATCCGGATCGTATCATGAACACATTCTCAGTTATGCCTTCACCAAAGGTCAGTATGGCATTTCATTATGTACTCTTCTAAAACACGAAATTCAAATAAAATGCAACTCGTATCAAATCTTGAATCCATGCGATGTATAACAATTTGGATGCGGCCTTATTTGTTTTAGATAAGATGTACCCTGTTTTTTCCTGTTTCATGGTAAGATCGTTCACCAAATAAGAATGTTCTGTTATGGGAATTTGATCTTCTTGAAACGCCTTATCATTTTTTCTATTAATTTATTGTTTATATATCATTCAGGTATCGGATACTGTTGTGGAACCATACAACGCTACCCTTGCTGTCCACCAACTTGTAGAGAACACCGATGAAACGTTTTGTATCGATAACGAAGCCTTGTATGATATCTGTTTCCGTACATTGAAACTGACAACCCCGACTTATGGAGACCTGAATCATTTAGTGTCCGCTACGATGTCTGGAATAACCACATGCTTACGATTTCCAGGACAACTTAACGCCGATCTCCGTAAACTAGCTGTAAACATGGTACCATTTCCACGTCTTCATTTCTTTATGCCTGGTTTTGCCCCTCTGACATCCCGAAAATCTCAACAATACAGATCGTTAACAGTACCAGAGTTGACCCAGCAGATATTTGACGCAAGAAACATGATGACTGCATGTGATCCCCGCCATGGAAAATATCTGACTATTGCTACTGTTATGAGAGGTCGAATGTCAATGAAAGAAGTAGATGAACACATGTTAAAGGTTCAAAATAAAAACAGTACATCTTTTGTTGAATGGATACCAAATAATGTTAAAATTGCAGTATGTGACATTCCTCCAAAGGGCTTAAAAATGTCCGCTACTTTTATTGGTAATAGTACCGCCATTCAAGAAATATTCAAACGGATCTCTGAACAATTTACTGCAATGTTCAAGCGAAAGGCTTTTCTTCATTGGTATACTGGTGAAGGTATGGATGAAATGGAATTTACTGAAGCTGAATCTAATATGAATGATTTAGTATCTGAGTACCAACAGTATCAGGATGCTGATGTTGGTGAAGATGAGGAGGAAGAGGAGAATTGAAGAATGAACCATGATGCTCAATATAAATTATGATGCTTAGCTGCTCAAATGTGTTTTCAGCTGAAAAGTTGCGTGTGTGCCTTTTGTCGTAGTATATGTTATAGCGTACAGTCGCTTGTTCGCGGTACTTAAACAAGAAAGATAAAACTAGGCCAAAATAACATTATTGTTAAGAAAATTTGATTTACATCATGGGCTCCTCCCCCAAGTCCATGCAATGATGATGTTTCTGTCACCACCAAATAAGTGTGTAAGAGCGTCATTATGGTCTGTATCAATAATAATTGATGCAGATGACACTCTGTAAAAGGGTGATTTTTTCGCTTAAGTTGCTTGCTTTACATGATATGGCTCAAGTCAGAATTACAATCCAAAATATGGTCCTTAAAAACAATAACAAACAAAAAACGTACCGCACTAGAGTAGAATGTCGCAGATAATTATCAGCATTCTCACATGAAGTTATTTCCCGAATGATGACATTATGGCTGTAGCAGCAAGTGAGATTGTTAATAGTGGCCTGGAAATGATGAAACTGAGAGACGGATTTTTAATTCTAAAAGGTAACAAGAATAGCTTAAATTAAGCACTATAAGCTTGTAAAGAAAGTAGTTTACTATGTTCTTTTCATGTTTATGGTGTTGTCACAGAATGTTTTTAGAGACTGTCAGTATGTCGGTGTTGAAGTAAAGTTTCTACCAGTTTGTTTTGTTGTCTACATTTCAACTTCAATTTGACACCCATATTGGCAAGTAAAAATCTAGGCTATGTGTATGTGTATGTTTATGACATATTCTTTTTGTGTAAAAAAAAAAGAAAAGTTTTTAAAATACACTTATTTAATGCTCGGAACTAAAAACCTTGCACAGATTTGACAAATGACGTGAATAAAAGTCTATTGACAGGAAGTTGTCCTAATTTATCTTCCACTGGTTGATGTACTGATTTCATATCTACTTCCACCCCACCGTTTACCATAAATCTTGTCAAATTTACTTTATTTAACACTCCTATTTAACAGCTCTGTGAAATAGTTTGCCAAGGGAAAGTATACTTCAGGTACAATAACTGAAAATACCTATGAGCTGGACATGGGAATTTGGCGAAATCAGTCTTTATGAAACATTTTACCACCATATTTATCAAACATTTTACCACCATAATTATAATCAAATCAGATCTCATACTAACGGTTGTGGAAAATAAATATGGTTTGTCTAAAAGGTTTTTTCACGGACCAAGTTATTCGTTGAGATGAGATCACGTCTTATTTTTTCCAAAAAAGGAAGGTCATGTAAAACAGATATTTGTCATATGTCTATATAAGTTTATGTATTATTTTACTGACCTAGTTAAGGAGTCAAGTCAGAGATTACTAACAAACATGACATTTATTAATCTTTAAAACAATTGTTTAAAAAACAGTCATGCTGTATTGCACAAAATATGACATCCAGGTGAATAGTTTATGAGGTTTGAATATGCTTTTTTCACAGCTCGTTCAAACTGTGAAGCTATAACTATCAAAATAACATCACATCATTTCTTTCGAAATGTCAAAAAACAGGGTCAGTTCGCCAGTGAATAAGGGCCTTCATAAAACACTGTCACGCATGCACACTAATATTGGAAGGAAGACTTAATAAGACATTAAATGTTTTATATTTACAATGTTACTTTGTCCTTTGTTGTCGTACACTCCAGGTTTTTGAGTTTATTACCCTCAGCAAGAGTTTAAAGTACAAGATTATAAAACAGGAGTAATGACTAGATTCTGTCACCGTATGGTCAATAATATATTAATTTGAAGAGTATTGCGAAGAAATTTTTGGTTTTACTTTAATATTTTAGAATGAGTCTGTTTTTTGGTTTATTTTCTTCCTTACGGAGGAATTTGAACACGATATGTTTCATTTCGTTCTTTCTTTTTGCTTTTTGTCATTTTTTTTGTTCAATGACTCCATATTAGATAGAAAGAAAGAAAAAATCGAAGGTAAACACTTGACATTTTTTTTATTATTATATAAGAACTTCGTCCGAAATACGAATTGCAGGTGAAGTTCTGTGATAAGTACACACAATTATGTCAACGCCCAAAGCTACTAAGGTCTGACTAAATTGAGCTTTGAATTGAATTTTTTTCTCTCATTTCTTAAATATTCAAAATAAAATATTCTACTTTATCATTGTCATTTGTCTAAGAATGTCATCGGGTCCATAGAAATATAAGGTTCAGGTTCAGCGATTTTACATTAGAAATAGACACACTTTCCTTCTAGAAAATTCACGTGAAAATTCCCCACAGTAAAATTATTTTTAACAAATAATATCTTTTCCTTTGGTGGACATTTTAATTAACCCAAAGACAATGTAATACTGACAGTAGTAGTATATTTCAGTTCATATGAAAATGATTGCCAAAATTCAATTCAGACAGCAGGGTAGTCAGAGAGTAGTCCGTGCTCATTTGGTAGTATTTGACAATCACCACTATGTTCTAAGCATGATATAATGTGTGGATTTTCATCTAAAGGTGTAACTTCTACCATCGCATTGTCGTCTGGTTCTATCTCAACACTTACAGAACTAGTGAATACATCATCTGATAAGGTATCAGATGAAGGAAGGGGTGTAACTCCAGATAATGGAACTTCACTTGATGTCCTAGAGGTGGATGAACTACAATCCAACTTTTTTTTGGGCATTGTTAGCTCTAAAAGTTTCCAGAACTTTTCTTCTTCTTTGGAAATTTCTCCAAGGGGCCATTTTATGTAAGTCACTGTGTCAATGATGGATTTCAAGTTTGAATCTACACTTTTCACGTGGTCAATATCTTCCAGTATTATTGGAATAATTTTATGTTTAAGTTTTAACATTTCATGTTGTGCTGTTTGATATTCTAGTCTACACCATTCGCTTTCTATATAGTTTGGTGTTAATATCATTATTGTCCTTCTGCTATTTTGTATTGCTTGAATAATACTGTTAGCGATGGCTGAAAAGAGACAAAGGTGAAATATCACAGATGTAGATATATCGTGCAACTCAACATTCATTCATTAATTTCTATTACACGTTCCATGTTGTCGGTTGCCAAATAAACGAATATAATCATAAAGTTGCAGTAGATATCCCAAAGGTACAAAGATGACCAGGATTGCCTCAAACGCCCCAGTAATTATCTTAATGGGACTTTTGTGTGACAAAAAGGAATAAGTATAAAATTTTATAGGAGATACTCTCTTATGGAAGCATTGGCCTAGATCACAAGTATGGACTGTGGATTTCAACATCGGAATACATCAATTTGATAGAAAATTGCCTACTTCTGGAGAGATTAACAAGATTAACAAATAATTCAGAAATGCAAAGATTTTTTTCGGGGAGTTAATGAAAGGGGATCTAATCAACCATGAATAATCCTCAGATTTTCATTCCTTTTGTAAGCAGTCACCAAACGTTTAGTATAAATGTTAGGGAATTCGTCCTGAAGTTCTTTATAATCAAGAATCACAGTATTAAATAAATAAATACATAAAAAAAGAAATAAATTAAATAAATAGATAAATTAAACAAATCAAATAATTTAAATTAAATAAAAATTAAATAAATTTTTTTAATCAAATTTACTAAATATAATCAAATAGATAAAATAAACTAAGTAAAAAAAAAAATAAATCAAATAGATTAACTAAATTTTAAAAAAATATATAAATCGAATGAATAAATAGACTAGAACTGTTCTAATAACAGTACTGATGCAGGGCGGGTTACGACATTTAGGTCCATACGAAGATGGTCTATTGCAATTACTTTATGTAATACTTTTCTGCATCTTTAAATGCAAATATCCAAAAGTGCCTGGAGTTTAAAGTATATTTACTAGGAATAAAAGAATATTTGTCAATTAATAAAGAATAAGTTTGATGAAATCCGGATAAGAAATAAAAAAGTTGGTAATGCGCATGCGCTCAACAAAAATTCAATATTTCCATCAAATTTAGAATTGAATTATACAAATACATACCAAGTTTGGTGAAATTCGGATAAAAAATAAGAAAGTCGGTAATGCGCATGCGCACAACAAAAATTATAAATTTCCATCAAATTTAGAATTGGAATATACACATACAAACCAAGTTTGGTGAAATTCGAATAAGAAATAAGAAAGTTGGTAATGCGTATGCGCACAACAAAAATTCAATATGTCCATCAAATTAAGAATTGGATTATTAACATACATACCAAGTTTTATGAAAATCGGAAAAGAAATAAGAAAGTTGGCAATGCGCATGCGCACTACTCAAATTTGATAATTCCATCAAATTTATACATACCAAGTTTGATGAAAATCGGATAAGAAATGAGAAAGTTGGCAATGCGCATGCGCACTTCGCAAATTCGATAATTCCATCAAATTTAGAATTTGTTTATACACATACATACCAAGTTTGGTGAAAATCGGATAAGAAATAAGAAAGTTGGCAATGCGCATGCGCACTACTCAAATTCGATAATTCCATCAAATTTAGAATTTGATTAAACACATACATATTAAGTTTGATGAAAATCGGATAGTAAATAAGAAAGTTGGCAATGCGCATGCGCACTACGCAAATTCGATAATTCCATCAAATTTAGAATTTGATTATACACATACATACCAAGTTTGATGAAAATCGGATAGTAAATAAGAAAGTTGGCAATGCGCATGCGCACTACGCAAATTCGATATATCCATCAATTTTACAATTGGATTATACAAATACATACCAAGTTTGGTGAAATTTGGATAAAAAATAAGAAAGTTGGGAAATTAAGTGGGGGTATGCCTTTAATGTGCTTCCGTAAGCTTAACTAACAGTATAACACGGTTCAATCCATCCTAGAACCTATTTATATACCTTGACTGGACACAAAACATTTTAAAGAAATATAAAAGGGAGGGTGTCTTTAAATTACTTAAATTTTGATTTATATTGGGGTTGACAGCCAGGTTAATCTAATTAGCCGATTTATCTAATAATAGTCCCATGTTAAGTGAATGGGTTTTCGAATTTGCATGTAAGGCATGCATGTTATATATCACTGGAAAGCTCAAGATCTCAGCATTATGAATCCGAATTATTTCTCTATCTCTAATAGGGCACATGTTAGGACATTTTAAAGATGCAGACTCAACTTTCAGTGACACACATACAACCAGAACCACGTGTCGGACATAAAAAAAATTAACATCATGTAAAAGCTGAAGTCAATAGTAATTATTAATGTAAATATCAACGTCATCCGAGGCCAAGTTCCTTTGGTAGAAGCGTTCAAAGTTTTAAGGAAATTGCAACATTTCCTTTAATGTGACTTTGACACGATCAAATGCCATATAAATTGAATCCATTTATAAAGTGCATTAATAATCTGAAAGTAGTATGTCGCTAAATCAATTAGGGTTTGAGATACAGCACTGCAAAAATGCCAAATTGACCATATTTAGACCCTTATAAAATCAGAATTTGTTGTTTGACCCCAAAGGTCAAAAGGTCGTGAGAAGGTCAAGGACAGCCTCTATCACCATGGTCAATATAAAGGTCATCAAAGATCAAGGTCATGAGTTATAAGCCTTCAAACTTTGGAAAAAAACATCAGGTCGTACAAAAAAGGCAAAACCGAAAATCAAAATTATGCTTCCTAACGATTGTAGATAGACATTAAACGTATCGTATGACACAAAAATTACGCAAATCAGATGAAAAATGGCCTCTGAATAGCAATTTCTGAAAAATGAATCAAACCAAAATGGCGGCCTAAATGTTACTTCCAGTGCGAATTTTTTTAATTTAATAAGTTTGTATTAAGGCTGGTAATATAATGGATATGTTATTTTTTAGATAACTCAATTTCACCGGAAGTGATACCACCGGAAGTACTAACATCGAAACCGGAAGTGATGAAATTTTTTTGAATAAGTGCTTTTATTCCACTATGCTGTCAGTCTACACCATGTAAGTTTCAAGTCAATCCGCCAAATAATAACCGAAATAGTATTTTTCGATTAATTTCGGCAAAAAAAAAAATTAGAACGAATTTTCGAAAATCGAAAATTTTCAACTGCTATCATATGTCCTTTGTTACAAGAATTACGATGAAGAAAACCCCATCAAAATCGGTTGAAAAACACGCCCTCTAGAGTCCATTTTCCGTTTGTTGCCAACGTTGCTAACGTTGCTCAGAAAGTTTTCGTTTTACATTTAAGCTGGGATTAGCCACGAGTTACGAAACGCCACGAAGTCCGTTTTCCCGTACCTGTTGCTGTTTCCGAGAAAACCGGCCTGCGCTGGATGCAAAAAAAAACTGTTATATATCTATGGAAAGCTGAGAATCTCTACATTACAAAATCTAAACAATTATTGCCATATCTCTATTAGGGACCGAGATATAGCACTTTAAAGGCTCAAAATGGTCCATATTTAGACCCCTGTAAAATCGGAAATAGGTATCTGACCCCAAAGGTCAAAAGGTCATCAGATAGACAAGGTCACAAATTATCATCATAGTAAATATGAAGGTTGTCAAAGGTCAAGGTCATGAGATATACGCCTTCAAACTTTGAAAAAAACAATCCGGTCGTACAAAAAAGGCAAACCCGAAAATAAAAATTATGCTTCCTATCATTTGTAGACAAACATTAAACAGATCGTTTGACACAAACGTTACGCAAATCGGATTAAAAATGAATTCTGGGAATCGATTTGGGCAAAAATGAGGCAAACCAATATGACGACAAACATGTTACTTCCGGTACGATTTTTTTTATAGTTTAAAAGGTTTGTATTAAGGCTGGTAATATAATGCACATGTTACTTTTGACATTAATCAATTCCACCGGAAGTGACGCCACCGGAAGTAGTAACATCGAAACCGGAAGTAATGAAAAAATTTTGAATGTGTGCTTTTATTCCACTTTGCTGGCGGTCTACACCATGTAAGTTTCAAGTCAATCCGCCAAAGAACAACCGAAATAGTATTTTTCGATTAATTTCGGCAAAAAAAAGTATGCAACGAAATCGAAATTTTTTAACAGCTATCATTTGCCCTTTGTTACAAGAAATACAATGAAAGAAACCCGATCAAAATCGGTTGATAAACATGCCCTCTAGAGGCGATTTTCTGTTTGTTGCTAACGTCGCTTCATGTTGCTCAGAAAATTTTCGTTTTACATTCATTCCACAATTCTCCACAGGTTAGAAAACATGGTGAAATCCGTTTTGCCGTACCCGTTGCCGTTTCCGAGAACTAAGCTCCCGGGATGAAGGAAAAACTAGAACTGTTCTAATAACAGTACTGATGCAGGGCGTGTTACGACATTTAGGTACATACGAAGATGGTTTATTGCAATTACATTGATGTAAATTCTTTGATTTCTATTGGGGTTGACAGCCAGGTTAATCTAATAAGCCGATTTATCTAATAATGGCCCCATGTTAAGTGAATGGAGTTTTGAATTTTCATGTAAGGTATGCATGTATTATATCTATGGACAGTTCAGAATCTGTACATTACAAAATCGAAAGAATTATTGCCATATTTCTATTAGGGACCGAGATATAGCACTTTAAAGGCTCAAAATGGTCCATATTTAGACTCCTATAAAATGGGAAAGAGTTGTCTGACCCCAAAGGTCAAAAGGTCATGAGATAGACAAGGTCACAAATTATCATCACAGTTAATATGAAGGTCATCAAAGGTCAAGGTCACGAGATATTTCAAACTTTGAAAAAAAACATCCGTTCGTATAAAAAAGGCAAAACCGAAAATCAAAATTTTGCTTCCCACGAATTTTAGACAAACATTTGTAGTATCGTTTGACACAAAAATGACATAAATCAGATAAAAAATGGCTTCTGAATAGGAATTTTCGCAAAATGAGGCAAACCAAAATGGCGGCCTAATTATTACTTCCGGTAAGTATTTTTTTAGTTTAATAGGTTTGTATTAATGACACTAATATCATGCATATGTTAGTTTGGGCATAACTCAATTCCAATAGAAGTGACGTCACCGGAAGTACTAGCTTCGAAACCGGAAGTGATGCAAAAATTTTGAATGCGTTTTTTTATTCCCCCATGCTGGCTGTCTACACTACATAAGTTTCAAATCTGTCCGACAAATAGCAACCGAAATAGCATATTTCGATTAATTTCGACAAAAAAAAGTATAGAACTTATTTTCGAAAATCAATTTTTTTCAACTGCCATCATGTGCCCATTGTTATAAGATGTAGAATAAAGGAAACCCGAGCAAAATCGGTCGATAATTACACCCACTAGAGCCCACTTTCTGTTTGTTGCTAACGTCGCTTCATGTTGCTCAGAAAATTTTCGTTTTACATGCAGTACGCAGTTAGCCACGAGTTAGAAAGTGTGGCGAAATCCTTTTCCATACCTGTTGCTGTTTCCGAGAACTGAGCTCCCGGAGTGAAGAAAAAAAAAATAGCCAGAACGAAAACAAAGAACGCCCTGCAAAAAAAATAAACAGTTAGAAAACAATGCAAGGGCATTCGTTTTACGAACGCCCTGCAATAAATAAATTTATTAAACTAACTCACCTTCCCCTGGCAAGAAGTCTCTAAAATGGAGACACAATTTGAAGTCAAGTTCCTTTTCGAGCTTTGGGTAAAGCTTCTGGACAACAAATTGTTCATCTGACTTTGATGATTTATAAGATATAAAGGCATCATATTCCTTTCCGTCTGAAATGAGTAAATGTCGTGATTTATTAAATATTGTCTGGTCTGTTCATAATAAGGGGTCGAAAAGATTCATTTGCGCTTACATCAGACATAACATAAATTTACGTAACCTCATACCCTTGCATTGCATATGAAAAGAATATGCGAACACTAGATGTTTAACAATTTCTATTTTGGAGGGGTTTTTTAATCACTTAGTAGATACATCATTGTGAATTATATTTAAAAAAAAAACACCAGCAATAGGAGAGATCAGCAATGACATCATTGACTATAATATACAATCACTTACTGTTGTAAGAGTAGTTTGTCCTACCATTTTTCCTACTCAAGCTTGATACGCATTCTATTTTTAGCTTATTATGGCTAAGCTGATCCCTCTTGTTAATCATCTTTGGAAATAATTTATTAGTTACTTACCATCGTCTTCATAATGTTGAAAATAATACACAAGTTTACGCATTGGTATCCATTGTTTACGGTATAAATAATACGGTATTAGAATCAATAGCATCAGAAGTACAACAAGTAAACCAAAACAAATTCCTATCACAGACCAAGGTGTGTTGGTGACTTTAATAGTTGTAGCACCTGCGAAAAAAAAACAAAAAAAAAACAATGGAGTTTTGTTTGAAGTAAAATAACATCAAATTCCGGCTGAGTGAAATGATATAATTTTTAAATTCAGTTAGTCACTATAAACCATTGTTTGGATGAAAATAACTCTGAAATTAGGCCTTTTATAAAAATCAACTGCAAAAATAACAGGATTCATGAAAAAAACGAAAACTAATAGTAGTATGTTTTTATTCATGGCGATCTGAAACATGGCTGCGGCCGTTATTGTTTCGTCCAGGTAAAATATGCCGCCACGAACATTGGCGTTAAAAAATGGCTTCCCTGGCTTTGAGTGCATTAAACACTGCGTCTTTGGTTGTACAACTGTTTTTTGGTTTTTTTTTTATTTTTTAAGCAACAATGGGCTTCAAATGCCATTTTCAAATATAAATAGGTGAATTAGAAAGTAAGTAATATTTATTTCAGATTAAAGAAATAATCAATTACAAACTCAATGTACCATATTCATCCTAGTCACGACAGTATGTTCTATGCGCTGGAGCCAGAGAAAAAGATGTGTTTGTGGGTTTTAATTCTGTCCAATCGCTTCAGATGGTATCAACGATTAGACAAGACCACCTTATTATTTCCTTTATTGGTAGACACGAAAAATATCAGATTAAAATACAGTGCATAAATAAATAAAAAAAATAAATGTTAAGATTCGGTGCATATATGTTCTAGTTTAAATTTACTTCTTATTTAATGTTTAGATATTTCCATATAAACAAAAAAAAAAAAAACGAATGTTCCTCATAAAATGATTGTAACTACATGTGTGACGGGATTAAATGTGAGAAACATCATCTTACTGGTTTATGACGTGTTACGCTTCACCTTAACAATTTTATATGTGCCAAAGAAGTAATGGATTGTGCTGATGGTTAATTTTATTTCAAAGTCGCTCTCTTTTAGATAGAGCGGCATATTTTGTTTCATGAAAATACGCTTTAAAATTAACAATGAGGACTTCTTTCATACTGCAAATATAAACTCAAGGCAAAAAAAACTTTACCACTTTAAAAGTGACTTTTAACAAAAGGTATATGTCAAGTTCAAAACTTATCCACCCAAATTACAAACACAACAATAACGTTTGTAGAAACTATACCCGATCACTGCTCATTGTGGTGGGAAAATCTCAAAATTGTGAAAATCACGTAGTCCTTGAATAAACAAAAGTGCATGAGCAGCAAGGATATAAAAATGAATTGAGTTATTTGTCAGGCTTACACAACATTAAAAAAACACAAGATGACTGACAAAGCAACAATTCGAACAAGCTCTGATATGTTAGGTCACAGAGTTAGTTGACAGACCATGTCCATACGACTCTGAAGTCAAGGAATCGGGGCTCATAGGCCGTACATAGAACAGGCATTTATAGCTGAACATCATCGATTTGGACAGACCCTCACTGTACGACGATAACTGGTCGAGGTTTTTCTTCAGTTCTGTCGGTCGGTTCTGTATGTTCAGAGATGTGGACTTACAGCGGTTTTCCGTTTGACAGTTGACAGCCCAGTTTTTATACCCCACACCACTTTGTGCGACTCTGACGTCATAGCTGATAGCTATGCGTATGTCTTTTGTTGTACTGGTTTCGTTGACGTATCAATCTGTTTAAAACATTTCAATCCAACCATTTATATTGTGTGTGTTTTAATCTAGGCTGTTTTCAAATCTTGGTGAAGTTTCTTTTGGCCTTCAGCTTATCTTCAAAATTCTGGGTGTAAATATTTGTAAGTTGAATAACCTAAAACGTGTATTAATATAGAAATATTGCAAGTCGTTGGGTCTAATCGAAATGTCTATCTGTAAGTTTTCAGATCAATCGAAATCAAATTGTGAAATTTATTTCGCATTATTTTTGATCTACGAGTAAGCATCAAAAGTCGAAATTAGAAAACTCTCAAATTGCAATTGAGTAGTTATTTGTACAAAGATACAGAGGATTTGTAAGAATGGGAAGCTCGCGAACAGTATTTCCAAAACGCTTTCTGGTGAAATAGCTAGAAACATTTTATAATAGTATTCATTGTAAACCCAATATTACGTGGACTAGTGGAATCGAAATTTCCGCCTGTGGAATCCGAAATTTAAACTTGTGGAATCCGAAATTTCGACTTGTGGTATGCAAAAGTTCGACTTGTGCAAGATATATTCAGAAAAGTAAAAATATTTTTTTTTTCCATTTTTAGGCTTACATAAAAGGCTTTCGTAGTGTTTGCGATCTAGCACTAGCTAGTAATACAGTTTATATTTTAATATTATGTAACGTATATGCCCCTAGGCACAAGCGGTGTACAGTCAGTATACAATTACGTCATGAATAGACTAAAAAAGTTTATTTGTCAGTTACATCCGATTTTGATTAACGATCTTGGTTTATTTAAAGACAGAGTTTAACAAATTTACAAGATAGCTTACCAGGCAAGGTAATATACGCCCACTGGCAGCATTGATTTTCAATAAAAATATTTGGTACAGTAACAATTACCAGTATATGAAATATTCAACCTTCAGACATACACTTCTTTTGATATTTTTGGGGCGATACTCAGGGGCGCAGATCGCTTTTTCTGACTTTCAATAGGTTCATCCTACAAACTATCATACGAAGTTTCGTCAAAATCTGTCAAGAATTGTGCCTTCTGACGGACATGGATGACGCCCCCCCCCCCCCTTCTCCCCCCCCCCCCTTATTTCACCCGGGCGTACACAAATGATTTATTAAAATATTTGTATGAAATAGTTAAAGAGATATGAACTACGAACACATTGCGCCTTTTAGAATAAGAACTCGTGTTCAATTGCTTAATTCTTGCAAAAAAAAATGGAAAACAAATAAAGTTTGATAAAGATAAGAACTATAGGTAGCTGAAATGAAGCTCTGGACTGAAGAAAAAGCAATATGTCAATTACATTTTTTACAATGAATTATATAATACGTGTATACCAAACATTTTGGGTATTCAATGGTACTGGAGGGTATAGTGTAAGTATTTTCTGCTATACATAAACCAATTATAATGGAATTTTATTGCCATGCACCTTACTTCTAATGAAGAGATTCAAGGGACACGGTCGCAATCCGTTTGACCAGTCATACGTTAGTCTCGGAATGGGAATAGTTTAGATAAGCCAATCAATTATAGTTTTAACAGCTCATCGTCGAAATTTGAGCTTTCAAATCCATATGTGTCCAAAATTATCTGTGTTTAAAAGTGAGAAGGAATTGTAAAGAGGTTTTATAAAAAATTGTTTATGTATATCGGGGGACAATTTTCACCATTCTAAATTTTAATCAGACGTCTATGTATGGCTCCTGCAATCTAAGTGTTTGATAACATCATTAATCGTGTATGTGATACAAACATATTTTACGATTAGTGATGCATGGTTCTCTGACTGAAATTTGGAATGGTGTCCCCGATACATATACAAATTCTCAGGAAACTTCTTACAATCCCTTTAATACTCCGCCATACGTTGAAAAACATATTTACATATATTCAAGACTCCAATCAACCTCCGAAAATGGCGAACTATGGTCTTTAACTAGCTATTGAATACCAGGATACAATTCGATATACATAGCTTATAATTATCTTAGTTAAGGTTACAATTTAATAAAAACAGAATATATATATATTTGTGTATGATTGATGAATGATTGATGAGTAAATCGTTTAATTTGTCATAGTGTTACAGTAGATGATAAAGTATAAAATTGAAACGCTACTAAAAATAGTAAAAAGGACTAAAATCGTATTTTTTTTATTGTGTAACATATATTTTATATTTATTTCTGCGTCGAAAGATGATTTCCCATATTTAAAAACTCAGTGTGTCTGAATCTATACCTTTTCCGAATATTAAAGGAAATGACAAAATTACCATTATTTATTACGAGCGTGATACAAACGGGGTGGACTACGAGAGCCACCGGACGCGGATTGGGGGTCCAAAGGGCTCTTTGATATCCAGAAAAATGATTATAGGTAGTTCGAGGGCAAGAATGTTGGAAGTTATCTTAATTTTCCCACTAAGAGTAGTATTTAACGGTCAGTTGGGTATTTGGGTGGAATCCGTGGAAACAAAGTGTGGCTACCATTTTAAGTTTATTTCAATGTAAAAAAATATTTGTGGTCTGATTGCAATTTTATTAATAATTTAATATTTGTAGTCTAAATCCAATTGGTCTGGATAATCTTGCATTTTTATATTGTCTATGGAATTGACATTTATGTCTGGAGGAAAAAAACTATTGTTCCTAGATGATTAGAACTTCCTGTTGAAAATAAGCACATGGATGCTATAAAAACTTTTTGTTAATATTTAGCTCGTTTTGAGAGTTCTGTTGGTTTGACAGCAGTTTGGAACTGTTTTTTCTAACCAGTTGCGGTTCTCAGTCGCAGTTGCAGTTGCGGTTCTCAGTCGCAGTTACAGTTGCGGTTCTCGTTCTCAGTGACAGTGAGCTTGTAACTTTATCAATATTATTCATTGATTTCATGGTGTGAGACGATTTGATTTGAACTGTGTTATAAGCCGTTCCTGTATTTCATCATAAATAAACCTAATTTGTTGAACTATTATATTTGATTATTTTTTATATCAAAAGACAATCCCTACGTCTTAATACGTGGCAATGTCCTGATGAATTGCCTGGATATCGGGACACAAAGTTTTATGTGGCACTAAATATTCACCAATACCGAATCGGTTATCATATCGATAATTTATTAGGCGGCATTTTCTTCTCTTCAAATAGTTAAACAAAAAATTATAATCTCATATCTTGACGTTTCCTTGAGCAGTTCAGTGGTACCCAAATCCCAAAATATGTCTCGAGTCTGAAAATGTCATATTTTATATAAACAGATCTGAGTAATTTTTGTCCACCCAAAAATTGACATATTTTGAAAGCATATGCTTATCAAAGGTCAAAAAGACGTACACTGTTTACTTCTTTCCTTGTCTAAGACATAAAGGGTATATTTTATAGGTGGAAAAGTCGGTAACCTGTCAGGTTCAGTAATGTTAACAATATTTTACTTACTAGTTGAATGTTTATATGTCACTTAACAGGTTAATGGGAACGGCGTATTCTAGTTTTTAACCTCACTACTAATTTGTTTGATGAACACCTGATGCCCTTTTTACGACTTAAAATGTTGGGCTTTGCATCACGTCCAGAGAGTCCATATGACTTAAAACGTTCAATAATTGTCATTTTCATTCTAACTAAAATGTAGATCTAGATTTTTTTGTTTAGTGTTTTCTGCGCCCATGATCTGACAAGATTCTTCTTAAAAACAAGTTCTATAGAATTTGACTCAAAGTACCGGTACTGAATTTATGCTAACCAATTAAAATCACTGTGGTAAAATGTGATAAATGATACCAGTAATTATTGTTTAACTATTGACATTTGAATGATTGAATATTATTTTAAATGACTCATTTATATAACCAATATTGAATGTTGAATATCATTTCAAATGTTCCTATTTAAGCAAAAATGCCAAAAGGCCAAATGGCGTATGTTACCTGGCATAGCAAACTTTCTAAACCTATTTTTATTTAATTTAAAAAATTAGTAAAAAACAATCTAATAAATTCTTAGCTAGATGGAGCTCCTTATAAAATGGCGTTTCTTTATACCGTTGTGTATTGTTTAGTTTACGTAATAATTCATTAAAACAATCCAATAAACATCTTACATGACATAACAACACATCTCTTCTGAATAAGACATTTTAATTTTCAATTTTCTGTGATATATCTTCAAACTTAATTTGGTAATGGTAACTTTGTCTCATAAATCAAGGCCGATATTTGATAAAAAGTAATTATCCGAGAACTATGCAAATTTCAGACAAGTTAAAGTGATTGTATAGAGTTTTTTTTATGTTTATAGGGGACATTTTCAGTATCGATTGCACCATTCCAATTTTCAGTCAGACGTACGTAATTTCTGCAATCCCACTAACTAATAAATCGATGCTTAAAGTACCCCAATACACGTTAAGGTACTATATTCGAACGGGTTGCAATCAAGGGGTACCAGCTGTAATATAGGCATAAATACCATAATTACCAGGAGACCTTTGTTTGTCAAAACGATCCTGCCTTACGCCTTTTTCTCGTAAAAAAGGTGAAAACAATTATGATCTTAACAACTATTTTGTTTGACTTTCAGGGGTGTGCAACCTTTCACTGAAAGGGTCAGAGACATGACAAAATGACCAGGCCACACTTAATAATAATATCAATGATATTTAATCCGATTTTCACTCTCCAACTTGCGACGCTTGGGTTGAGATGTTGCCATTCCAAAATCAAGAAGTTTTTGCATACTCAAATTGTAGCTTTCAATGTTTGTACCTCTGTAAGGTATAGCTAGATATAACAGCTGCTATAGTATAGAACTTATCAGCGTTGCCAGGTCCCCGGTCAACTACGACTAACCTGAAGTAAATTCACGACCAACTATGGGTTTTGCAAAATGAGTGGAATTCCACCGCTTGTTCACCGACAAGTAAAACTCAACTAACGTAGTAACAGTGTTCAATTATCAATCCTCATATTCATAATGCATATCATGGTCAGCAAAACGTGTATGATGATACGCATGTTGAGGAAACGTTTTTAGTGCAAATGAATGCAAAGCTTTTAGAAAAATTTACATAGATTAATGTTTTGTTCTTGAGACATCTCGCGGGCCGCAAAAACATTACGCATGCGGCTCGCGGGCCGTAGGTTGCCCACCCCTGTCTATAACTAACATCAAGAGTTACTTCTAGGAGATCGAAATAATTGTATGTTATGGTAGTTCAATATAAATTGAATCAAAATAAATAAATAGACCTCTTACACATGGAAAGGCTTATCTTATCTAAAATTCTAGTGCTTATTCTTCTTGTAGTTTATAATGATGTTTTTACGACACTCGAGGTTCCTGATAATCCAGAGGAAGTAAATCTACAATTCTTATGATATAAAAAAGGCTACAATTGTATATTAGGAATATCTTATCCATAGGACATTGATAATATATAGCATATATTGGTGAGTATGCAATAATACAATACCACTAATGTGAAGTACGCTAACATGGTATTACTAAAACGAGTTTTTAGATTATAATAATTATATTCTTGTAGAATATAATGTAGAGTACGCTACGCTTTTAAGGTTATAACTAATTTTCATTTTATTATTTATGAAAATTCGCAGCTTATAGAGTTAAACACCTACCGATACCTAAAAAATATCACTTGTGCGATAATTCGGAAAATAAATGTAAGGTCACAGTTAAATTTTTTAAGGATCTGCCAATGTTATAAACCTTAATTGCAAATACGTGTAAGACGGACAGGTCGAAGGTCGGGAGAACACCTTCAAAAGAGAACATACGTTCACATTATAATACAGACGCACAAAAATAGTTTACCTTTCATTAGATTCATAGAAGGATCATGCGTTTCACAATTGACACCAGTGTAATTCCAATAACAAGCACATACTTCTGTTTCATGTTTTACACATTTACCATGATCACCACAGTTTAATAAACAGGGTTCATTACAGAAATGACCAGTCCAATTCTTAAAGCATTCGCAAGAAACGCCAGATTTGCCTGATTCAATCACACAGAAGCCGTTCTTACAGTCAAATCCCAGAGGACAAGTTGTGTTTTCTGCTCCCATGTCAATATTTCGAGCGCACCGAGGTTGGTAGTCTTTACCAAGAATGCATTTTCCATCATAACAATTATTACAATTATTTCTTACTCGAGTTAAATTTTTCAGTATGGATTCACTTTTGACCAATCGCGAAATAACATTTTTGATAGATGAAGCTATAGTAGTAATGGAAGTTCCCTGAGTCTCATTACCACTAATGTGAGTGGTAACTGAATTGTTTAACCTGAGTGGATTGGATGGAGATGAAATGACTGGTGGTGGTACTAATGGCGATACTGAAGGAAATTGAAGAATCTCTAAAGTTGTTCCTCGTGGATCCAGAGTTGTTGAATGTGATAGAGAAGTTTCAGACGAGGAGTCCGTATGGTTGGAATCATCATCAGTTTCAACGAATGATGCATATAGTTTTGGAATGGCAGTTGGTGGTAAAGTTGATGGTAGTGTTGTAGTAGTAGCTATAGTCGATGCACCGGATGTTAATAATTTAATTACCTGCGTACACCAATAGCCATCTGCAGCAGTTGCACAAACACAAAGCTGAACACAAATATTAATATCTAAAACACAATCACCGTATGTGTTACAGATGGTTGGGAACACAGTACAGCATGAATCCTCACTTTTCGTTGTCTGATTCACTAATCTATTGTCTCTTCTAAATCTTGACGGATCCATATCATAAAATCGGGAATATTTACCATCAGACTTAGATGATTCTCCATTATGGAACGCTGTAGATGTGGGAAATTTCTGTGATTCAAGAACTAAAACTAACATCAAACAAGACCAAACTTTACAATATCTCATTTTAAATCCACTGGTTTAAAAACAGTCTTATGATCATTATGTGATCATTCTCTCAAACCATCCTTACTAAAATAATTCAACGAAGGATTGCCAAAAGATAAAACATGATTGTAAGTCCTTATACATCTAAATAAAACATAATGAGTTATTGTTATTTTTCGTCTTTATCTATTCCTAATTCACAAATATTGTAAGTCTTAAGACATTAACATTCCATTAACTTTTCTTGTGTCACAAAGCGGTCACAGTAGAGTAGCCCTAATCATATCGGAAGAATGTACAAATTTCTCAATCCACAAGAATGGACAAATTTTACATTATATAAGATCGTACAATAAAAACTATGAAATCTATATCATGTCATATAGCGCCACCTATAAAATCAAAACAAAATATATGTTCTCCTCATAGCGGTTCAAATCCCAATGGACAAATGCTTCCCGTGTTACCAACAACTTTCAAGTTTTCTATTAATGGCCATATTACTACGCAGCTAATATAGTTCGACAACATGTTTTTCACTTAGATATTGAAGGTAATACATATTTGGGTTTCATAAAACGCATCACATTAACTAAGCAACGTTAAATGACCAACTCTTGTCGAAGGGGTCTTTGACGCGAAACGTGTTTTTTTGTTAATTAATCCGCAGTGTCTACTTTAGTACAAAACCGAGTGTTGGTGAAATATGTCACTCATCAACATTAAAATGACAAGTGTGTCAGGTAGAAAGGTGAAACAACAAGTCTACTATCACACTTTTAACATTAAGTCAGCTTCAAAAAACCTTTCACAGCAGAAAACGGTCACTACGTGATCAAATAATTTTGTTTCAGAACTGAAGTTTCTTTTAAAGCAGAACTAGAGGAAGTAGATGATATTTTGGTTTGTGTTATACGCCAAATAATACGAAACAACGGCCTGACATAATTACTAGAATATGATAACGAATTAAGTTGGCCGACATGACATCGTAAGAGTCGTGGTTAAAACAAACGGGAAACATGCGACGTTCTGACGTAAACAAAGTCAAGAGAATGTAGTGTCTCAATCTCTTTTCAACAGATTGCATAGAAAGAATGTTCTCAACCACAAAGGGAAAATTGTGTAGGCTACATTGGTAGATGAGTCCCGGCTTATAAGCATGAGTGGCGAATCGATTGTTGTCTCAGACCTTCTCCATGATGGCGCTATTGGGGATTGCAAACTTATTTGGCTTGTTCAAATTACATTACAGCAAGCAAAAAACACGTGTACATGTGAAATGAAAGCTTAGTTGAAATATGAATAATCCCTATTATTTTGCGATTTACCGCCCTATGTCATTTAGCTGTATGAGCAACTTCAGCTATAAACTTCCTCGATACACAGACCAAAAAACCCTTTGAATCAAATTAAATTGGTCAAGTATTAGATCCTGTATCAAGTTTCAAAAACTTTGTAACGTTTGAAAGTATTTATTATCAAAACAATTATTTTATAATAGACATGAATGTGTAATTATTAAGGCTGCAATGATTCACCGATGAATTGATGAACTGCGATTCTTTCCTTCTTCTCGATGCATTGCGTTGGATAAAAATAATCTTGATTTATCCGCACGATTAATTCTTAGTGCCCTTTAATAACCAATGACACAGAATCCTTGTATAAGAGATTGTGTCATGTTTTCATTTTCCAAGTATGATTTTCACATCAGAATTTGCAAAATTCATTTCTGACTTTAAAAATTGAGATTTTTGTCACAATCCCTTACTTCTAAATGTTCTCAGGTGCTTAATAGTGACAAACTTGTTAGTAATTTTAGAAATTTCTACTATTTTTTCTCTTTCATTCTCTAATAAATTAATCGTGATAATTATCGCAATAAATCATATTGTTGGATGAATATCGTTTAGTGTATCGAATCGTAACTTCGAGAATCGTTACAGCCCTATTAATTATCGTTCATTACATTTGAGAACATGTGACGAAATCTTGATAATAAAACAAATTGTAGTGATCAGGGTAAAAAACCAAAGGTTGAAATACCCAAAGTAGATGCAGTAATCTCACAGATATAAGGTATTTTGTAATCACACGGTAAAGCTGTAAATGTGTAGTTAGTACCAAGCTTGTTTATAGCTCTACAATCCCCACTACCATCAACAACTTCTTCGGATTCTGTTTGATTCGTCAACTTGACCATAAACGGTAGATCTTCTCTCATCAATTCTGAAACAATGTTGTTTATAAACAAGATCACACATAGGATGATATTAATTTGTCTCAGCTTATAAATCTGATAATCAGACGACCATAGTTCTATAGATCAACCAGAACATCAGAAGTTGTAATTGCTATATTATGTTGCGCTTCACTAGCTGATTGAATTGAATTTAAATCTATGTCATTATTCAAAATAAACCAACATTCCTGCCAGGCATAGCCAATCACATCGTAAAATCGACAATCTGCATGTTAGAATTCTAGTAACGGCCTGAAGTCGACGAAAGTATAATTTGAGTGCATCGTTTTTTTTATTGGATTTTAGCGAACCGGGCTCTTTGTTCTGAAAAGTGATTGATGTAGAAAAAAACTAATCAGAAGATACTGTTTTCATACCTATGCAAGTATTTATATGAACCTGGGTTTTCTTCGCTCAGATATTACTGTAATTGCGGTTCTTAAAATTTTAGTGTTCACTTAACCAAACATCATCTTTATAAGTAGATGGGTGATCTTTTTATAGTAGAGACGCCTGTTTAGTTTTACCCTCTGTTTACAAGAGAGGCTCCGGTACTTACTACGATTGTTTGTTAGTGCATTCTGTATAGTGTCTGTTTTATTCTGCATATCAATAGACACTAAGCTGCCCCCTTCTCCATTACAATAATCTTCAGCATTGGAACTATTCAATCGTCTTAGGAAATGGTATCTTAGAGCTACTCCCAAATCGGGATGCCATCTGTAACCATGTGGTAAACTGATGGTGTTCTTCTGGAGCACTAAAAATTAAGGATAAACATGTATTAAGGAATTAAACATGTCTATAATATGTGACTTGAAATTCACAATGTCTTCACGATCTGCTTTTATAACCTGTTTACAGTTGCCACTTTTCGTGAATTACGGAAGTTTGTAAATACGGCCGTTTGATTGGATAGTACACCGAATACAGGACACTGATTGGCTGTGATCGTTAGAGTACAATCCAATCAAATCACTGGATTTAAAAGCCAGTCATTCCGAACGTGTACACCGTCAAGCAAGGAATCTTTTACTTTATCGGATCGTTAGTCCTTGGTTTATTTACTTTTTTTGTCCTATATATATGGCATATTGGAACAACATATTTGAAATAACACTAAATTGTGTACTTACTTTCATACAGGTTATAGTGGTAAAAATGACCATTGAAATGTGCAATAGAGATTTCCTTATACGTCCATATTTCATCTGATAGTTGACACATTTCTGTAACATTGGAATAGGATAACGAACCACAAGTGACATCATCCAGACAGTGTAATGCACAAGTCATCTTATCTGGTATAAAAGAAATTGGTTCTAGTGGTGGCATGTATCCATCCATTGGTTTATACCTGTACATCATAAAGTCGCGTTGTTTCTGCTTTCCGCCATGGGCATAGACGACCATTACCAGAAGCACGAATGCCACTTTCATGTCAATTTTTACAAGGTGCTGATAGTATTGTAATAAAATTCAAAGTAATTCAGATTAAGAATCGCTGTTATTTATAGCCTATGACATCCGAGTCAAATTGTTAATATTGACTTTCTTGTTTTTTAGTAAAATATTTATCTACCACTTCGGGTTTAATACGAAATGATAATTTCCATTTAGTTTTTATTTGATTCCATATTTATTTTTCATTTGTAAACAAAAGAACCAATGACTTCAGTAGGTATCGAATTTAGATGTGTTTCTAAACCATCACCCACTGAGATGTTATGTTCTTCATATTGTTTGGTAAGCTAAGATAGTCTATCTGCCGTTACACCATAGTAGGCTACGATAACACGGTCATCATCTCATAGACTCTATTCTGGTCAATACCGCATATTTGTGTTCATTTACAATGCTCTACTTTTTATCTATATTTATTTTGTTCGATAAAACTTTAAAAACATTTTCAAACAAGCCGTCTACTACACAAAGTACCATTTCTGACCTACATCTTTGCTTTTTGTTGTTAATTTACATACCGGTATATTATAGGGTAGGCCCTAACATGACTATAATGTATGAGCTCTAGTTAGTAAATCCATTTAATGAGGCCCTGTCTACTTCCCGTTTCTGCTTTAGGTATGCTCTAACAACCATACTTGGTTGCTCAAGATCATAGATCTGTGCTTGGTACAATGCCAATGATATTTTTTGAGAGATCAGAATATTCCAATGGTATTTCAATCATTAATGGTACAAGGGAGGTAAATCTTTATTTTTTTTTTCTTTGTGACTACATATAATTTATGTCCATAAATATTATTTAGATGTGAAAGTAGAAACAGAATAGTATGATAACATCTTTTAATTAATGAAAATGTGATATTATTATCGTTATCATTAATATTTAGCCTATAATAAACATTATAACGAATATCAGAGAAATGAACAAAACGTCAATATTGTGATGCGAATCATCCCGGAAGTAGTATGCGGAAGTGAACACGACAGTTTGGTCATAACGAGTCAACATGGCGGACAGTTCAGAAAATTCTGGATCTTCTAAGATTAAAATTACTGTTAAAACTCCTAAAGAAAAACATGAAATAGAATTAGAAGCCGATGGTGGAATAAAAGAAGTAAGTTCTACCCTTGTTTAGTATGGTTAATCTTTTTTACAGCTTCTTAGAACACTTGCTGACTGAATTACTACCCATCGACTGCGTAAAAAAAATCAGCTCATAAAATTTTCTGTTAAAATCGGGAAGACTATCCCTCAATTTTGATTAAGGCAGATTATGAATATCTTGATCTGCCCTATTTGATTATATCAGAACCTATGATCTACAAATTCAGAACCTTATTAATATGTTGTCTATAATTGTTGAATATTGATGCTGGAGTTTCATAGGCTTAAGCCATGATTATGCAGTTTTGTGATCATTCCCCAACTGTTTTTTATTGCTTATGGGTAAACAGAAGTATGAACTATATAGCTTTGAAGAAACTCATTTATTTACAACAACCATGATCCAAATTTCTGCTTCCACTATATTAGAAAAAGTGTTTCATATTTGTGGTTTACAAACTACTAATTGAAAAAGTCAAAAGGACCCCTTGAAATGAACTGATAATTAAACAAATGATTGTAGCTTATTTTATAAAGTTGTACAAATTATCTGATTCATTGTTTTTCTTTTGATAATATCAGTTGAAGGATGAAGTTTCAAAACAATTTGGCTGTCCTATTGAACAAGTTTGTTTAATTTTTGCTGGAAAGATTTTGAAAGAGGGTGAAACACTGGCACAACATGGTATTAAAGATGGTTTAGTTGTTCACTTAGTTATTAAATCAGCCAATAGAGTAAGTAGGTCTATGTCTACAGGAATACTGTGTATATGAATATGAATGATATGATAATAAATGATATGTATATTAGGCCTATATATAACTAGAAACTTTTAAACTAGAGATCACAGGGCAATAATTTCTCATGTATACCTTTTCCATATTGACATAGATTAACTACAGGAAGTTTCTGAAAGACCCCTTATCATATTATTAGATTGTTAGATTCCTTAATAACTTTGTCTTAACTTTGAGATTTATAAATTTTGGTTTCAGACAGCAGCTGCTTCTAGTACACCAGTATCAGATGGGACAACTCCTGTAAGTGTTATCTACTCATGAAATTTGATTTTGCTTACCTATTTGATGATTTGCCTGCTAGTGATGATTGGATATTTTTTGTATCCAGTTACAATAGCAAGTTTAATACTGGCATATAATTCCCTATGTGTATGCTTTAGCCACATGACAAATATTATCATTCTCAAGTAAGATGAAGAGTAGGACATAAAACTCCATTCATTTCATTTTCATTTCAAGTAAGATGAGTCCATGAGGAATCTTGGATCATTGGAAAACAAGTTCTCTTACTACAACTGTTTTAAATGAAAACAATGACTTGGTTTCCAACGTTTTGCTTTTGTTTGCAGATACCAAGTGCTCCACAGCCTGCTGATATTAATGCCACTCCATTTGGTCTTGGTGGACTAGGAGGATTAGCTGGTCTGGGTAATATGGGTATGGGATCTGCTAATTTTATGGAAATGCAACAAAGAATGCAGAGAGAAGTAAGATTGTTATTTTATTGGACTTGTTGAAAAAAACTCGTCCAATGATAATTTGTGTCCTTGTGCATTTAAATTGATAAAATTTTTGTATTTTCTTATAGTAACAGTTGACACATTCTTGCTATATGTACAGTTGGGAATGATAAGAAAGCTGTCAAATCTTCAAGGATTATCATGGCATAATATCCTTTACTGACATTTTATGAAAAAAGACAATATCTTTCCAATTCTTTGTTGTTGTTGAATTTTGAAAGAAATTAACTTGATTACACTGGATGAATTATGATGGAATGAATTTGTTTTTATAGATGATGGGAAATCCAGATATGATGAGACAAATGATGGATAATCCTTTTGTACAACAGATGATGTCCAGTCCAGATGTTATGAGACAACTATTAATGAATAATCCACAAATGAGAGAATTGATGGAGGTATGGAAATAATAATCATAAAAATAACTTGAGAACACCCACACTAATATATTAGATGTGAGATATAACACATCTTAATTTACAATGAAAATCTTTTTTAATCTTCATCTTTTATTTGACGATTAAATCTGGTATACTAATTTACAGTAGACATATTTTCAGTGTGGAAATAGTGCTCAATACATGAATTGTAGAGCAATATAAAAATAGTAAAACAGAACTTGAATCAGATTTTCAGACAACTTACCAATTTTCAGCCTGCATCCCTACTGAAGTTGGACAAGTATCGCATAGCGTGAAACTCTGAGTAACAACATGATTCAAGTTCAGTTTTAATATTTTGTATACTAATTAAGTATTTTTATACTAAATTATGTATTTTTATACTAATTATGTATTTTTATACTAATTATGTATTTTTGAATTTATAATGTTATCCTTTTCTTCCAGAGAAACCCAGAAATAACTCATATGTTGAATAACCCTGAGTTAATGAGACAGGTCAGTGTAATTTATTAACAATAACAAGTGCAGAGTGGTATCTGGTTTAAATACACGAAATAGAGATTCCAAGTTAGATCTGGCATCATGATGAATGTTTTGATGTCAAAGCTGATGCTTCAAGAAGTTGTGTAAATCCAAAATGGTTAATTTGCATCCAATTTTACTGCCAAATGATCAAGTGTTTTGTAATTTAGTTACAAAACACTAATGCGATTATAATATGTTTTGAAGTTTTATTACTTATCAAAGAGTCCCACATACATGCTACATACTTACTATATATACTTAATATTTTTAGACTATGGAACTAGCCAGAAACCCCTCTATGTTACAAGAATTAATGAGGACACAAGATCGAGCTATGAGTAATTTAGAGGTAAGATATTGGTTGGAAGGAAGATAAAAAACAATATCGAAACTTTCTTCTATGACAGTTGTATAGCAATTGGAGATAGTTATTAAGCTTTTTTTTTTAATCAATATCCAACTTTAATTTTGATTGGAAATAATCATGTCTTCAATATGTAAATTTGCTATGTTCCAGAGTATTCCTGGTGGGTTTAATGCGTTACAGAGAATGTATCGTGATGTACAGGAACCAATGATGAATGCTGCTCAAGAAGGATTTGGAAATAATCCATTTGCCTCTTTAGTTAATCAGGATGGAAGTGGTAAGTAACTCTAGCATGTCCAACTACAGATGATAATGATGAAAATTAAAATAGTTTTGTTAAAGAAGAGCTTCCCCATCCAATGGAACAATCTTACCTTAGTCTCAGAAACAGCTTTTAGCTAAGCTGTTGATAGCTCTAGATTGTGTGTCTTTATGCTATTAAAGCAAAATGTTTCCACTGAAGTTACATTATTGCTCTGAAAATTTGTCACTTATTCTTTTATCATAGCATCATCTGATAGTCAAAGAGGTCTTGAAAATACAGCACCGCTACCAAATCCCTGGGCACCTGCTGGTAGTAGTACTACCACATCCAATACAACTAGTACAACTAATACTAGTAGTACAACTAATACCTCATCTACTACTGGTAACTTTACACCTCAAACTGGAGGTCCATTTGGTAAGTACTTTAAAGTGAACATAATAACCAGTGAAAACCCTTAAAAGTTTTCTTGTAATCAATTTTTTGTATTGTTGTATAGGTGATTTCTTTTCAGTCCAGTTACCACAATGGCAAGTTTCTGATTTTATACATGCTATTCACCTATCACAATGGAAACTAGATACTAAAAATGTATTAAAGAAAATTATTAGTATTCAAATTGGGCTTTCAGATATTGTGATTATTTTTATAGGCATGTTCAATACACCTGGAATGCAGAGTCTCATGACACAGATGCAACAGAATCCACAAATGATGCAGAATATGTTACAGGCTCCTTACATGCAGGCCATGTTACAGACAATGTCAGCTAATCCTCAGTTATCTCAACAGGTTTGTTGATAGTTAAATAGTTATTTGGATCCTTTTTCAGTGCCACATGGATCACTTTGTGCTGATTATTCTTACTGGATTTCTGATTTGGGATCAAATACCAGAGTTTCACTCCCCAAGTTATCTTTTCAACTTGTATTAACACAAGGTGGTCATGTTATAGTATCTTGAAGGTGTTTATAATATAAAGCTGTCAATTATGATATATGTATACACATGATTTAAACTGACCCAGTGACACAACAGCAACAAAAAACTGATCATTACTAAAATATTTCCTATCTGAGAATATAAAACAAGTACTCAAAGCATAAAGAAACTGATCAAAAGCATTGAGAATATAATTATGCTCACTCTGATCAAATCTACAAAGATTCTTGGATGGTAATTCCTAACAAAAATTGTGTTTTTTTATTTCTAGATATTAGGTAGTAACCCAATGTTTGCTGGAAATCCTCAGTTACAACAACATTTTCAGCAACATATGCCCACTTTAATACAACAGGTAATTATTTCATTTTAAAAGCCATTTGACCAATGATATTTTGTGTATACCAATCAATAGGCTGATGAATAGACTTCTAATGATCTATTTAACTCTTTAGTCATTTTGAAATGCCCTTCTTCAAATACTTTGATTTCATCTACAACTGTTATATATACCTATTAATAATGGAGTACAGCATTATCAGTCTGGGATCATTCTTGTTTTCATTTCACCTTGACATTATTTTTGATCCAATCATTACTGAAGAATGACAATATTAAATTTTTTTGGGTCCTAAACCTGAAATATCAGGCACTATTTCTAGAGTTGTTTTGCCTGAGTAGGCCTATCTCTATTATAGATTTGCTAATTTTAATTAAGTTAACTGTGTCATGTAGGCCTATGATCACTTTAATTAATTTACAAGGCTTAAGGCTTATGTGAAAAAAAAACAATCAATTTGGAGTTTCAAAATCATGAATTTACGCGCTTTGGAAAAATCTCCCGACTTTTCACCAAATCTCCAGATTTTTTTTCTTGACCTGTACACATGTATGGTATTATCTGATGCTAATATACCACTTGTTTTTATATTGCATCCTTCTAGATTTGTTTTTTAGACTTTGGAATAACCAGGATTACCAATAACTTCAATAACTTTGATAACTATTGTGTAAGAATGGTTCAGGTCATTGTGAACATTCCTGAACCTATATCATCATATCATTTATAACATGTATCTAATGTTGATTATTGTTGCTATCAATTTATAGATGCAGAATCCTGATATGCAGGCCATGTTAACTAATCCAAGGGCCATGCAGGCTATGATGCAGATACAACAAGGAATGCAGACATTAGCAACTGAGGCACCAGGTTTAACTCCAGGGTAAGATATGTTTTTGCACTTACTATCCTCAAATTAAGAAAGATACCCTCTAATTATGAAAAAAAAGAATCAAAATCATGCCCTATTTAATTGCCAATTTTAATGCCTCACAGGTTTCTTTAGACAAATCATCAGGATATTTGTAGACTTTTTGTACTTTGAAATAAATATTGAAATAAATAAGTTTACTGTTATCATTCAACAGGCTTCTTGGAGCACCTCCAACAACAGGACAGTCAGCAACAACAGCATCACCTGCTTCACCAGCCTCAGCAACAACAACACCTGCTAGTCCTGCTGCTGGTACAGCAACCTCACCATCAACAACAACAGAAACACCAGCAACTGGTACAGTTCCTTCTCTTGGTACAGCTCCTGCTACAGGTACCACCCCAGCTCCTGGTACAGTGCCTGTTCCCAACCCAACTGGTGATCAGTTTAATAACATGATGGCTCAAATGATGCAGATGATGGCTGCTGGACAAATTGTGAGTCATTGATTGTATTTGAAGTTTTGATTATTAAAGATGTGGTGCCTATATTTGGACTGTAAATGAAAGGAAGTTAACTCATAATAGATAAATGAAACTTATATATTTATAAAAATTGTTGTTTGACATTTAAAATGATGGGTTTGAACTGTTTTTAATCCAAAATATATTTCTAAATTTAGAACCAAGTACCAGAGCAGAGATTTGCCTCCCAACTCGAACAATTAACTACCATGGGTTTTGTTGATAGACAAGCAAACATTCAAGGTGAGCAAAGATCTTTACTGCCTTATTAGCCCTATTGCCAAGAACAACCAATGTACAAATAAAGCCCTTGTTTTCTTACCTTATGAGCAAGGAACTGGCAATATACAAGATCTGAATGAATTTTGGTTTATTATAATAAAAGGATTTTCAAATCATTGAATTATGTTTGTCAGATCGATATATGACTTTTTTTTTTCTCAAATTTTATCAAGAAAATCTTTTTCAAATATTCTTAACTGTCACAACAGCCAGGACAATTTGTGGCAATAATGGTTTACATATATCTAATGGGAATAGGATGAAACAGTGAGTCCATATATTATCCAATTTGACCATTTGAACACATTTGTTTGTTTCAGCATTAACAGCTACAGCAGGAGATGTGAATGCAGCTATTGACAGATTATTACAACAAAGATAATGCTGATTATTGTATGTTGTGTATTATATATATATATTGTTATGAAACAAAGACTACATGATAAGAGACATTAATATAGTGTTAATTTTATATTATGCTGTAATCAAGGAAAAGAAAGGAATCAAAATCTAGATCATATTATAAGGTAATAAGTAAGGTACAGCATTTTAAGGCCTTGATTAAGTATTCTATATAGTTGTCTGGAAGAATTTATATTGTTTATGCTTTGTATGTAAGCTCTATCTCTATATTCAGTTGAAATGTTCCTTTATTCAGTTGTCATGTTCTTATTATGTTTGATTTGAAATTTGAAATTTAAAAGGAATGCTACCTCTTAGAATGGACATAAAATTTAAAGTCATTAACTTAGACAACAAGTGTATATATTCATCAGTTATCAGGTGCAATGACTAAAGAATAAAATCTCTATATAAGACAATATATCCATTAAACTAAACAATTACTGAAACACCACGCTTCTAAACATGTTTCAAAATTATTTAGTTTAATGAATTATTATTTAGTTTTATGGATTTATCGGATTATAGAGGGATAATGTCTTATAGTTATGACACCAGGTAAGTTCACTGATGAAAAAAGACTCATTTTGGCCAAGTTTTTTTGTCCTAAGAGATAGTATACCTTTGAATGTATAAGATATCCTGAAAAGAAACAAGAGGTGTCATAGCTTTCTGTTTTAAGAGATCTTATTACCATCAGCTTATAGTATGCACTGGAGATCATTATTGTTGCAACAGCGTTCAGTTAATATTTTATGAGTTTTAACAATATATAAAAAAAACTTTGGTAATAATTAAATGTAGTCATGTAGTCGTGAAATCATGCAATCAACTGCTATTTATTCAAATATTCTGATATTTAAATGGTTAAGATCTTGAGCTAAGATGATTGCACATCCAGAAATGATTTCAAACATGAAGAAGAGAAGGTATTTTAAATAACAATCATCACAGTATTAGTCTGGCTTCTATAGTCAAACTATTTATTCTACCTTTAAATAAAGTGAATTGTCTCCAAAATGCACAAATATGTGTACTCAACTTCAGTACTTGTCATAAATTTTGGTTGCGTTTGATTTCTGAACATGCTCTGTCTGTTTCAATTCTGGCCAGTTTTTAAGCAGATTATGTTATATTCAAAAGTTCCAATCTATTTCTTTCTCCGCCACTTTGAATTCTGTCTACACCTACTATTTTTGGCGCAAATGGAACATGTTCTAAACTCTGTTCCAACTTGTTTTATTGAAAGTCTGGTCCAGAACTCTTCATTTGAGTGGCCCCATATTTTACCAAGAGTTGTTTACCTTTGGTTGTTGGTAATAATTGATATTTTTAAATGTAGGTTATTGCTTTGTTTAATCAAAATGAAAATAAGATCACTATAGCTCTCTGTTCTTTTTTTGATTCATTTTTAATTTGTGTTTACTTTTAGAATTAATTAGGAATGGGGAGCACTTTTATATTACGTGTATTCTGTCAGAAATCCTTACATTAATTTATATTGATCAGATCACCTATATTATAACTTTCATTCATACTTTCAATATATGAACAGCAACACTGACACTGGTCTCTTGATCAAAATTTATCTTTACTTCGGAGATTAACATGTTAAAAATTTGACAAATTGTTTTTGCAAGACTCATTGTAAAACAGAATCACTAAGCAAACCATGAACAATGATCTTACAAGAAATAAACATTAAGTACCGGTAGTGGGTTATGGATATTCTAATTTTAACTTATAATTTCTTGTGTTTGTGAGGCATAACAAATTTATTTGACTAGTTCTTGTATCAATGTATCTGGATCAATTTTTCTAATAAATTTTACTTATGCCATAGATTTTTATCCTAAAATTTAAAGATGAACAAAACCAAAGAACTTTCTAATTCTCAAGTCAAACGGTGTTGTAGAAAGCTCTTGTAGAAAGCTTGGTGGAATTAAATGTAGGTTTCTAAATAAGGAATAATCCTTTTATTTTTGTCTTGTCTCATCGTTTGAAATTGTAAAATTCATTTATCAATGCTTGCTCTGTTATTGTACTAATTACAAGATATCATTGCCAATATCAAATAATTCTTTTCTTTTTATACTCCACATCAAATGTGTATATCTATTGTCATCATGAATGCCCTTCCGTCAATCCACAAATGTCCGAAAAAGCAGTTAACATAGAAAAATAGGAACATGACAAAAAACAACCTATTTATATGCATACATGGAATTTGGAGCGCATACCCACCTATCGTCTTGACGAATTTTGACGAAACTTAAGGTTGAATATGTCATACTTGTGATTGTTTCTGTACTGCCAAGTATTCCTATTTATAATCAAAGCTTCCAGTGGATGTATATCACCTTGTCTGACAAGTTTTCTTCAAATATGCAAATTATTTTAGCCTCTATTTTCTGGTATTTGATGCAGAATTCTGGAAAAGAAGATTTTATACATTTGAATCTTCGGTTGAGGTAACTTTTTGACTAATAGTGTTTAAAATGTCCTGCTATAATCGCATTAGTGCTCCTGCACCAGAAGGCTACCACATGGCTGTCGCATTGGAATAGCCTCATTCTATACCAATATAAGCAGTAGGTTGGATGTAATTTACAAGTACTGTGGGATTGCGATAGTTCGGTTGTGGGTTGGATTGTCATCTACCAGCACTTTGGGGAGGTCGTGTTTTGGATTTCCGTCTGCCGAATACCTCAGCTGGTTCTTCAAGACCTAGTACATCATGTTATTCCTCGACAACAATAGCCACTATTCAAGAAAGTATTTGAATGCAGTGATTTGATTGGATTGTATGCTAGCGAAAACAGCCAATCAGGAACCTCAAAAGAAAGTCTGTAAATTATAAGCCCTATTGTACAGTTTTTCTGTCGAGGGCTTTGATTGGCATATAACCTAATCAAATCACTGCATTATGTGATACAAGAACAATGGCTATTGAAGTCAAGGAACAAGACAAAGTTCATAATACCTTGGTCATTGTAAAGATCTCCGGTGTAACAGCATCATGATTATGAAGAAATACATCGAAAAATTTCCTTGCATCTGTCATGCTTCACTTAAAAGCATCTAAATAAAAAATCAATGGGAAACATGGTTATCATGCAATACTGAGAAAGAAGAAGATTAAGTTAAATATATTTGTAAGTCGTTCATATATATATATATATATTAAATAGAGTAGGACTTAAGACATATCCTTGTTTCAGCCTGTGTTCGAATGTATATTTTTAACAAGGCCTATAGATCTGACTATATTTTGCTGAAGGAAAATAGACGATATCAAATTCAATACATTAACTTGATTCTGTAAATTTGTATATCATACCCGTCTCCAAATAGAGTCAAAAGCCTTGACAAAATCTACAAAAAATGTTGTTTGTGAAACAGCAGAGTAAGTTTGATGCTATCAATACTATTTATTTGGAGTCCATGTAGATAGGGGCAATGTGGCTGCTAATTGTTATATCAATTCATCTTGCCTTCAAATTGCGACATGCTAACCGTTTTGGAACTCCTGATATCACCCCATGACTGAATTTGTCAATTCAGAATCTATTGCGTAATTTTAGGCGTATAGAACTGAAAGAAAAACATTCACAGTTCAGCCCTACAATGGCAAAAGGCAGCAAAGACATTTTTGTACATTTTGAAAAAACTGCACTTTAAACTTTTCATCACACTTACTGCCTTTTTGCTTTGTCACATATTTCCTATATATATATATATAAGCAGATACTGCCTTTTTAAATCGAAAATATATTCAAGTTGAGTTACTGCCTTTTGTCACCTACCTACAATAAATATTGTTCAGTGATTGTTAGGATATATCCTAAAAAAAAGTGCTGGAAATTCTAATTCCAAATGTTCAAAAAATTGATTTTGGGCAATTATTGGAGTTACTGCATTTTGCCATTGTTCTACTAAATAATTACCGTGCGATTTGAAAACAGCCATAAATCTATCACTCTTCCAAAATACAAGTGCTTGTCTTATTTTTCTCAAACAATCAGCATAGATTTAATTATGTGGTGTGGTTGCTTTGTAATTTCATTTTAAGACCACCATATTATCATCTGAGCAGTTCATTTGCTCACAGATATTCAATGCTCTAGAATTTATTTACGCTAGGTAAAGGATCTAGAATCAGTCAATTACTAAAATACCTTACTGTTTCTGGTTCGTTTTCTTTTGCTTCACTTAAAATGCCAGATTGACATTTTCTCTGTAATTATTATCAATTATTTCTTAGATAGAATATGTGTATCGCGGCATTTTCATTCTCTGGCCCAGTGGTTTAACTTTAGCAGAGGCATCCATCATACCAATTATTAATATACATAATATCCAATAACCTTTTGTGGACTAGTTTTAAACTTATGACTGGTGAAATTAAAAAAAATAGCCCCTTCCCTAAAAATTTTAAATAGTGTTGCGTGGATATTTTTTTTATGTAAGGTAAAATGACGTATGTTGAATTGTTACTACTCTAGGCCTATCTATGACCGATAATTCCGTATCGATGTTAATTTGAGGATTAAAAGAGAGTAAAAGTGATATCTTGATTAAGAGAGGTATAATTATTTTCCAATATATGCCTAGCCTGGGGGTGAATCCACTCCTATGACACCGTTAACTATGATAAGTAATTTAGATGAACCTGACAACAAGTAAACATATAGGTAATAAAATTATCCCCAATGTGAGATAGAATATTTGATTATCTAAGGAAAAACGTAGGTTCAAATAAAGCTCTTACTTATAGTTGTTCAATAGTTTTAAAACATTATGTCCAAGAGCAAAAAAATTAAAAACGCTTTCTGATATTTGTCAATTAAGGATAATATGTTCAGAATGGGAATACTTGCAATGCAGATATTTTGGTTTGGCTCACTAAGTGTACAGCGCAAAATGTGTGCTGTTTACAAATATCACGTCAAGGTTTTAAAATTAGTCTCTTCTGGATATCTTAAAGTGTTTTGATAATACACATCTATATTTGATCCGTTCTTAGAAAGAAATCCACAACCCCACAACTGAAAATGTCCCAATCTATCACAGATCGAAACTTTACTTCTTTCAGTGGACTTAAGTACAAAGTTCATCAAAGGCGAAGACGGGTGGTTTTGGATGCTTGGAAAGTGCAGAGGTCACATGAGCACCACCTGCGCAACATTGTCCGGATGACTATAGAGACCCAAAACACATTGATTCGACACATGAAAACTTGACATTCTCCGAATCTTCTTCTGCAGGGTTATTATTAACTGTAGGTTATATTTCAAATATAGGTCAAAGTTGACAAAATAAGATTCCATATCATATTATTAGTTGATAAAAGTGATAAAAGACACGGTTTTGAGATATTTGTCAAAAATACTATGATGTCGCCCATAAAACATTTTAATATTTTAATTTTAAGAAATGTAACCTCGCTTTGGCAGCATGGATTCGCGATTTTGCTTCGAACAAAAAAAAACCAACTCATATATGTGAAGAATAAGAATAAAGTAAATGCCTCCTGTCGAATTTGACGAAAAATAAGAATGAAATAAAAGAACACAGTTTGTATGAAAAATTAAAAATATGGATAACATAAATAAAAACACGGCTTATTTGACGATTATGGTAAAGGTGGCCTACCAAAAGCCTTGTAATGGAAGACAACATAATTTTTTTCCTCATAGCAAAAAGACTCTAGATACGGATCTGGTTTCTATTTGAAATCTGAAAGATTCCCCATGTAGGTCTTTATGCTTATATTCTTTAACGATAGAATTTTCTCAACAGTTAACAAAGATACATATCAACAAATAACAAGGGCAATAGATTTGACATGGGCTCATTGTGACAGATTTGGTTTAGTTATGTTAAAAGACATCCTTCATGTCAAATTTGTTTTGTATGAATTATATATCAATCTCAACACAAGTGTCTATATTTACAAAAAAAAAACATTGCAATATTGTTTACATCAAATAGTAAAAAGGAATCTATTCAAAAGTTAATCTAAACTAGATTAAATCGTTCAAATGTAAGCTGATTTTGTTGCCATCGTTCCATAAAGCACATATGCCTATTTATCTAGGCCATCGTGCAGATTTAAGCAAAATTATAGAGCAATATGTCTATTTCTCAGAATCTAAGAAAAATTCAGCTCAATTCCTAAAAATTCCATACATTCTAAAGTTCTCAACTAAAAATATCGATGCGTTATGACCCAAAACCAAAACTAGTTTGAGCTGCTTACTTAACTATTAGTGTATTTAAAACACATTCAGTTCTATCAAGGTAAAATGTATTTTTTAATAATGAAAATGTTAGCATACTGCTTCTTTAACCATTTAATGTGAATGGAGATTTTACCACAACAATTTAGTATTTTTTTCTTTGTAAGAATATCGTCATCAACTGATATTTGTCAACCTGTTTAAAGTTTGTGCATCAACGCAAATTTCTACTGCAAAACAAATTACTCTTGCTAATAGAAGAGAAACATTCTTGGAAATTGCATCTGACGCAAATTAAGAACGTCACAGAGGTAAATAGCATTTTTAATGGTTCCAAACGTCAATCACTCGGCCTTGAGCTACCTTTGTGCACCATTTGAATTGTTAAATAAGACATAATTATGTTGAAATTCATTTAAAAATGGCTTGAGGGAGATGTACAACATATTAATCTCCGAGATAAACATATTTGTTGCAATCATCGTCTAAATCATTTAACAAAAATTCTGAAATGTCTAAAATCACTGATGTATATCGTGAAATGTGTTTTATTCTCTGATGAAGTTGGTGGAATTTGACAAAGGGCTGGATAATGAAGTCTACATGTACCATGAACAATGTCATAATGTCATTATCTTTCTGTCATTTATTACACTTATATGTACCTATTCTTGTGACGTCACATTGTCTATAAATATATTAAAATTACAATTGTTAACATTGGGTATTCCTTCATTAACGTTCACTGTGTCGTAGTAAGGGAAGTCAACATTTTGCCTAGTGACTTGGAAATTTGGAATTTCTTTTACCCATGCAAGTGGCAGAATGGTAGTCGAAAATACCAGCGAGAAGTCTACAACAGAGGCACAGCAGACCAACCAAGATAAGCGGCAGAGAAAACAGGCCATAGTGAATGGTTTAAACAACGAAGATGTTAAAATTGGAACAATCACCGAAGAGGAAGAAACAGGATCTGATGATAAATATCCAGAGTTAGGAATAAGAATCACCATATCGCCTCCTGAAAATGATTCGGGAAACGACACTGAAACTCCTTCCTCGCTTTATACAGAATTTGATAAGGAAAAAGACAACAAACCTTCCAGGTTTCTAGTACATCCGGTTTATGAAAAAAGGCCTCAGAGATTCCGTAAGACCTCAGCATATTCAGCTGACTCTGAGCAAAGTGGACCGACACAAATGGTTGTTCCGAGTAGGAAAGGATCAACGGTAATGATCCATGAACACCCTGAGATTATTCAAGGAAATAGTAGTTATTATTCTCTACATTCTAATGATGCCTTTCCATATAATTATTCTGGTCCTAAACAACACAGAATATCAGTGTTCTCTTGCTACAGTCAGGCAAGTCGTGCCAGTTTCCAATCAGACAAGACTTTTAGAGATCCTTATGAATGTTTTCCTAATGCCGAGAATTACAGGGATGCTGCTGGAGCATATTATGATTTTAAACAAAGACCAACCCTCTATCAACTAAGACAACAAGTAAGTCGTTACCTTGTCTAGTTTCTTTATTTATAATAATTCATCATCACAGTATTTGCCCCAGTTTTTTTAAGGAGAATGTCATTTATTCAAATGCTATGAAACAAGATTTGTAGCTATCCGGGGAATGGACATCCCTTAAAAAGCTTCTCTGTTAACTTTGTGCACCCTAGCAATTAGCAACTTCGATTTCAACCATCCTGAAAGTCCATACAGTTTGTACTTTCGTACTAAGATTAATATATATTTTTGTGATTTTCGGTTTAATATCCAATGCAGGTATATAATAAAAATTGAACGTCAACGAACCATTATCAATATATTGAACAAATAATTATTATTATTATGATTGCCAACTGTTTCTAAATTATGACTTGATATAAAAAAAACGTTATGTATCTAACTTTTTTAGTCACATTGAAGACGTTATGGTGACGATTAATCTAACTTTTTCTGGATGAATTTCTTGGTTCCCTGAACCTATCAGGTTGGATAGAATACTTGAAATACCAGTAATACACATATATTATGATTTCAGATAGTTTTGAACACAATGTATACATATTATATATTTGTAGGAGTTGTTGAAACCAGGTAAAGCAATAGGTGATGACCTCAAAGACGATGATGATGATGATGACTTGGACATTGAAAAAGGGGCTCAATCTGAATCAGCCAAAATGGGCTGGATTCAAGGTGTTCTGGTAAGTTGGGTTTGCAATTTTTCATTTCTTTCAATAAATGGAAACTTTGTTCAGACGCCATGGAGTCATGATGTATGTCCTAGAATCTGGAAAAGGACTTGATTCACAAGATGTTATGTTCAGCGATATTTGAATATATCTTGTTGTGTTTTAGCTGCACAAACATCCGAACAGTAGTCTATCTTTCCTTTAACTTTTCCACTCAAATTTTACATCGTTTGAAAAAATAGCCTGCCACAAATAATTTCATAATTACAAGCCAACAAGAACAAAATGCGCATGCAATGACTTTTGCAAGGAAAACTTATTTATTCTTGTCAGAAATTAACAGACATTATTTTTGTTTTGTTTAGGTACGATGTGTATTAAATATATTTGGTGTAATGTTGTTTCTAAGATTAACGTGGATAACAGGACAAGCTGGTATTGGATTTGCCTCCCTTATTATATTATTATCATCGTTTGTAACAGCTATTACTACCATGTCTATGTCAGCAATATGTACCAATGGTGAAGTTAAAGGAGGTATGGTTTTGTGACCCTATATTATTCAATTTACATTCATTGCTTTGTACCCCATTTGGCAGATATTTGAGTATTTTGGTGGCGTCGGCTGTCGAGATTGAGATTCATATTCGGCAGCTCTTTGGAGCGTCTTCCCGAGAATACTTTTGAAAAATTGAAATGATTAGGTGAACTCTGACACCCAAACCCCCCTGTACTTACATATGTATGCTTGATCAATTCTCACAACAAACAATTCCCTCAAAATGTGGTACTTGCTATTGTGTATCATCACTTTATCTGTCCCTGTTGATTAGGTGGTGCATATTACATGATATCAAGGAGTTTGGGACCAGAATTCGGTGGTGCTATTGGTGTTGTATTCTCTCTTGCTAATGCTGTAGCAGCTGCTATGTATATTGTTGGTTTTGCTGAAACTGTCAAAGACCTAATGTGGGTAAGTTCCAAATATAGATAATTCTGAAGGTCAAAGCCAATATATTTCCCTTTTGCACACTGCATGGCTTTATCCGTATTATTAGCCCAAAATACAGCCTAAAAGTATAAGTCAACACTTCAATGTAATGTAAGATACAATATTAAGAATATATCTAATGTGTCTTGAAGTTTTAAAATTAAGTTAAAAGGTTTACCTGTAAACAATGTATTGTTTATTTAACATACCATATCCATTGTTTATTATGAGACAATCTAAATGATATGATATATACCAGCGGGTTTTAAAATAAAAGACGTAATAAAAAAACGTAGGTGAATTGTGTCGTTGAAAAAGTCTGAGCAGGTTAGGTCAAAAGGTTAATTTGACGAACGTTCAAGAGAGCTGTCGTTAGACCCTAACTGAAGTGGTTATTATGTAAAAGTTAAATAAAACGGAACGAAAGTTCGGTCTAATTTCAATGAGATTGCAAGCTTGTTGGTAACACGATGCCTTAAGGTTAAAGTCGAGGAACGAGACATATAATTAAATTGTCAATATAGAAACCAATATTGTTTTCACTAAAAAATATGACTACGGTAGTCGAAGCCGATATCTTAACATTCAATCTACGTCTCGTAATACTATTTCATATCTTTTTAATTTCTTTACAAGTGAATTTAGACAACCAGCTATAAATCTACTCTTCACGACAATATGTTAGCATCGTAAATATGTCATTTTAAAACACAAATCCTAGACAATAGACGGTTCACTAACCTTAAGCTTTTTATTTAGATCCTATTGATATTACAACGATCTGATTTTTGGAGAATCGTCCTATCTAACAGAAGCGTAAGAGTGGTTCGAAGTTTCGAACTATGAACGGCCATACTTAATAAAATGAATTGAACTGCTAAGAGAACTCATAAGCGGATAATCATTTCTTTTATAAAAACTGTTCTCCAACTTTTGTATTACATTCCGAAACCCTCCCCTTATCCACGACCAGCTAACTACTTTGTAATACTATGTTTCTCGTAGGGTTTCATTTATTGATTGGGTACAGAACAGTGAAGCTAAAATTGTTGTTTTCTAAAGTCCAAAAAGGTTAAAACCTCACGAGACACATAGTTGACGCAAATGTATTCTTGTTGTCAATTCCTCATTATTTAATGTTTCAACTTTTCTATGACTAATTTGTCCAATGTGATCGTGACACGAGAGAATACTGACTTAATTCTTGAAACTGAAAGTAGTTACGGTGAACGTCACGAAGTGGTCTGGATTTGATCTCGACATAGGTCACGATAGTACCTCTACCCGATTTCCAATCTTACTAAAACCTTGGCGCCGATGTTGAAAAAGCATCCTGTCATCCCGATGGGACAAATAAAGTCGGGTCTAGGTACATGAATGCGAAGTAATGATGCAAGTAGTATATTTACGGTATCATGGTGTAATGATTTAAATACTATATGATATATGTACACAAGCACAGTGTTATGGTGTATATTTAACTGTATATTAACAGTAACACGGTGTATATTTACAGTATCATTTATGTAAAAATCGTTGTGTATTTACAAAAACAGTAACATTATGTAAATATTATCGTATATTATTGTATATTTACAGTAACTCAGTATAATGATATAGATTGTACATTTAGACCAAAACAGTGTTATGATGTAACTATTATTTTATATTTACAGTAACATAGGTTGATATTATTTTATATTTACAGTAACATAGGTTGATATTATTGTGTATTTACAGTAACATATATGGATGCTATTGTATATTTACAGGAACACGGGGTAATGATAACTGGTAATGAGTTACATGATGTAAGAATAATAGGATGTGCTGTATCGTTTTTAATTCTAGCCATTGTTCTAATTGGATTGGATTTTGAAGCAAAGGTGGGTCTGTAGTATCTCTTCAAGCTTGAACTTAAGATCGAAGAACGACTGGATTTTCAACGCCTTCTGCTTGGAGATTCAGAGATATGCCCATTTTAGTCGACTTGAGCTCTGTGAAGACTTACAAAATCTCAGATGCCGCCAGTTTCTAACAGCTGCTTATCAGTTCTAATTTCAACCAGGGTGATTGGAATAATTTGTTGCCGTTCAGTTGATAACAACGTTGTTCGCACGTGACTGATTTAGTGAATTAAATATATTGATATGATTATTGTTAAGCCAGTATGACTGATCTGATTCTTTGAATAGCCAGTCTACCAGAGCCTCATTCACAGTTAACGTCCGCATGATCTTACCAGTGTGGTTGGGATGATAATATATAAAAAACATATATTTTACTCTTACTTTTTCAGGCTCAGCTCGTGTTGTTATTTATTCTTTTAGCAGCTATAGTAAACTATTTTGTTGGTTCTCTTTTACCAGCATCAAACGAACAGAAATTGAAAGGATTTTATGGATATTCAGGTAGGTAAATGAAAGTGGTTGTGGCCTCCAGAGATATTTTGAGTATACGTTAGATCCACAGAAATACGAGAGGCGGATAAAACTGGACTGATGCCGAAAATAAAATTCATTGCAATACAGAAGAGTTATCATTACCACAAAAATTACCAAATAAAGTCATGTAGCCAAAAACTGACCGAAACTGAAGTTGTATCACTCGTATCAAGCGTTCCAAAGGAGTTACCGTATCCTGCCCTGCTATCGGCACTCGTGGACTTCAAAAGTATTTGGCCTAAGAATGACTCTAAAAAGAATATCAAGAAAGATGTGGTTTGTTCATTTCAGATCAGCTGTTTTATGACAATTTCAATCCTGATTTCCGGGGAGATAATAATTTCTTCTCTGTTTTTGCGATATTTTTTCCGGCTGCAACTGGTATCCTTGCTGGTGCCAACATCTCTGGTGACTTAAAGGTATGTAAGTTTTACTCGTGATATTTTGGACACCTCCTGACCCAAAGCATTCTTCTGGCATTGCTGGTCATAACTTTGACTCCAAACATGCGTCTATAGCTCAACAAAACCACCAGAACTTGAAACACATACACCGTACTGTATATATTTTCAGAATGCATCAAAAGCCATACCGAAAGGAACGTTTCTAGCTATCGTTCTAACATCATTAGTATATCTGGGGATGGTATGGTGTATAGGATCTAGTATGTTACGGGATGCTGTTGGTATGGTAGAGTATAATTTAACGGATGTCTCAGAATTAACAATAGATATTGTTAGTCAATGCAGTAACGCAACATGTCCATATGGTCTTCATAATGACAATGCTGTAAGTAAATGCTGTTTATAGTACAGCCAATGCTAGTTCAGTAACTGTTCTCTTTTCAGCAGAATCCAAATACTTATAATTTTATTCCAATCTTAGATTGAAAATATCTGTCGTTTACAGAGGATTGTTTGAAAACACAAATACGTGCAGCAGATACCTTGTGACGGAGTGAGAGAATGACATTATCAATACCTTTTTCTCTGTCCTTTTCATTTATTGGCTTCCTATGTGACTGAAATTAAATCTGTTTATTGCAGGCCGTGGGAGTAGCATCAGCCTTCAGACATCTGATTACAGCTGGTATATTCTCGGCTACATTATCATCTGCATTAGCTAGTATGGTCAGTGCGCCTAAAGTCTTCCAGGTAAGGCGTCGGTTGACGTATTTCCTTATGTATATTTATGACAATAGTTTTTGTGTATTTTAATTGTATGTACATATTTAACGACCAAAATGTTAAAATTACATAATTTAACATAATTTACATAATTACATACTTCACATATTATTGTGAAGAATGAAAAAAAACATCAAGTTGACACTACCGCTGCCGACCGGCATACCGAATTGAATAGTTTCGTGTTGTAGTTTGAAAATCTACTATCCTTAAATTTAACCATGCTCATTTTAGCGCCTTTTTGTCACTCCGGTATGCCGGTTGGCAGCGGTAGGCGGTTGGCTTTTAAAACCCACACCAATCCTTTCAGGATGAGCATTGAATACGATAATGACATTATTCCTTAACTTCCCTTAGAATTTTCTTCCTATAATGTTCCACATCATAGATACAATACACCCACTCTTATCAATGTTCTTATTTCAGGCTCTAGGAAAAGATAAGCTGTTTCCATATATTCATTATTTTGCCAAAGGATTTGGTAAATCTGGTGAACCCAGAAGAGGTTATTTCTTGACATTTGCTATTTGTATTGGTGTAACATGTATCGGTGAGTATCTGTCACTACTGTCCTAGAACTGATTATTATATCATGTAATTCACAAAAGCTCATCTTATGCTGTTGACAAATGACTCCGATATTAAGACCTCTATTGGTTATGAAATGGGGTTGTTTGGAAAATGAACGGAGAGGCACGAGCAAAGTAAACTCTCCCAATAGGAGCGTAAAGTAAAAATGGAAAATAATACAATGACTGTGAATTCACTACTAATTGGCAAGAGGTCGTTGAACCAGGCTATTGGGTATGGGATGAGATTGAATTCTAATATAGACTTACCACATAAGCAATTCAAATGAACTTATTGAACACGGTCGAAACCGTATACCATAATTACCTCCTGCGGTTTTCTTACCAGCAACAACATAAACTTCCCCTTTCATACCGATGATTGTTTTAGGCCCGAGGCTTGATTAGGGGAAGGATGAATTCTGACCATTCGAATCTATTATGTTTGTTTTCTAGTTTATCGCAAGAATGACGAGCTATAGACCAATTGGCACACGGCATCCCTGGTCCCTTGTCACGGACTTATCTGCACTGTGTGTGCTATCTATACTATATATCTAGGTGAACAGGAATAAATTAATTAAAGGATACTACCACTTAGAATGGGCTTGAAATTGAAAATCTCAAACTGGGTCAAAAAGTTTATATATTCATCAGTTGCTGCCATGACTAAAGAATAAAATCTCTGTATAAGGAAATATATCCATTAAACTAAATAATTATTGAAACACGCTTCTAAGCATGTTTCAAAATTATTTAGTTTAATGAATTATTACTTAGTTTTATGGAATTATTGGATTATAGAGGGATTCTCTTGTATACTAATGACACCAGGAAAGGCCACTTTATGAAGAATAAATCATTTTGGCCAAGTTTAAAATATTTAATTTGTTGGTCACTCATAAAGGTGGGGTACCGTTAAGGAATTAGACTAAATAATCGAATGACATTACTCAAATTTGAGATTAAATTGACCTTTGAATGACTATGTTGAAATCAGACTCGTCAACGTTTGAAATATGATTTAAACGTTAGTTATCTTTAAAAAATACATCGAAATGTTAATTTTGGTGTAATAATATTCAACTTCTTTTTATAGACAGCTGTTTATATAAAAATGTAATCATACTTTATAATTACATGCCTATTTAGTTAATATTAATATATATTAACTGAGTCTTTCAATATCACTCATGCAGTAAATCTAGTTTATATTTTATTCCCATGGTGAGTAATCAATCCTCAACAATAGTGTAATTTATGATGAAACGTGATATAGGTAGTGTATAATATGTTGAAAAACTTCAATTTAAATGCAATCTGGATAATTTAGGATGAGTTTGAATACAGATTTTTTTTTTGATTTTTTGGCATTTACTTGATTTCAGGTGATTTGAAACACGTTATAAGTGTAAGATTATCTCTTGATATGGACCTGTAATATTCCAACTGACTTTGCGTTCATGGTCAATTAGTTTTTATACGTTGTAATTCGCTTCAATTTTTGGGGAAATTTGATACGATTAAGCATTTGAACGACAATTGCACGATATGAGCCCTATCCATTACTATGCTAACAAATAGTTTTACAATTTCTTCTTAATGAACGTAAAAAGAAGTCTTTGGCCCGAATTGCACCCCATTTAATTTCAAACAAATTTGATTCCATTTGTATCTCAAACTTGACAGTTGACCCCCATTCAGTTATTTTGTCCCCTATTTTTACCCCAGTCTCGGAAGACTGGCGTTGCCACAATTAATGAACAATGGTTCTTATTTTGATGCAAAAAGGAAACTTATTTTGTGAGAACTCTTTGAATACTCACTTATAGTCTATTCGAAGTTTAGATTGGTGTCGCTGAAATATGTTCATATAAATTAAAAGATGTGGAAACCAATGTAATTATAAACTGGATCATTTTTATTTGCAGGTGCTTTAGATATCATTGCTCCAATCATCTCAAATTTCTTCTTAATGGCCTACGCTTTAATTAACTTTTCTTGTTTTGATGCCTCGTTCGCTAACACTCCAGGTAAATTTAACCTTTTTGTCTAATCTAGTCTTCCTGTATGTAGTCAAAGGTCAAGTACAACGATTATTAGAGAAAAATACAGACAGTGATTCTAGCAATATGGAGAAATTATTTCCTTTGACAGGTGCAAAAAATACCAGAAAATTGCAGAAAGATCACTCTGCATTATTTGTCTTTTTTTGGCATAAAAAAGTATGAACGCTGAATTTCACAAATTTCCAAATTAAAAAGTATCTGGACTTTAAAAATTCATATGCATTTATTAATCTAATTTTGACAAAAAGACATAGTGGGACGGATTGAAATATACCCAAAAATTATTCAAAATTATAAAACATGGCATATCATTTCAGCATAAATTAGAGATTTTAAAGATAATTTGATATGTTCATAGAATAATCATTATGCAAATGATCACTTTATATAAGAATGTATGAAATAGGTCAAATTGGTCTGAATAAAATGATAAAATTGAAAAGCCTTTCAAAATGCCTCGATCTGTAGAATAAATACTACATTCTTTTTATTCAAAAACTGCAATGAATTAATGTGATGTGCGTTATGTACAAAAATTCATCCTTTTTTAGTCCAACGTCTATCGGATGGAAACGGATGATACAAAAACGTAGACACTTATTCAGCTACAGGATCTCTAGTCCGTTTGATATCTGAAAAGTCATGTCACCAGCAAGTTTCCATAAGAGCTCTATCTGATTTCGGTTCACTAAACTTAATGTAAATGACGAACATCCTGTATCATTGGATCCAAAAATTATCAAGATATGAATAAACTATTTTAAAATACCACACATACATTACCATATCCCCCAACCCCTCAATTTTGCTAAAAGAAAATCTTTTTCAGGTTTCCGCCCAGCGTTTAAATTCTATAATAAATGGATCAGTTTAATGGGAGCTATGTTATGTGTTGGTGTTATGTTTTTGATAAACTGGTGGGCTGCTCTTGTATCATTTGTTATCATCCTAGCTCTGTATATTTATCTCAAACATCGTAAACCAGGTTGGTGCATACAGTTTATCAATGACAATATACTTTGCAACTTATGACCTCTCACCTGATCTTAAAAGAAATTATGGTCCGTGTTCTTGCATACTTTTTATAAACGTTTTGTGTGCGTTCGTTCATCATTAGTCTATCCCTGTTAATATTTTTAAGTCACAGGTAAGGGCTTCTGAATGGGTTTGATTAACTTATCTTTCGGTAATTTTCTTACATGGTGTTGACTCCAGAAGACCTTATCAAATATGTAGTCTAGCTCACTGGTCGCCGGCTGAATTGACCACGGTTTTAGAAACAAGTTGCACCCCTTTGCCATAAAAATAGAATGTTTTGTATTTATATACAATAATTGGTTAAGCCATACTGCTTTCTGAAATACTTGAGGGCAACTTAACTTAATTCAACTTTAAAATGCTACATGACAAACAAATTGGTCCAAACTCAAAATAATTTATTTTTAGATGTCAACTGGGGATCTTCATCTCAAGCCCATGCTTATAAAGATGCTTTACAAGCTACTATGAAACTGACTAATGTTGAGGAACATGTGAAGAACTTCAGGTGAGGAACCATTTTAGATTTATGTGGTTCTTGGTGGTTTGCTGGTTGAACAACTTCTTATAATGACATATGCGATGGAATTCTAATGTAATTTTCCTCAGACAAACAATAATTATTATTCTCTATAATTTGCAGACCTCAGATATTGGTATTGACAGGTTACCCTAGAAACAGACCAGCTCTGGTTGATTTTGTATCAACTATAACAAAGAAACAAAGTTTAATGATATGTGGCCATGTCTTTCTGGTAAGAATTACCTTGCAAGTGGAAGAGTAGGCTTCTAACATACTTGTATATTCTATGACAGCTGCCTTAGGTGTCCTGCTTCATTTGATTTGATGTTGTAAATAATATGCCAAATGGATGTAAAAGAAGTTACAATATGTAATGACCAAATATCAATTTGTCATTATTAACTGTGTGCACGAACCCCTGCTTAGCGCCGCACTTTAATAAGCAGCCACTTTTTAGCATATACTTGACTGCATGCTAAATACAAGTTTGACTGTAGTTATACCATTGAAGCAAAGCCTTGTCCAATGTGAGAGCATGAATGCATTGGAAGGTCCCAGGCAACCTTACCAATTCCTTATTTCTTTTTTTAATTTATCCTTTCAGGGTGATATGTATGAACATGTTGGACGATTAAGATCAACTGCTGCTTATAAATGGTTCAAAAGTCGAGACATTAAATCTTTTTATACAAGTGTAGCTTCTCCAAATATAAGATATGGCGCACAAGTCTTGCTTCAGGTACTGGATTATATATTTATTCATATGATGGACAATTATCCTATTCGCTATGGCTATTCGCACCATTTTATGGAAGTAAAGCGCGGTGTTTAGTTCTCCTGTAATTCACAAACGCAAAAATTTAGAATTGTGTTATTTCCAGTATTGTCATTCTCACAAATAGAGCTCTATCAGCTGATAAGGCAATACATCGTAAAGAATTTTTAGATCTCTATCAGCTGATAAGGCAATACATCGTAAAGAATTTTTAGAACTCTATCAGATGATAAGGCAATATATCGTAAAGAATTTTTAGAGCTCTATCAGCTGATAAGGCATTACATCGTAAAGAATTTTTAGAACTCTATCAGCTGATAAGGCAATATATCGTACAGCATTCTTAGAGCTCTATCAGCTGATAAGGCAATACATCATAAAGAATTCTTAGAACTCTATCAGCTGATAAGGCAATACATCGTAAATAATTTTTAGAACTCTATTAGCTGATAAGGCAATACATCATAAAGCATTCTTAGAACTCTATCAGCTGATAAGGCAATACATCGTAAATAATTTTTAGAACTCTATTAGCTGATAAGGCAATACATCATAAAGCATTCTTAGAACTCTATTAGCTGATAAGGCAATGCATCATAAAGAATTCTTGGAACTCTATCAGCTGATAAGGCAATACATCGTAAATAATTTTTAGAACTCTATTAGCTGATAAGGCAATACATCATAAAGCATTCTTAGAACTCTATCAGCTGATAAGGCAATACATCGTAAAGAATTTTTAGAGCTCTATCAGCTGATAAGGCAATACATCGTAAAGAATTTTTAGAACTCTATCAGCTGATAAGGCACTACATCGTAAAGAAATTTTAGAGCTCTATCAGCTGATAAGGCAATACATCATAAAGAATTCTTAGAATTCTATAAGCTGATAAGGCAATATATCGTAAAAAATTTTAAAACTCTATCAGCTGATAAGGCAATACATCGTAAAGAATTCTTAAAGCTCTATCAGCTGATAATTGCTTAACTCCCGTAACTATATTTGGGAGGTTTATGATATTTGCTCTAATAAAAACAGTTCTTCTTTGGGTCTTATTCATTAACACCCAATCACTCTCATATGTAAGACCCTTACCGCTGTTAAGATGTCCAAAAGATTTGCTTCCCATATCCTTGTTTATATCTTACAGTGTCAAGGTATGGGGAAACTACGACCTAATACATTGATACTAGGCTACAAGAATGATTGGCAGGTAGATGACCCCAGAGCGGTAGATTGTTATTTTAATGTCATTAGGTAAATTATCTTTTACTAATTACATTTATATAGTGTTTATTTTGTTGATAGATCTATATCAAATGCATTGTAATATTTGTCCTTTGTGTTCAGTTTAAAATTGCTTTGACATAAATTTTACCCAACGATCGTTTAATTGTATTTGACATATCATAATTATGTAGATACAATATACACGTACATTGATTGCAGTGAAACAACCTTTGTCTCGACGTCATGTTCAAAATTCCACCTGGGTATTCCGTTATTGTGTCCAGGTCAACATCAGATGATCGTCAGATTATCTTCAAGGAATATCACCTCTTACAATGGACATAAGATTTAATGTCTCAAACTTAGTCAACAAGTGTACATATTCCTTAGGTGGACTTTTCAGAAATAAAAATATTACAGAACAGAACTTTAAAAAAAAAACAAGTTGTCACTAAGAGTTATATCTATTAAACTAAGTAATGATTGAAAAATATTTCTAAACGTCTTTCAAAATTACTTAGTCTAGAGAGATTCTGTCGCATTGTTTTGACAACCGGTTAATTCCACTAGTGAACAGGAATCATTATAATTAAGTTTAAAAATTTGAATAGAAGTAAGAGGTAATACGTTTAAAAGAGTTAAGTTAAGTTTTCTTTTATCATTATAGTGATGCCTTTGATCTGAAGTATGGTGTTGGTATATTACGAGTACCTGATGGTTTAGATGTACAGAAAATACCTGATGATTTCCTCGATGAAACTGATGAATCTATAGATGATGTTGAACTTGTTGAAAGTTCAGATGAAGGTAATACAATAAACTCAAGGTAGAATTATCTACAATGTAATGACCAAATAGTTTCTATCAACTTATTTTTGATTAGGTAACTAAATTCAATAGGTTTTGGAATTTGGCTACAGTATTGGCATCAATTATGGTAGCGTAGTCTTCAGAATATTGACAAATGCTAAAATCCCGTTGGTGTTTTGTAGTCTCTCGGGTAAGTGTAAATTCACGAATATTTCGCCCTGGGAATTTTTTAAGTCTCATTGAAATTTCTAGGCTACCGTCCTTTAAGTAATTGACACAAATGGGCAAATGTATAAATGTTCCACACACTAAAAAATACATGTAAAATGTATTGGATTGGTAAAAATAAAAATTCGGATATTGGCTTATTTTATGAAAGTATTAACCTTTCAAGGAAATACATTTTTAACAAATATTATAACAAATTAAAACCGGACTCTTCAATATATACTAAAACACATTTTGTTATTAGTGGGGGTTACATTCAATTAAAACTCAGTTAATTTTTGTTTTGACCTTCCTCTCAAACCGTCAGTTTTGTTTGAAAAAATATAATTTGGAAAAAATTGACCAACATAACACAATTAATACCACATCATTATATTCCGCCGCAAGTCTTCTCTACACCAATGTGTCACTTGTGGCTTATTAAATAAACTGTTGGTTGAAAATATGATTAAAATTGCTAATTTTATGTTAATATATTAATATATATATTATAAAGTATCAAATTATATCTAATATAAGCTTTCTAATTAAAGTGTCCATGTCAGCTAAATTTCAACAAGGTTGTGTCTATAATTAGATGTAAGGTCGAAACGATGATGAATTGTAATTTGAAATAAGCTAATCTATTATTTGATTATCTGATGTTCAACTTGTTATTTTATCAAACGTAGATAGTAACATGACCTTTGATTTGCTTGGTTAAATCAATCTAAATCCATCTTTAAAATAGATTTTCATTTTCATTTTTTTAAAGTAATCGTAGAACAGATGTAGTCTCGCCGTCAAACCTAAAACAACTTTCATTGTTCTGGCTTCTTTCAAAGCTACAAAACAGATACATTGTTAAAAACAGTCGCAACATTTCCTAAGCTTGTTTGAAAATTAAAAGCCCGAATCCTCGAAATTCAAAACTACAATACATTACTTGCTGCAAATGAACTATTCATATGAGGAATAATTACATTTCAGATATTGAAGTTGATGAAGAAGATTCAGACGAATGGAGTCCCAGTCCAAAAATAGTCAAAAATGATAAAACTGAAAATGTCGTCTTACAAAAATTTACCAAAACGAATGAAGGAAAGGAAAATTTTGCGTTTGATTTTGAACCAGAAGTGGAAGAAATGAACAACTCAAATGAACCAAATCAAACTAAAAATAACCCGGAAACAAAATTAAACCATGACCTCAAACTAACCGATTTCGAAAAAGAACAAAGAAAGAAATTTTTGAACATGAAATCTATGGAAGAAGAAAAGGCGTGTAATAGATTTAAGGTGAAACAAGAAGGAACGATTGATGTTTGGTGGCTGTTTGATGATGGAGGTGATTTTTTTATTGTTTTAAATGACATTCTATATAAATTGATGATGTCTATTTAAAGTTTTGAACTCTGGTTCAATAGGGTTACATGGAACTCTTGTTATTAGGTATAAATATCCTGGTGCAAAATCCTTTCCCCTTAAATACAATGTACAAGAGTTCATTTAGTAGATTTTAGATGAAGAATTAGTTTTGATGACATCAGACCATTTTGCACCAATTTTATACGTATCTTTGAAATTTAAAAACAATGCACGGAATAATCTTGCACATTCACTTAGACTGGTCAAAATTGGATTAAATTCTCGTGAAATGTATCACCATAACATTCCCTTTCTGATTGTCGTAAATACTGGTGCTCTTTATGCTTCGCATCCCTTGAGGTTCCGTGCATAAGTAAGGTCACAACCACTTTATGTCAATTACGAATTAATTTAGATAGAGTACCTTGGAAACTTGCTAACTGGCAACTGATAATAAATATTTTGAAGGTGCCAAGCAATAAAGACTCTACCTTTTAAAATTGGTCGTTTTTGTAATAGACTGGAAATTTCAAACCTTTCAAGTCACAGAAGCTATGAAATACAACTAAAAGTTTATTTTATTGTAGGTTTGACATTATTAATACCCTATATACTATCTACCAGAAAACAATATAAATCATGTAAACTTCGAGTATTCTGTGCTGGAACAAAGAAGGAGAACATGGACGAAGATCATCAAAGGTAATTTGATTAGAAATATGGAAGATGCTCCCTAATTTTGTATCGGAAATCTCAATGATTAGCACAATGGCGGGCACAAGGGTATTAGCTGGTGTTTGTGATAGGCTTTGGTGCATTCCTGGCAATTCACCAAGAGTGAAACAATATTGATTTTACAAAAACAGTCTTGGGGCTAAGTTTTTAAGGTCATTATTGTGGCCTTTGACCTTCCAGATCTACTAAGCAGCCTAACGCTGTTCAGATTATAAAATTTGAATCGAAAGTAAAAATCTGAAGGGTTGGACAAGAGACGAAAGTTTGGCATAGTCGAACATGTGATGACTAATAACATTAACCCTGACAGTGTGACATTTGAACAATTTATGGAATGAAATGACGATGATGATTTGTAATGATGATGTGTTTTGGGTCGTGATGTGCGTTTTGTTTTTCTTACAAATAAAAGTTCTAATTTGGTGATAAATGTGACTATATATAGGTAGAAGTGAGTTAACAGGCAATTTTACAACTTACTACATACTTCATGACCTTCTTATAGACATGTTTGACTTCAGTGACGCCATTGCCGATCGTGCAATTGATTTCCGCCGTTTTGTCATTAACACAAGATAAGAGTGATTTTGAATTGACCTATTTATTGAATGGGTTTATTTTAATTGCACCTATTAACGCGAAACTTATCTAAAAGGTTTTGCACTAGATTTTCATACTTGAAATAAGTTGGGAAACTATCTGACCTCGGACGTTTTTAACCTCTCAAATCATTATCAATTTAATCCTAAACACGTTTGTCTTTATTTTACAGAATGGCAACTCTATTGAATAAATTCAGAATAGAATACACTAGTATAACAGTAATACCCGATTTAAAACGAAAACCAAAACGTACCAGGTAATGATTTGACTATAGATGCTCTTTTGTTAACTTTAACTTTTGTAAGGGCAATCCGTTACAGCCTGATATTCGATAATGTCCCTATACATACACCCTACATCCTGTTCGATATCAGCGCTCCAGGCAACGTTTTACATACGTTTTGCTTCAAGGGAAGGAATTCTCTGTAATTATACTTGACCACTGAGACTTTTTATGAAAATGTTTTAAATCGAATTTTAGGGATTGTGCAACGAAAGTGACTCATTATTTGGAGAGACTGACGTAGTCGATCCATGATAAGTCTTCGGAGTACTGTAATTCGAAGCAATGCACGGAGGTACAACGTGAACCTCTCAATTTAAAAGAGTACCCCCCAGTCTACCTCCTGTCTATCTACCCATCCTAATTAAAATCCAATGGACCTGGCTTCTAGGCAATATCACCGTCACATTCCTTAACACACTCTCTCTCGCTTCAAAATCACTTCTATCGTCCACTCCAATCTCCACTTCTTTACTCCAGTACTTCCTTTAACTGAACCCTTATCCTGTGGAAATCATGAAACCACTGTGGTCTCTTTCCTTTGTCCATACTGTTTGACTATACTTTCTACTAATCCTTTACTGTTTCTCCATTCTACTCCCCTTAATCTCTTCATTAACCGTCTCTATTTAATCCCTTTCTTCCTCTCGTCCCCCCTGTGCCGCACTTGTTCCTCTACATTTCTCAATCTCGAGTCTACATCCGGAAAATTGTATAGTGCTACCTATATTCTTTTAACAATTGCGAATCCAAATTTGAATTGATTAGCCCAATCTGAAATTGGGTGTGACTTAATGCTAATAAAATTTTTCATCTAAATTGGACCGCGGTTTATTTACTACAATATCTATTATTCATTTAAAGTTATAAAGAATTTGAGTCGATGATATATAGATGGAGACTGGGTAATGATGAAAGTGGTTATGATTATCCTTGGAAGATAGCAGATAGTGACCTAGTCGCTCATAAACAGAAGGTAAGTCTCAACGTTGATCACCCTTTTCTGTTGATACTAATTAGAGAGCTATACACCAAAATGGAATTTCTGTCATATCTGCCCCGACCCATAACAAAAAATCAAAATCAGCCACAGACAGAAGAAAGGAAAATTGATATTTCAAATGCTGAAAAAAGTATCAGTTTGAAAAACTGATGGGGCGATGAGGCTTTGGTATTTTCTGTAAAGCAAAATCAGTGTGTCAAAACTTAATATGAATTCTTTTCCAGACTTATATGCAAATAAAACTACGTGAGAAGCTACTGGAACATTCATCAAAAGCCTCATTAATAGTATTGTAAGTATCCATACTCTCAATTTGGCTAAAAGTGGAACATTATATATTTATACTTGATTTCATGTGTAATTATAACTGATCACGAAGTTTGCAATATCTTGACGTCTGTTAAGCAAAAAAGTATAGACATGTTATTTCAATATTGTCCAGATTTCATCTAAGTTATCTCGTATTTCAGGACTTTACCTGTACCAAGAAAGGTATCCTGTCCAGCAGGGTTATATATGGCATGGTTAGAAATGTTAACAAATAACCTCCCACCAACCTTGTTACTGCGAGGCAATCAACAAAGTGTTTTAACCTATTTCTCTTAATCTAATATCTTGATTAACAATCTTTATGATAACCAAATATCATTGACGTTTAAATGTTGAATAGAATATTTCTATTTTTTATTTCATGTTATTCCTTATTTATACTCATGTGTTTATTTTTAACTTGAGGTAATGCCAATCTATAATTAATTTTTTTAAGTAAATTGTATTCTAGTATATTCCTAATTACAAATATTGTAATAACTTTTTTAAAATCTGAAGTGAGCAAGATTATATTTGTAAGTAAATTTTGTAAATCTTTTAGTAAATTTTGTAAATACTTACTCAATAACTTTAAGCATAGCTGTCAATGATAAAAAAACTACTCACAAAAAACCTCACCTCAAGGTCGACAAATAAATTTATAAAACTCATTCGAGAAACTGTGTCATTTCACTTATCATTGTATTACTTAGTAGCCTTAATAAGTAAATTAGGTCGCTTGTTAATTTGCTAATAACAGTCATCTTATGTATAATCACTTTAAAACTCTGAAGTTTAAATAAATCAGATAGAAACATGTTTTATCGCTGAACACTTTTAACCCAGTACACTGCCACAGTCTGATAACTTTCTCTACGAATAAAACTCGTTGTATATAATAGGTTTTGTGTAATGATATTGTAAATAAATTGGTTTTTTAATCTCATTTCAATTATTTATTAATTCTACACTAATTATTATTATTAAAAACAGTACTAAATGTTGACTTCTTTTGTTTTGCTATGTCCTTTTAAAGGGATTTTCAAAACGTAACTAGCACTAAACCTTTACCCTTTCACTCAAAACAACTCTGATGATTTTGTCTCTATCAAGAGGGATGTTTGCGCAACTCGATGATTATCACACAGGACTACTGCATTTGAGGTGCTCTTGTCTATCACTGTCGTAGATTGACTGATGAACAACACGAACTGTCCTTCGACATATCGTCAGTCATGGACTTCGTTGCAGTTGCGTTTCTAGGAAACATCAAGTGAGGGGGCCAAGCTGGACCCACAAAATTTTCCAAGGCCAGTCTTTTTTCTTGTGTTCCCCAACAGAAAGGTCATTGCTTCGTTGGTGATCTGCAATAGAAATGATTTAAATTCACTGGGAAGTCTCAGTTTTGATTTCGTCGCCGATTCAGAATGTTCCCATATTCAGGTGTCAATAATGTCACGCCGTTCTGACCCGATATCGGCATGCTATTATAATATCTTGTTCGTTTAATACAAGCGACATGATGTAGAAAACTACATAATAACCAGGACCTATCTAATACCTATTTGACTCGGACCTAATTTAGTTTATTGCTTTTTAAGATTATATATAAAACACTTAACATTATCGAGTATGATTTGTAACCTCTTAATCTGCTGATAAATATTTCAAATCAATCACAATTATTAAACCAACATATATTTGTATTAACTAAATTGACTTGCATTTGTTAAGTGTATAAAGACCAAAGTATGTTTATAGGACATTTCACGCGGACAGAGTAATTTGTGGGATAAAAAGGGAGTTTTACGTCCTATTTTTCTGCACTTAATGATGACAAAACATGCAATAAGGTAACTAGGGGAATTACGTACCCCCAAGAACTCGATTGCGAAGAAAAAAATATGTTGAATGATACATACAGCTTCTATCTGGCTATATGAAATTATCATTATAGATTAGATGGGTTACTGACTCTATTGGCCCACATGCACCAAATAGATTCATAATAAGAAGATAAGAATTATTTTAAACCTTAAATACATTTAGTTAATTGTAATTAGAGATAATTCTATTTATTGTATGCACCAACTAACAATTAAGTAATTATATTTATATGTGATGTAATTGAAACGTTATTTTCCATTCGAAACACACACTATACACAATCTATGTATGACAAAAGAGTTTAAAAACTTGGTCACCAAGACAAATGTCATTGTCATTGAAACTCAATGGACTCGTACCTTAGAACTATTGTGAACGTTATCAACAAGTGTTAAATTAAGGATTTCTTTATATTTCCTTTTCTCAGATATAATAAAAAAAAAAAATGCCAGAATTAATGTGATATTAATTTCATTTCTTTATTTTCGCAAATTCGATATGTCATGGATTCAAATTCCTCCTCTGAAAGAAAAGCATATAAAGGGTGCTAGAGAATCCGTGAAATTTGTTTTTAATAAGGTAATGTCACTAAATCCATCTAAATCGACTAAAAAATTGGTCCATTTTGAAACCCTAAGGAGCGACAAATCGAAATTTCCTCTGAGTTACAAATAGAATTAAAAGTTGGTCCAGAGTAACATTAAATTAGCCCATTTGTAAATATATGTAAGATCATTTAATGTGGTGCATACACAATATAGAATTGAATTAAAAGTTAATGTTATTCGAGTAGAATAGAATTATATTAGGTTTAATATTATTTGATGCATACCGGCCAATGACTTTACATCTATATATTTTTTATATTTATAGCAATCACTTTACTTATTTTGAATGTGAAAAGGAATCTGTCAACACTCAGAGTGCGTCTCGCCCTGATGATAATTACAGAGCGATTTGCCCTAAAGCCTTAAAGATCACTTAGAAATGTTTGTGACTCAACCCATTATGATTTTGCTTTAGTTAGTTAAAACAAGTGAAGCTGAAACGTCTCAAGGACGAAAACCAGATATAAAAATTATTGTTTTTCAATAATTACAACATTGACTCTAAATATTAGATGAAAACTGGTACAAAACTTTTTATTATCTGAATAATTGCAGCAGGCCTTCAAATTAGCTACAAACCTGGTTGAATATTGGTGGGGATTACGTGACTATAACGAGTACAGATAAAAACGCCATCTGATGATTAAATGTAGAGCTATCCCGTCTAGTCTCCCATGTTACCCTACTGTGTGTAATAAGGGACATTTTGCAGCACAGAGGCATTAGCCTAATGTTAATCTATTTAATACTGCCAAGGGAAATTTAATTAACACAACCTATACGAGACGGGACCAGCCTGTCCCATCTGAAGGATTAGAATTTGTTTCCATACCAGCTCATTGATCTACACCTATGCTTAGTAAGCCGGGTGTAACAATCTGAAGGTATTGGTTTTACCTGTGATGCCCAATTCAAAGAAGAATAAAAAGAAATATTGAACCTATTAAAGAATTAACACGGTGTAAATATACATAAACAATAGCTTCATTTTAAATACCATTGAAATTATAAAAGCAACTTCATATTTAACTATCCAACATGATTGATTAATACAAAGATAGGAAAAGGAAAATAAAAATGAAACGCACGCTTTTCAACTGTAAAAATCCTTTAGCTTTACCTTGCCAATTTGTTTATTTTTTGAATAACTAATTGATATGTAGTTTTAAACAAATATTAAAGTTTTAAAGTTAAAAAAAAGTCAATTGATATTTATACATTGTGGTAATTATAAAATGATATCGAACTCAACTTTGTGAGTACGATGTGGGTGAAGAGCATTGAACAGTCTGTGTAGGTTGTCAATGTGATTCTCTTTCTAGTAATACGTCCCCCCTTCCCCCCACCTCTATTCAACTCACCCACAAACACACTCTTTCAATATGTACATTCACTCTTTGTAAGGCATGTTACGAACTGTCTATAACGCCTGAGGTAGACTGCTACGCTTCAGTCACAGAGACAGAGCTGTCAAGTATTTTGATATTTCACGAATTTAAAGGTTTAAAATCAACATATATTATCGATCAATTCGTCAGTAAGTATGATTTATTTACATGTATAGTCTTTATTTAAACTGATAACTCAATAATCCACACTTGCAATCAGTATTTTCTTCCAATTGGATCATGAAAGATTTGTGCTTTCTTGAAGAAGCTGGTCAAAACATCTTCCACCTTGACCGCCTTAGATAAGTTTGAAGGTTCCTAAAACAAGTTAAACCAATTGTAGCTGATAACAGTATCATAAAGTTAGGACGATTGTATTGTATTCTACACAGAACAGCATGACATCAAGGTGAACATTTCGTAGTAATGTTTTTAGAAAATTATAGTTTTTAGTGGTTCGACATCCGGTGTATTTGACATCTTAGATTAATAATTATGAAATCCAAACAAGTTGTGTTTTGAATAATATTTTAGATATATCTGTAAGTGAAGAAGTGCTCTGAAGTGGATATAGTGAGCAACGATTCCCCATTTTGAATGATGAGTATCTACAAAAAATTAAGAGTTAAAAATGAACTTGCAAGAGATATTTTAGCAGAATTTCTAGGAACATTTGTCCTTGTGGTGAGTACTAGTGCATTTATTCTTATTTACATGGATGCTGTGTTTTTTGCGGAGCTTGCTACTTCAGAGTATGGCCTGCATTTGGGACAATGCTGCAAAAACATAATTAATCACAGAGCTCACTTGGTACGTTATTTTGTATTCCTTGCCAATTTCGGAGTTAATTTGAAAATACAAAAGACACAGATTTGTGTCGACCATAGAATTCTTTTAATGAAAATTTCAATTTTGAAGAGATGTAAACTTGCATGAGAGGCTTGGAAGTCTAGAGTATGGCAGTACGCATCACTGTATATTTAGAACGTCAAGCCATTATGAACTTAAGTCTTATACCTTGACTGCAATAGCCACCTTTTTGTATCATGGAAGTTCATAAATGCAGCGATTTGGTTCGATTGTATGTTAGCGAAAACAGCCAATCAGAGTCATCCACAGAAAGCCATAATGTATATAGTCTGTCTTTGATTGACTGTATTCGCTGGCGTTCAATCCACAAAAATGGTGGCTATTTCAGTCAAGGCATAAGATGAAGTTCGTAATTTGGAAGCGTCTTTATGTATTCGTATAATTTGTTAGAGTGCTCCGACTAGGTCCTCGTAGCAACCATCTTCCTCAAGCACTGGTAGCATCAGTGGCGGGGCTAGGCTTACGTTTAAATGGGGGGTGAGATATCTGACATTGCCCGAATCTTTAACCTAGTTATGAGATTTTTGCCCAAAAAACTTGCTTTCGGGACTGCAAAAGGGAGGGTGGTGAGTGGGGAGGGGGAGGGGTGTTTACATAAACAATACATGTCACTGGTGCTTTAGGAACATGCGTAACAACATGGTTTGGTCGGATAAGGATCGCAGCTTAAACCCATGTTTGTTCTTTTTTTTCTTTCGTCAAACTGTGAATAAAATTGAGATTTTTAAACATTGGGCGTATCTTTGTATATTTTTGCTGTACTATTAAGAGGGGTGCTTATTGTTTTTTTATTAGTCATTGTCATTATTATCATTATTGATAATTTGGTATATTCATAGATAACTGTGACAGGTTATTGATAAGATACACTTCAATTTGTTCAGTAAAATCACCATTCACTCTTGGTGGGCGTTATAGAGGTTAGGAACAGCAATACTGAAGGTCAAAACATTATCATCATTGTAGCTCTTGATATCAAATGACCATTTACAGTTTTTGGGTTAATTTTTAATGTATGCAAACCATTTCCAAACCAAAATTGTTTAACCAGTCTCTACTGACTATAATATATCAGCACTCGTAAAGATAAAGACAAATTCAAAGATTGCCTACGAAGTTTTTGGGACTCTAGAACAAATTTCTGAGGAAATAATTACTGAGATGTCCCAGTATCCTATTCACTCACGGCCAGGTGTTGACCACATGTTTACTGCGTGATATACTGCAGACTAACAGACAATTTATTATAAAGACCACTAATATCATATATATATCATAATTGTTTATTTTGAAATTATTGAAGTATGAAACGATCATAGTTGAATCAATTTTTAATTGTGAAATGAAACTATACACTTGTCTAAAAACCTTCCTTTAAAACTGAGTGAGACAGTCACGTACACATTTTCCAGGTAAAATAGCGTGAATATGGTCTTCTTGCTTGGCAGACTTTGACTCCGCTAAACAACTTTTAAAATTTTAATGATTAATGGTGATTAATGGGTAATACTGACTGTGTGAAAACTGTATTTTCATTTACGGCATATACACAACTCTGAACCACAAATCCTATCAGATAGTTTTGCTATCATACTATCAATGTAATATGTAATATCAATATAAACCCTCTGGCCGACACCTGATTAAAATTTGAATACTTAGTCATTTTAAGTCAGAAGTACAACACATGTATTTGGATCGCATTCAAAGGCTTATAAATATTCATTTGAATATAAACATTAAAAAAAACGTGAACCTCGAACATATTATCGGTTGGTTTTGCCTTCGCTGACTGTGTGCGTCAATATATACTCATATTACGAGAAAAGATATAACAAGTTTCATGCAAACATGAGTAATCATAAAAAGGACGTTTAAAATATAAAGAAATAGAGAAAAGATGACATGGAAGAAATGTTGTACACAATAACCAAGTTTAAGTAGGTGAATAAGTAAGTGAATACGCTCACTATTTTGGGGTTTGGGTTATGCCAACTTGTTGATTTTTTTGTCAGTAAGAGGTGTGCATTGCATCATTTACGGTGTGAGAGATTTTACCAGATATACTAGAGATATTCTGGGTTCACATTATATTTGCCTGTGCATTATATTCGGAAATATACAATATATACAAAATAACAGCCATGAGATACAACTTACACATGTAAGACATAAATCATGAACTTCCATTCCTTTTTTCTTGCGAATTTTCGTACGGCGCCGCAATGTTGGGTGGGTTTGGGCTCCTAGTCGAGAAAACCGTGTTTGTTTCGCCTGATTCTATTAGAACGACAAAATAGGCCCACCGTGTTCCCTTTCCACAGACCGTAGACCGAATGTAACACTGCAAACCGTGCCCTGTATGTTCAGGTCTTTACAACCGTTCAGGCCAATAGGATTGTATCATCTAAATAAGATTATTTGAACTATAGCGTGGGTTAAAGAATTGAAGAAAGGGCTTTTCATCTTTGGAAGATTACCATTGTCTCATTTTTCTTATAAGAAGGTAATTTTCAAATTTGTAATGGTGAGGTCAAAATGTAGGAACGTCATAACATACCAAAAAAAAAAAAATAAATAAATAAATTGAAGACGAAAAAGGAATTCAGAGTTCCTTGGAATGGCCATTTTGGTGAGTTAATTTGAGTGTTGAATATATGGTAATAGTCTTCAGAAGAACTGGAAATGTACCAAAATCACATAAATCCTTTACAAATACTCCAAACTATTTTACTCACTATTTCTATATATGTATTTTCTATGTATCTATATAGCTTATGTATCTTAAAATGACGAGTCGTTCAAATGCGGATCAACCGGGACACACATGAAGGCTCAGATTTCGTCGGTGAACACTATTACTGATTAACTTTGCTAAGAACAATTCCCCTTTCCGAGACTAAGGTACGATTGGTAGAAAATGGCACATCTGTCCTTTTAAATGCTTGGGACTAAGGAATAATGCTGATTTTCGTAATGTTTATTCACTGGACGATTATTTACTTCATGATAACAACTACTGTTTGGATACTCCAGACATACCGGAAGTTAGATAAGAATACCGGAAGTTAGGAACGATATCTTCAATAACCATTATAAGACAAATGCTATAACTAATAATTATGTCCTAGTCGGTAATTTTTAATAACAATACGGAATATTATTTTTTTATTACTCAAAAATATGGCGATTGCGGTCCTCCACGATTTTGTAATGAAAAATCCGGATTGATTGTACTCGCTCAGAGTACGTCGTTTAGTTTTTTTAATTTTAACATGGTTGAACATTTTTTATGACAGGAATAATAAGTTTAATATGTAATACAAAAAATTGTAATGTAAGATAGAGGTGTGCGATTATTTTGAATGTTGTTAATTGTTCTGTTTGATGTTATATTTTCATAAGCCGTTATTCTTTTTAGTGCAACATTCAATCAATGATTATTTTAAAACATAAAAAGTTGAAATTTTAAAAGGTTATGGGCACAATTCATCGCATGTCTTTCCTCTTATCGCATTAAAGTTTTACTAAATAATTTCACAACCTTAGTTTATTCACGGCTATGAAGATCTCTTTGTTAGGAAATAGATTAATAAATGCACGAAGGTATTAACCAATGAAAAGAAAGGATATAGGTCTTTAACCAATTAAAATTCTTGTCAGTCAACATCTTCATCATTTAAATAGTCAACTATTAATATCTCCCGTGTTATTTCTTTAAACAGAGCTTAGCAGAGATTTCCCTAATTCGGACTTTCTCAAGGAGAATTCATTTCTCTATATCTTTTTAACTTGGTGAACGTTGACCTCGCTCACACAGTAAGTTACAATGGGTATAGTAAAGAAAGTTGCCGACTTTTTTCGAGTTGAAAATCAACTTGCAAAAGATATGTTAGCAGAATTCTATGGAACTTTTGTTTTAGTGGTGAGTAAGGATTAATATTAGTGTTATTCTGTTTTCAGGAGTTTGGGGAATCTATCACTTGTCATTTATCTCTCGCTTTAAAATATTTATGGCATTCAAGAATTCTCTTTTTAATCAGATTTTATAAATTTATATCAATATTTTTATATGTAATTTTATAGAAAACGGTCTGATATTCAGATATTCCACTTCAATATTTCATAATAAAAATTGCAAACAAGAATCGGTAAATGGACTATATCGTAAATTAATTCAGGTGTAATGTTAACCCAGTGTGCCAAAAGTTTAGCAATAGAGTTTTTCAATGCCAAAATATCAAAGATGTTGTTTTCCAAAAGAGTGTTGACCCAATGCAGTCATCGTGTTGTGATACCATGTTTTACCATCGTCAGCCATTTACAATGTAGTAAATTGTACTAGGTAAAAAGTAAAGGACCATAATTGTCACAGTCAATGTCAGTTTTAAAAATTCTTAATGTGCTATGTGACAATTTATTTTATTTTAGAACATCATAATCTGCATTAAGAAAACATAACTTACTGTTTGAGGCAACTGTATAGTATAACTTGTCTCCCATTATAGATCTCAAACTTGTACTATTTTTGGTTTTGACTATCATTAACCAAATAAAAAAAGTTGCTATACTTCTTTCTGATTTAGAATTTTGACTTAAATAGTTTTAGTTTTCACTCCATGTCTCATTTAAATGAAGCAATTGTAGGACTAATGACAATTATCTTGTGATATATTACACTACATTAACATGTGATCTCTTCGAGAGACTAGCATCAGATGGCCTAAAGATGCGAAAATGTATTGTTTCTCCAGAGTAGTATCGTAGTAGAACTTCAGTTGAATAAAGTCCCTGGAATAACATGATGATAATGGCCAATTTATGGTAACCATTAGCTTATGTGTTGGAACACACATTGCGTGAGCATAAGCACATGTAATTCATTATTTGTTTCTGTTCTCTTCTCAGTTAAGGTTTCCACGATCAACGATGGTGCAATGGTACTAGATTTTCTTCTATATCATTAACTTTGCATTCTTCTTTTTCTTGTCGTAAAACAGCTTTGAAAAAAAAACAGGTATTCAACTTTAATAATGATGATTAACCCTGTGTTATCAATAGCACATGACAATTAAATCATTATTTGAGTCAACTGTGAGGTACCTGTCTCATTCTAGTTTAATAAAAATCTGGCCTTGTATTATGAAATGTTCACCATGTTGCATACAAACTTTAAATCACTTCAAGACACGATTTTTCTTTGTTTTAAGTTCGTGATCACTCCGTTAAATTTTATAACGTGAAAATATCTCTTGTTAACAGCTTAAAAAATATAAGTTTTTGGTGAATTCTAATTGTTTTATGTAATGTAATATCATTTTTAGTTCGATTTTTTTTTGTCTTTTTAAAAGGCAATTAAATTATAATCTGAGTTTGAAAAATATTTATGAAAATCTTAATCTTAAGCCTTAGAATACAGCCAATCAAAACCCTCGAATGATGGATATTTGATAAATTCTTTCTGTCAAGGGCTCCGATAGGCTGTATTCGCTAGCGTACAATCCATTTTAACTGCTCCTTTCACAAACTTCCGTGAAACAAGAAATTGGCCATTGCTGTCAAGGTATAAGATGAAGACGTAATACCTTGGCCATCGTAAAGATTGCAACTAAGCTAAACTATCTTTACATAAGAGGTAACAATGACCTTGTCATGCTGCTTACGTCTCAGCCTTCGTTCGGTAAAGAAGGTTGGAGGGGATACCATGGAAAATAAATCATCTTTGGACGAAGAACACCCTCTTCACACTTCCAATTGAAAATCAGAGGAGGAGCAAAGTTCTCGTTGTCGTACATCACACTGACATTGCTTGTCTTTAATGGCCCATTGATGTGAAGAAAAAATAATCTGAATCTTTCACACTTTGTCATTTCAGGCCTCCATCTTATTCGTTTATGTTGTTTTAGTTTTTATCTTAAAACACAGATTGGAATTTGCTTAATAAACTCAAAATATCATGATTGTTGTTTGCAGTGTAAATTGAGAAACGTTTTTCAATAGTTAGTCGTGATAGTAATAAAACCAGAATTTAGGTAGACCCTTGTTAAAATTTACGAGAGGAGATATGATATTATTATGATTATTATAAATACTTGAGGTTTGAACATAAATTGATTATGTATTTATTTTGACATCGAAATATATATTATGATATATAATCAGAGTATAAAACTCCTGTTTGTTTACATTCAAGAATAAACAATTTAAACTACTAACTGGCCATAAATATATGATGGTCTTTAATTGAATTGTTGTGATCCAGAAAAGTTGGTGTAAAACTCCATTAATTTCATTTTAATTGAATTATTAGAAAGTACACCAATAACGTAATTAGCGATGTCCTCTCATTGGGTGTTGTTAAACCCAATCTGAGGGTGGTATCATGTATTCCAGAAAGTTACACGAGGACTTAAATACGAAGTTGTCATTTTCAGTTTCTACCCATTTTCCCGACAATCGTGTGAAATGACTTTCGAAAAATCACGACAATCAACTTAAAATTCAAACTGGATGATGTTCATTTTATTGTTCACTGATGAAGAGTGAAATAAGGCTTTTAAGAAATAAAGTCCTAAGTCATATTTCAAATTATATAAAAAGCTTTCGATGACTAATTTCTTGGGCTTATTAGATCACGAAGATCTCTTTGCTCCAAGTGATTGAATAATTGAATAATTTCTTACTTATACTACAACGTTATTGGTCTATTCTTGTGTATCTATAGTTATAGTTTTCATTTTAGACGCTTTCTTTAAATATCCATATGAATTTCATTTCAATTTCTCTTTACAGTCATTTGCTATTGGTGCCAGTTGTCAGTACGTATTAACCAGACAAACCTTGGCTAGTTTTCTTACTTTGAATTTTGCCAATGGATTGGGTCTAGTGTTTGGTATTTATACTGCTGGTGGTATTTCAGGTGAGTTTTTATGTAGTCAGTCAATGTAAATGCATAGTCAAGGACAGATTTTGGTCAAAGTGCAAAGTTTTATTCTAGTACTTGTGTTTAAGTGTGAAAAAGGTTGTAGCAAATATTTCTCCGAAATGTTTATATATTACACGCTTCTAGCCAGCTGTTTCTTTATCTTGGTGGTAACCAACCAATAATTTCGATCCTTTATTAGCTTGATGTTTTTAGAATTAGATGTTTTAGAATTAGATGTTTTAGAATTAGATGTTCTAACCGGAAACGCCTTCAAAGACATTGAACAACAAGTACTGTAAAAGTATTTCTTTCTTGGTCAACTGAAAAACAAAGTTATTTGAACTTGTTTAACTTTTTACAGGTGCATCACTGAACCCCGCTGCTACAATCGCTTTATGTATGCATGGTTTAATAGAATGGTATAAATGGCCATTTTATACGATAGCAGAATTAGCAGGAGCATTCTTGGCAGCTGCTGTTCAATATGGTGTCAATTATGGTAAGAAAATATAATGTTTCTACAATAAAAACAGCAGTGTAAAGTGCTTTGCTCGGTTTAATTCTTGTGTAGGACGAGATAATTTAGAACCTTATGCTCTCCATTTGCCCAATAAAATGTCGGAGTACCACGATATTTTGAAAAAGACTTAACTAGATTAATGTATCATTCGCCCTTTTTTGGCATTATAATACTTAAAAATAACAATATAGCACAACAGGGGGAATCTATTAATAAGTTCCAGAGTTTAAATTATTTTCTCGTTTTACAATCTTTGTAGATATGTTAAATGCTTATGACGGTGGTAACAGAACAACAGTAGGACCAACGGCAACAGCCTATGTGTTTTCTACTTTCCCAAATCCAGATGTTTCAACTTTAAACTGCTTTTTTGATCAGGTATGTTCATATAAACCACTGGAACGACAGAAATGGATTGATGATAGTATCATGTACATTTGCTAATGTACTTTTGGCAATTTGCTGACATGGCCAGATTTAAAGCAAGAAATATTTCATCCATTCGGTCAATTGAACTATTGTTTCTAATTTGTCTTATCATTGTAGGGAAATTATATGTTTCTTTCTTGTAGGTGTGGGGTACATTTGTTCTTCTCGCATGTACATTCGCAATCGTTGATAAAAGAAACTTTATGCCAATCGACAAAGGGTTACTACCACTATCGTTGGGTTCCATTGTATTTGCAATTGGTACTTGTTGGGCAGGAAATTGTGGGTATGCTCTAAATCCTGCTCGAGATTTAGGACCACGTATTTTCACTGCAATCGCTGGCTGGGGAATCGAACCATTCAGGTAAGTGAAACGAATTTACCAAATCATTGTGGTTCATGATTTTACAAAGAGTATACCATGTAACAGAATTTTTTGTCCAAAACCTTTCCATTTAAGCAGATGAATTTGACGATTTTGCGCCTGAGTATAGAGCCAGAAATCAAGTTTTGGGCCTATTCGACACAACGCTTTGGTATCCTAGCATCTGGTTATTGGTTATCTGAAACCAAACTGATTTCGTCCTTTCTCGGATTCTAAAATAGAACCGGAATGGAGACTGGAAATCAATATTCGTGTAAAATATACGCCAAAGATGGCGAATTTTTATTTAAGCAACCATTTTGAATAGTGCAAAAACTGTTTCTGAACGCTATATTATACAACTGACAAATTTAATACTACACCATGAATAGTGTTACTGCCACTTGGAATTGTTTTCACTTGTACGCAAGTCATAACTCTTTTTAATCCAAAAGCCACAAAACCTTTCAGAGTATGAGCATTTAAGTGCTAAAAATGTTTTATTATGTTTTGTAGTCACAGAAATTATAACTGGTTTTGGGTACCAATAGCTGGCCCATGTGTAGGAGCTATACTCGCCTACTTTGTTTACATGTTGTTTATTGAGTTACATTGGGAACCAGAAGAAGGTGAAGAAAAAGTAGAAACCATCAATGTTGTTAATCATCATGAAAAAATACATAACCATGAAATGCAAGGGGTGAATAATCCTGCTTTCGTTGGATCTGATGGTAAGCATTTTCACTGAACTAAACTTAAATCAATACACCTATTATGCAGAGTCTAGGCATTTTTTTTTATTAATCTTTATCTGTTTAAAGTGTGTTCTCATGATAGTTCACAGAGAGAGTGACATATTAAGTTCCAAAAGGTGAACATGCAACTTTGATCTCTTTTTCTCCTTTAAAATTAAAATAATTGAAGTGTGGACTCTCGGGAAAGGACCCAGGCTAACAACCAAATACGCTGAGATGCAAACATACTGAGCACGTACATGTTAATTGGAAATTGATTTGATTGATTCCTCCTCTTTATGCCATTCTTCCAGAACCGTAGCTACAGAGGGCAAAGGAGGGTGATTTGACTACCAAACAATTCCATCACTACAACTAAACACCATACACCATTGCCACTCTTCATATATTACTTGCCCCTCCATCATCAAGTCTGGCTAAGGGCCTGCATTCTTCCAGTTTTAGTGCATTTTTAAATTTTAAATTTTTCAGAATTTGCATTGAAAAACAGACATTATGAAGTTTCAACAATCGCCACCAAAATGTAAAGTGCCAATGAACTCAACTCTAATACCGCTAGTGGATATTGTTTATTCTGGTACTGGAAATATGTGAATGTGTGACACTACTTTTTGATTTTGGTTGGTACTAATAAATTTTAAGAAGGTTAACGAAATAATGGTAATATTTTACAATCCGATTGCACATGGCGTTGTCTTGTTTTCACTACAGACTCAAGTCAGGATGTTTCTCAATCAGTGTTGGCGATAATAGTTATATAGCAATATCGAATAAACTCGTCAATAATCGTGAATAAAAGCATTTCCATGAAAACGAATCTCTATATTATACAATATGTTAGGTATTAAATCAATTCCTAAATACTAATAATCAGGTAACCTTTTAACATTGTTGATTTGTCATTTCGACTGTTTTTTAATCATTTTAATTATTCATTTATGATTTTAATCATTACATTATAAATAGCATTTTACAACGTAGAGAAGAATAAGTAACATTTTACATTAATGTGTATTTTATTGTTATTCAATTAATTGACTAACACAGTTGTGACTATGTTATTGTACAAACTAGCAGAGTTTTCATATCCTTTCTATTAGAAGTTTATCTGCACAAGTAACCTTGTAATCAGGATTGGTATGTTGCGATGATATTTTGCTGACAATGATTGCTGTCATAACTTTATATCAAAGATGTATATACATGTCATATTAATATATTTTATGTTTTCATAGTTGTATTTATATGTGTAGATATTAATATTAAATGTGTTTATGTGATTCTTGTGCATTATTCAAATTCATTCGCAAATAAACATGTGTAATGGAGAGTTAAAATGTAGACAAAGTATAGTTAGAATAGACAAGGTACGACAAGGGACTTATTTGGGCCACCCCAACCCACCCCCTCAAGGGCCCACTTCCCCACCTGCTTCAGGCATTTTCTTCTGGTGATGGATCTCTCCCATACATGGTATGCTTCAGACATAACACTGGGGTTTGTTGATCTATCCGATCGCCCAGGCTCTTTTTCCCAGGCAGTCATGCTTGAATATGTATTACTAAAACTTATAGTCTTTTTCTTCTAATTCAAGGGAAGTAATCTGTTTTAAATGTTCAATATTGTTTCTTGAGAAAAGTCAATTAACAAATAGATAAATGGTCCAATAAGCACAGCTTGTCGTGTCAAACCCTTTGTCCTGCATCACTGACATGGAAAACCGGATTAAGATTGCGACATCATCTCGACCTACAACTACAACGTCTGATCGGCTTAAGAATGGCGACTGAGAATACACACAATTACCATTGTGACCTACTTCCACTGACGTGGTGCTGTTACAGCTCCATGTGTTAGGCAAGAGTAATGGTTTTACAGTGAGTTGTTTGTCTTCAGGAAGAACAAGAAATTATTACAACTGAATACAAATACAGTATGCATTCGGAGGACAAGACGATAGGTTCCGATTGGTTCGTCAATATTCGGGTCCTTATATGAGTGTCGTGCACACCACACTCGACAACCGGACTGTGGAAGACTTTATCACTGGCAATGATGAAATTAATCCAATACACGAGTCTTGTCCAATTTGAGTGAGAAATTAAAACGCATTTTTGCGCTTAGAAATATTTGTTTATTTAAAGCTATAGAATTTAGATTATTGTGAACAACGACATTCAATTATATTAGTTAGTGCTTGTTATAGAAATTTCTATGAAATCATCGGGGTAAAGTTTTTCAACTCCGTCTGTTGACACGACATAAACAGACCCAAATAATATTGTAGACGATCCTACTAGGATGTTTATAGATTTGAGACGCAGATGTACAGTTTTTTCAGAAATTGTTTACATGAACACTATCATATACCACTCAAAACATAGATAACGACATCATGTTCCGCCTATCTTTGTGCAGAAGTATGCACTCAACATTAACCATGATTGTATTGTGGACTATACAATAGCATGAATTGTGTTTCACAACAGTTAAGGTATTCGGGTCTCTAAAGATGGAAATGTCTACCTTCCAGTTTTCAGCCTATGGTATCCTGGAGAAACTGGTACATTTCTGTATGTAGTCGACCGAGTACATTAACGACAGAATATCTTCAGCGAATTGAAATATAATGCTAAATGTAGGTGTTGTACAGGTTGCTTCCCCTGAATTGTTACATTGCACATGGTTGATGTGTTCTGAACCGGTTCTGTCTGTTCCAATTCTCGCCTAAATTGAGCGGTACAGAATGTCACATTCAAAAGTGTTCCTTTCTCCGCCATTTTGAATTCTGCCTGCACCTACTATTTTTCGGCACACGTGGAATGTGTTCTGAACTCTGTTCCAACTGGTTTTATTGAATGTTCGGTTGATTCCATGAATTCTGAGGATGCAGAATTCACCAATCCAGTGGCCCAGTGTTATGTCTTTCATGCTTAATCTTATTGTCGTGATAGCTTTAGTTGGAGGGCAGTTATTATTCTGAAAACATAGAATTTACAGGACATTGTCCCTTCAATTATTTTTACAGACGGTTTAAGGCGAATTTGACATTAATCACAACTAAAATATAAGACATTACCATTTGACATGTACTTAAAGGTTAATAAAATTTATATCATTTAGAGTCAATGAACATTCCCTATACGTGGCTTATGTAAGAAAGATATTCACATATTCCTGCAGTCAAGACGGTCCAGTCTTATCTCATTTCTTCACTCTTCAAGTCAATTTTAATCACTGGTGTTTTTTTTTCAATGTTCAAGGTTCTTATGATAAGTCAAGATTTCAACAGATAATGCATTGGGCGTCAGATGTAAAGGTGCTGTAATGTTACCAAGTACAAACCGAATTTGTTTGGTGTATTTTGGGGTTATATGATACCTTGGATTTACCTTTGTGTAAAGAGGATCTCCACAACCACATTGTACTTTTGTCTTATGTCATGGTTTCCAAATTTGTCTGTGTATTTAACGTATAGAGGATCTATTATATAGAAAAGATTATTTTGTAAGAAAGTATATAATATAATATATATCTGCTTAGGACATTGGGTATTCTCAGGAATAATGAGCATCATAAAGAAAATAGCACTCAAATTACGAATCAAAAATAAACTTGCTAAAGATGTGTTAGCGGAGTTTTTTGGAACTTTTGTGCTTTGCGTAAGTATTCTTCGGCAATGTTTATATTATTTCTAAAATTTTACTTTTCTCGTCTTCTTCCAATTGGGCCCCAATGGCTGGACGCTTGCTCATTAGCCATGGGTTCGATAGCGTTTGATTTTTCAATCTCTGACATGGACAAGACAATAATTCGAGATCTCGTGCGCAACAGGTTGTGCACGTTAGTGACTCTCGACAGTTGTAAATTTTTAATACTTTGTAACATTTTGCTTGTGATTTGCCTTTTTTTATTTCCAGTCTTTTGCTATTGGTGCCAGTTGTCAGTATGTATTAACCAGACAGAAATTAGCCAGTTTTTTAACATTAAATTTGGCAAATGGTGCTGGATTAGTGTTTGGTGTTTACACCGCAGGTGGCGTATCCGGTAAGTTTGTGGTCGTGGATAGCCACTTATTGTGGTCATGTATTTTGTTATTTGAGTTGCTAAGTACCTTTTAGACTAAACATTTCAATGTTAAAAATTTGTAACATACATTGTATCATTGTATATGCTTGTTAAAGTTTACTGTATGTGAATTGAAACGTTACTTACATTAAAGGATGGAGTAGCATAATAATAGGTTTTTTTCTAAACACTTGTACTAGTAATAGTGCTAGAATTATTTGGTAACTAACGCGACTAAAATTTAATTGAGTCATATGACAGCAGACACTTTTATTTTAAGACATACCGGATCAATGCCAATGAAAGAAGATTGATTCCACCCATGGTCTTGCGTGGATGTCATTGCATTCTTAAATTCTCGCTGTGCTTCCAAACAATGGAGAGATAGATTACATCATTACATGCTGCTGTATATTACTTTAAGGGGCCTCGCTGAATCCAGCCACTACTATCGCACTGTGTCTCCATGGATTAATGGATTGGTATAAATTTCCATTTTATACGATAGCAGAATTAGCAGGAGCATTCTTGGCAGCTGCTGTTCAATATGGTGTCAATTATGGTATGATGATTCTTATTTTACTTGACTCAGAATCAGTTTAAGGAAAAGTCACCTTCTTTTAGTGATGATTAACATCAGTCACTAAGCTGTCACTAATTATTGATGGCCGCATTGTGAGCAATTCGTGCCATTCAACTTGAAAAGCTTGATGCTGCTCTTTCCTAAGACCTTGCTGATGATCTTCTTATGAACCATCTCAATGGATATTTCTACTAATTGATAATAAGACTTGCAATATAAGACTGTGAACGAGCAATATCCTCATAAAAATAATCGAGTATCTGATGGATATTTTCTTTTTTTCAAGATATGTTAAATGCTTATGATGGAGGGAATAGATCCACAGAAGGACCAAATGCAACGGCGGGCATGTTTTCTACTTTCCCAAATCCAGATGTTTCGACTCTAAATTGCCTCTTTGATCAGGTATGTAGATTTGATACATTAGCAGGTTTGTTCGTGAAGGGCATATGTGTGATCAGAGACATCAATGTACATATTTGGGGCGGTGTAATGAAGTTTTATTATACTGATGAAAAGTGCCATAGCTTGCTGAAATCGAAATACATGTACACTGCTCTATTTTATGTTACAGATATGGGCAACATGTCTACTAATAGTGTGTGTATTCGCAGTTATTGATAAAAGAAACTTTATGCCAATCGACAAAGGGTTGCTACCACTATCGTTAGGAACAATTGTGTTCGGTATTGGTTCATGTTGGGCAGGAAATTGTGGATTCCCTCTAAATCCTGCTCGAGATCTAGGACCACGTTTATTTACTGCTATAGCCGGATGGGGAATCGAACCATTTAGGTAAGGTTATCAGAATTAGCGTTGTCTGTACCGCGAGGGTTACGTTAAGGAAAGCTATCTGAGGAAACGAGTAAAAAAAAAGTTTACTTCATTCTAGTTCATTTCAACTGGTTGTACACATTTTCATGATTACAAAATGCATACTTTGTTTCGCATCGTGTCATTGCGATGCACCGATTCACTTACATATGGTGCAGGAACTAAGTTAATTTTTTTTTTTTTTAGAAAGTGCACTATTTGCCAACCGAGAAAATGTATTTACTGTTTTTACCTCTTAATTTACCATATATAATACGTTTTGCTTAACGTTTCTGTTCTGTTATTTTAGTCATAGAAATTATAACTGGTTTTGGGTACCAATAGTTGGTCCCTGCATAGGGGCTTCTCTCGCCTACTTTGTTTATATGTTGTTTATTGAGTTACATTGGGAACCAGAAGAAGGTGAAGAACCAGAAAAGGCAGAAACAATCAATGTTAATAATCATCAGGAAAAAATAAATAATCATGAAATGCAAGGGTTAAATAATCCTGCGTTTGTTAGGTCTGATGGTAAGATATTTATATTTATATAGAAATCGCTCAGCTTTAATCTAATCAGCAAGAGATGCTCTATTCAGCCCTGATATTATTATCGGTCGCAATCGTTTGCCGAGGCAGTTTAGTGGAATCGTAGCTAGATAAATGACCTCTATTATTTTCTTAGTTGGTCGGTCTTTTGACTCTTTTTATATGCCCATACGATGTCGTTGGTCCCTATATGTTTGTTCACATTGAGCACTCAGGAAGGATATTTAGAAATGTGTTTGCTTTCAAGAAGATTTGAACCAACGGCTCCTTGCATTTAAAGTAAAAAAAAGATAAGGATAATAACTTGTAGGACCAGGACCACCTTGTCCTTGGCCAAACCTCCTCTTGGCATTGATCTTTCCCGGATTATCGGTACCCATTTACAGCTAGGTCGACTGGAATTATGCGTGAAGATGATTTATTCAAGGACATCGGACACCGACCGAGATCGGAACCCATAACCAAAATTTGCTCAAATTATTAGTTATTTCATACGACTGACCGACTTGTATTTTTTTCATTCAGAATTTGCATTGAACAACAAACATTATGAAGATAAAGATAAAGAAAACACGTGATAAGTTGCATCCAGACAGAACGTGTATTAAAATTGTAATATGACCCTATTTACGCCTGATTTGTCAGCATGTTAAAAGAATCCGCTACTAAAAGACTTACTGGCCTTTAAAGTTCAGAGTAGTAGAATTTATAAGCATATACTGCAATGTTAGCGACATTGGACATATTTTAGTAGTATTGCGTTGACGAAAAGATTTAAAATAAACCTTTTCTTTTACGTTGAACAGTTGTAACTTTTTATGATAGAAGGACATTTCTAATGTGGGCGTTATATGAAATGGCTTCTGTGTGATTTTAATTATCTTATCATTCATGATATCGTGATATTTGTATTTGTTAAACCATAATTCGACCTTGGAAATTAACCGTTATTCCGCTGTAACTAACCACAACAAATTGTTTAGTAGTCGAAACATGATTCGAGTGTTACCTAATCCGAGGTTAAAATACTAGGAGAAGTTGTACACATATCTATAGTGTTCATAGATTGTTAGACTTTTATTTGAGATACTATTGGTTCGGTTTTATTTAAGTTACCTCCCGTGCAAAATTTGATAAGAAATGTCAGCTATAGCTTTATATAGTAATATAGTTTTGTTGATCGTTATGTCCACTGTTTGTTTAATGATAATGCCTAATCAAGGCAAAGTCAGGTTATTAACTGGGATGGTTCGCTTCTGAAACCGTATGACGAACATTATATCACAAACTACCAAAAGAAACATAACTGAGTGAGACAGGTAATACATGGTTCCTCAAGTGTAACTATAAACACTTTTTATCCAAACAACTGAGAGTGTAAAAGTGGGATGTCGTTTGATACCACAGAGTCAACCCAGACCCCACTGGCGACTCTTTAACCATGAATGTGTTGTTTTCAGGGGATACGACTTTTACTATCTAAATAATGTTTCTCTGTCAGCTGATTTCAATTTCATATATTCGAACTATTCTTTAGAAGAAGAATCTGGCGGAAAGTTCTTTTGCTATTGAACAGTCACTTCACTAATATGATCAGTTTCAATATCTGCTTGTGTGAATATTGGTCATGTGACGAATGTGATGACCGTCTAAACTTCTACTTTGATCACTGGAGAACAGATTTTAATTTTGAACAGTTATATAGATTGCTATAAACTGGGTTCTACGCAAGCCAACAACTGGAGTTTTACAACGGCATCCAGATATTGAATGGTCGTCTCTTCCAGAATTGTGCTTAGTTTCTTTATGAGCTAGTAAATTAACAATAAATCAGTGTTTTGACTCAAAGTGGCATTGAAAAAAATACACGTGTATATATTATTCAGTATATAACATTACATGTATAATGTTGAAAAAAGGGCAGATATATTAATTAGAGCTCAGAGCACCGGTATATATTTGATAACCAATCATTACTGGTTTGTACAACTGTGTAATTAGTAGTCAGGGCTATAAAATTAACATTGTGTTCATACAGTCTATTAAGAATTCTCATAATCATTATTTATTGAAATATGTATACTATGAAATGTATCAGTATATATTATCATGTTACGAACAAATTTAAAAAAAAAAATATATCCCTCTAATATTGCCTATAAAAACGCTAATAGAATCATTGAAGGATGGCTACTAAAATATGTATATCTATTTGTATGTACTTTGAAATTATGGTATTTGTTTCTGTTTGATTATTATAATAAGCATGGAATGATTTACTTGAATGTTATTAGTGACGTTGATAAATTGGATAAAATAGATGTTGTAAAGATATACAAAAAACTCGCAATATGTCAAAATGGCAATCAAAATTATGTCATGTAATATAAGCGGTTTGCGTAACAGTAAAAAACTCGAAAACGTTTTCCACTGGCTTCAAGAATTAAAATACGACATCTACTTTCTCCAAGAAACACACACAATTGAATCAGATTTAAAGGTATGGTTAGAAAAATGGAATATTGTTGAACTGTCACATTCTAGAAATAACTCGACAGGAACAGCTATTCTTAGCAATGTTAGCAATAACCTTAATATAATTGAGTCTTTTAATGATAAAGGGGGTTATTTAACATTCTTATAGTGGAAATTAACGATAAAAAATATCTCTTATTTAACATGTATAGTCCAGTATTAGACAAAGAACAAAAAGGTTATTATGAACGTATAAAGAAAACTCTGGCAGAAATCTGTGAAAGATATGAGGATATATGCATAATTTTAGGTGGAGACTTTAATAATGTACTAAGGACAGAAAGGGAGGTAACTATAAAATAAAAACACATGGAAAATCTGCTATTACAGACATAATGAAATATTTCAATCTATCAGATATATATAGGTGTAAATATCCTGAAAAACAAGAATATACGTGGAGACAAAAACATCCTCGCTTTTTTCAGAAACTTACCAGGATTTTGTTAATAAAGTTAAAATAATTGCATGTCCTTTCAGCGACCACTCGGCTATTTATTTAGAAATTTTACTTGAAAAGATGAAGAGAAGAATATTCAATGCGTCATTAACTAATGACCCGACATATGTCTAATAAAAAGCTCTATAAATCATTGGAAACACGAATTTCACGACAAAACTGATATGAATGGAATCTGGGACTTTTTCAAAACGAAATATACAAATTTTATAAACAATCGTACTCTAAATCTACTCAAGACAGTGATATTGGCAAATTTGAAAAAAATTTCAAATTTGACCTGTTAGAATACAAAATCGATTACTATGAATGCGTGAGTGCAATTAAAAGTTTTAAAAAAGTAAATCGCCGGGAAATGACGGATTGACAATCGAATTCTATGATAAATTTTGGCCCGATATTTACCCATTTGTTTTGAATTTGATAAATTATAGTTTTGAAAATTGCATACTGTCAACTAGTCAACGACAATCACTTATTAAAATAATTCCAAAAATGAATAAAGACAGATATGACTTATCTAATTGGAGACCACTAACCTTAATAAATGTTGACGTGAAAATAATAAGTCTCTCAAACCGTTATTATGTAAACTTATAGGTCCAAATCAAACAGCTTTCGTCCCAGATAGACACATTCAGGGAAACATAAGAATAATTGATGACTGTATACAATTAGCTAGGAAAAGACGTATTGTAGGTTTCTTGATGGCTTTGGATTTTTCTAAAGCATACGACAGTTTAAGTCATAAATTTATGATCCACATTTTGAAAATATTTGGGTTTAGAAAAAATTTCATCAGATGGATTAAAACCTTATACTCAGATATAGCATGTACTGTATTTCATAACGGGCTTACCACACCCAGTTTTCAAATAGAAAAGGGTGTAAGACAGGTTGATCCTATGTCAGGAAATTTATTTACTCTAGTTATTGAAATTCTTATAAATGCGATAAAATCAGATAAAAAAATCGAAGGGATAAAATTTGGTACCGAAATGATCAAGATAATTGTGTTTGCGGACGATATCTCAATTTTAACTAGAAATTTTAAATCCGCAAGACACCTGTTTGAAGTTTTGAAACTCTTTAGACTTATATCAGGTTTGGAAATAAATATGTCAAAATCTGAAGTATGGAACCTAAATAGTGATGAAGAGGATTTAGAAATTAAATTGAAAACTCTTGGTTTAAGAATCTGTAGTAGGTCAATAAAAATATGCGGTATAAATTTTGCAAATGACGAAAATATAGTAAATGAACTTAATTTTGAAACTGGAATCACTGAAATATCTAATATTATTGGGAACTGGAATCATAGAAATATCTAATATTATTGGGAACTGGAATCATAGAAATTTAAGCCTTGGTGGAAAAATTCTAATTATAAAAACCTTTGTTATACCTAATTTGTTATACCCGTCCTTAAGTTTGAAATTACCAAATGAAATTATGAACTCTCTTAACTCTATTATTTATAATTTTCTATGGAACGGAACAGACAAAATAAAAAGAACTAACTTATGTCAAAAATATGACCTAGGGGGAATGGGCATGATAGATATTATGGAAATGAATAAATGTAGAGCGATATTCTGGATTAAAAAAATAGTCAAGTCAGACAATTCACCCTGGAACATTATCTGTAACTTTACATTGAAAGATTTTAACGGTAGTTTACTCCCTTTTTGTAATTATAATAAGAAAATAAACACATCAAGCATATTCTATATTGAATTATTCAGCAATTGGTACGATATGTACACAAAATTTATTGACGTTAATATTCAAATTCAAAACCAAATAATCTGGAATAATATTCATATGATTATAAACAACTCTCCGGTTTTTAATTGGGAACTTTATAACAAGGGATTAATGTTCGTAAGCAATGCAGGTAAATATATTTCCGACCAAAAAAAATTTATACTTTTAAACAGTTTAAAATTAATAGCAAAATCTTTAACTTCAAAGACATAATTGCATGTAGAACAAGTTGTAAATAACAGGATAAGCAATTCAAATCAACTTAATATAATTTTGAAGAGTATTTATTCAAAAGATATAGCTGCTATAAAACCAATGGACATTTATAATATACAGATAGAATCAAAATATATCAAACCAAAAGTTTTTAAGAAATGGGAGAATTACCTCGAGTGTCATTTTGATGACGAAGATATTAAAAATATATTCAAACTTTTAAAGATGTCTATTAACAATATCAGATATCAATGTTTTCAGTATAAATATGTTTATGATATTATATTGACTAACACAAAACTACTAAAAATATCTAAGAAGGAAAGCTCCTTATGTACGTTCTGCTCCTCTCATGTTGAAAGCCTTAATCATCTATTTATATTTTGTTTTTACACCCAAAGAATTTGGAGTTTGGCTATATCTCATCTTAAAACTTTGAACATTGATTTTAACCCTAAAAACGCGGATATTCATCTAGGATTATATAAAGACATTTTTAAAAATGAAAATACTGTGATAAATTTGTCAATAATATTAACAAAATATTTTCTATATAAATGTAAACTAAGAGAGACACAACCCAATTGTAACGAATATATTAATTTTTTGAAACATAGTATAGAAATTGAATGTAAAATAAACAAATTTTAGTTTATATAAAAGTATGTATTTCCTCACATATATTTATAAATATTGAATATTAGTAACATATGTCGTTTTAAAAAATATCTTACTACTGATTACTTAGTATACAAGTACATTATTTTATGAATCATAGGCATAAACACTGAAACTGTTGTGTTATAATTGCCTACCTATCCAACTGCTAGTTAACTGCCAAAGCGGATCAGCAACGTGTTTATTGCATAACATCCTCTGACAATAAAATTTATGCACTTAATTTTAGCCTGATTTAGCCCCTAACGCTTTCACCTGTTTCCCAAATTGAACATTTATCTATGAATGATGACGTCATTTCCCCCGTGAATGACTTTTTAAAGTGGCTACAGAGAGTCTTTTCTTGACCTTGCAGCACCGGTGGTATAAGTGTGTAAACCCGGAAAGGGACTATGAAGAGAAGTAAATGAAAACCATCGATCTGGTATGAGCCTTTGAAAGTTTTCAGATAGCCCTTGTAAGGTAAACCTTATCCATTTGAAGAGATCGCTGGACAAGTGGCGTTCCTTTACATGAGAAACACAGCGTGCCAGTTTAGACAACTGCAATAGTTAAAAAACATGAATTGAGATCATGTAGCGGTTATATCTATAACGGTGAGAACGGATTGATTTGTCACGTGTAAGAAGATATATTTTCATATTAAATTACTGACCTAAAACCCAAGTAGGGCCAATACAGCACAAGTAAGCTCCCTGTATTTCGTAGTAAAGTATCAACTTGCTGAGTGCATAACACATGGGGTGTCTATGGGATGGGGGTATAACACTATCATCCTCCTGGGTCAAGGCTTTTTCATACTTTCTATTGTATCGAAATTCGAACAGTAGGCATCTTTGATGGGACCAATAGACTTATCCGATTTCTTACCTCAAGGCCAAAGGTAATCATTGTCGTACATTTGTTACAAAGTTCTTAAGATGTTTTAAGATTTACATATCTGTAATACATAGCGTCTATATTAACCTAATTTGTTTTATGTATTTGGGTAAAAGCCAGACCCTGCAATCGGCAAGATCTTGCATTGTAAATATTTATCTTTGAAGTGCTTTAGAAGATAGCAGACAAGGTAACATACGCACGTTGAGTAAGAACAACTACAACCATCACCACCATGAATTATTTGGCCTCAAGCATATATATTTCTTCCAGAAATTTGACTTTGTTTTTTGGCGTGGTTATTTTTCACCGGAAATTTGGTATCATTTTATCGAATATTAACCAAATAGGTATGATTTTGTGTGTATTGTTGGGATCTGGAATGAGATCGACTTTGGAAGAACGCCTTTTTATTTATTTATTGCAACCATCAGTTTTTGTCAGAAATCCACAGTATGAGATCCCGGCAAATCACGGGTTTCATAAATTAAATCTGGGATAAGTTCAATTTATGAGTTACTGCCCTCCACATGGCAAATCGATAAGCGGATGCAAATTTCAAATTTATTTAAAAATGCATTTTTTTGCATATGTTTAGCTGCTGAATATTCAATCATCACAAATTCAGAAATTACATATTGATTTTACAATAGAAGAAGAAGAAATGAAAAACTTCATTTTTTTCTCAACGATTATTGTTTCATGGCGTTTTTTATAATGGAATACAAAGATTTTCAATGTCTTGTCTTTGATCATTCTTTGAATTATCTTTAAGTAATATTTAGCAATTACACCAAACTTTCTCAATTCCACAAAAATTGTACCTTCGTATGTTTACTCGCTAAATCAGCATCAACAAATGAGAACAAGAATTTTTCTTGATTTTTTGATACAGGTTTTATCTGGTGGATGAATACAGCTTCGGCAATTTCAGGCCAATCCATCTAGAATCATGCCTTCCTGTGTCCTGAAGTTTTTGTGAGCAATGGATGGACATCCATTTATGTGGGCGTATAAAAAGGTATATGCTATATAAGAAAATGTATGAAACTACTCAATACTCTTTGTGCGCTGTGCAAGAATGAGCATCATAAAGAAAATAGCACTCAAATTACGAGTTAAAAATGAACTTGCCAAAGATGTTTTAGCTGAGTTTTTTGGAACTTTTGTGCTCTGTGTAAGTATTGATATATATTTCTTTTTCAATCGCTTGTTATTTTTCTTAAATAAAATCCGTAAAAAATTTTTCACTTGATAACTTTATGATATCATTATCAATCCGAGTTCGAATAATTTCTTGCTTCAATTTAAGCTGTATCGCATCACAGTTTGCGACTAAAAATACCTCTATAGCGATAGAAATATTTTCTTTGATAAGCCAAAATTGAAATTTATCATGAAGATATGCAAATCAAATAAAATTGTATATTCTTCATAAAAATTCTGCGAAATCTATCGAAGAAACAGCAGCTTGTATTACCTCAAGAAACTAACGTCATTTGCGAGATCAACTGAAACATTTTAAATTGCTACCGAATTTTTATGAAATGCGAATCAAAATTAAACTTGATAAGACAATACTAAAATTTAGTGATGTACATTGCTACTCACATTTTTCAATCTAAATTGAACCCTGGAGAGATCCCAACCAGATTTTTATTTTTTGTACTTAAATAACGTTCAATATTTTTTTGTATTTCCAGTCTTTTGCTATTGGCGCCAGTTGTCAGTATGTATTAACCAGACAGAAATTAGCCAGTTTTTTAACATTAAATTTGGCTAATGGTGTGGGATTAGTGTTTGGTGTTTACACTGCTGGCGGTGTGTCCGGTAAGTTTTATGGTCGTCTTTATTTAGTTATTACAAACCGTGGAAATATGTTTGTATTTCTAGAGTGATACTTGGTATCGGTCGCATTGTGACCTTCAAAACCTATCGATCCTCATCTGATATGTTAAACTTGATCTAGACGTAATACAGAATCAATCATGAAAAAAGTAATCTTATTTTCAAATAGCTGTATATTATTTCCAGGGGCCTCGCTGAATCCAGCCACTACTATTGCACTGTGCCTCCATGGATTAATGGATTGGTATAAATTTCCATTTTATACCATAGCAGAAACAGCTGGAGCTTTTTTTGCAGCTGCTGTTCAATACAGAGTCAATATTGGTATGATGATACTTACTCTTCTCCTTATAGTGTCCTGCTCGGTGTAACGAAATATAAACTTGCTTTAGCAAGTAGGTTATAGGTCCTCCAGTCGATCTGGCTAAATCTGCAAGAAATTGGTGATTCGAGTATAATCTGTACCATCGCTGTATGTATTCGATTTGAGCGCTTCCACGACTGCAAAGTCGCAGTTGGTAATCTGTCATATATATTTACAACATGAGCCTTTCCATACTAATCCGATGGGATGCGGTGAATCTAGTCGACTGGATCTCAATTGACAATTGATTGACAGAAGATCTATTTGCACTACTTTATTAATCAATTTGACCAATATTTTCAAGTATATGTCATTCTTGCGTTTTATCAATGTGCTTATTCATTGATAATTGCAACGCTACGCAGAAGACCAAATGTGCCAGGAAATTTGTCATTTGTTATCTTTTCCTTTTTTCAAGATATGTTGAATGCTTATGATGGGGGAAATCGAAGCACATATGGACCAAATGCAACGGCGGGCATGTTCTCTACTTTCCCAAATCCAGATGTTTCGACTATGAATTGCCTATGGGATCAGGTATGTAGTTGTTTGGATAGATCTGATACTTCATGCCATTTTTTTATTCTTAGTTATAGAAGATACTCTCCTATAGTGAAATGTGCACCACATTGTTGTAAATGTAAAAATAGGATTTAAATTTAGTGACAGTATACTCTGTTTTTCCTTCCTATATCAGTTTAAAAGACAACTAAGAAAAAGAAAAAAAAAGAAAACTACATTCTGTGTATTACGAATCCAACATCTAGTCATCTTAATGTAGGTCCCTATGTATATCAAATGTATCTGTTTGTTTGGGGATTTAATTTCAATATGCACTCATAATTCAATTATGTTAATGCAATGCGATGTTTATGTTTTAGATTTGGTCCACTTTTCTACTAATAGTGTGTGTATTCGCTGTTATCGATAAAAAAAATTTCATGCCCCTTGATAAAGGGTTGCTACCCATATCGTTTGGATCTATTGTCTTCGGTATTGGTGCTTGTTGGGCAGGAAATTGTGGATATCCTTTAAACCCTTCTAGAGACTTGGGACCACGTTTATTTACTGCTATTGCTGGCTGGGGAATTGAACCATTCAGGTAAGGGTTTCGGGGTATTTCATTTGAAATCTGCTCACAAAGAGATAAAAATAATTGTTACCAGGATAACAACTTAGGTTCATAAGGATCCTTTCTACCAGCTGAACATTGGCAGAAGCTATTGTATAATTAGATATCAAATAAGCCACATATTATTGTTCGGTTTTTCCTTTTAGCTACAGAAATTATAACTGGTTTTGGGTTCCAATAGTTGGCCCTTGCATAGGAGCTTCTCTCGCATATTTCGGATACATGCTGTTTATTGAGTTACATTGGGAAGCAGAAGAAGGTGAAGAACCAGAAAAAGTAGAAACCATCAATGTTGTTAATCATCATGAAAAAATACATAACCATGAAATGCAAGGGGTGAATAATCCTGCTTTCCTTAGTTCAGATGGTAAGCATGTTTAGATTATAATAAGCGTTCAACTACGTATCAAGTCCTTCATAGGTTTGACAAACTGCAGACCTCGATTTAAGTTTCATCTTAAGTTATTATTCAGTGCTGACTTTTACCTTCATTTGACATACTGTGATTTTCCGTGTAGACTTATACATTCATTTGACATGATTTTATTATTCAGTGCTGACTTCTACCTTCATTTGACATGCAGTTATTATTCAGTCCTGACTTTTACTTTCATTTGACATGCTGTAATTTTCCGTGCGGACTTCTACCTTCATTCGACATGATTTTATTATTCAGTGCTGACTTCTTCTTTAATTTGACATGATTTTGTTATTCAGTATGGACTTTTTCTTTCATTTGACATGCTGTGATTTTCCGTGCAGACTTATACCTTCATTTGACATGATTTTATTATTCAGAGCTGACTTCTACCTTCATTTAACATGATTTTATTATTCATTATGGACTTTTGTTTTCATTTGACATGTTATTTTTCATTGCGGATTTTTAATTTTTAAAGCTGCTAGATCTACATGAATGTCATATTTGCTATTAATTTTATGACTGATATTGGCTTTTGATTTTTTTCTTCAGAATTTGCAATGAGAAACAGACATCATGACCATGAAGAAAAATATCACGACGTAAAATTGTGATTGGCTGTATCCAGTATATAAAACATTATAATATGACTTACATTTTATTTGTCAGTATGTAATTAATCTAGGCTGAATATTCACAATAGATCTTGAAATAAATCACATTTACAAAGAACAAGGGAAGTAACTCATATTAATTATTTTCCAATACCAAGTTCAATCAAAATCCTTCATTAATTGTGTCTTTTAAAATCTTAAAGAGGTTTTCTATTTGTATTTTCATATTCGTTATATGTATCGGGGACACCGCTAGCATCAATTTGTACCATTCCAATTTCAGACAGATGTCTTCGCGATTAATGACGTCATCAAACGCTAAGTTTTAGAGTTATAACAATCCCTTTCAGTTATTTTTAATATGCTGCTCGCTATACTGATAAGGCTTCATCCCTGGTTGACAGGTAACGTATTCACTAAGTTTCATCAAAATCCGTCAAGAATTGTGCAAAAAATTGTGGTGGGACCGACAGACGGACATGAGTGACGACAATAATGGCCGTATAAAATTAGTTTTACGTTTGCGAAATAAACTCCCATGAAGCAAGGAATCTTCAAGAAATATAATATGACTATTACGCCACAGAATTGGTTATTGGAGTTCATTTTAGGAATGCAGATGATCCAGTTGACAAGGTGAAATTATGCCGTCAGAACTTTTGGGATGTCCATCGTCTCATCCCAGACACAGTACGGAAAACCGGCATAAACTTCCTGAGTTTTAGGATCTGTCCAGTCTTGGATTGCGGAACCAGTACCAATATTACCCTGTAATAAATGAGCAGAAGTCGCGTTAATCTATATCTGAAATGATGAGAAATAAAAATGTTTTCATGCATTCACACATGCAATTCCCCATTTGTAAATTTGTTTGTGACTGATTTTCCTTCCACTTATAATAATATTCGCTCCAGGAATGGAGGACGAGAGGGATTAATTACTATTTTACCATGTAATGTTCTCATTCTACAAAGTCATATTCTTTCAATTGACTTAAGAAGTTCTTATCAAATATAAAGGTCAAGCTCACTGGTCGCCAGCTGTATTGACGTCAGTTATAGATACGAGTGCACTCCTTTGCCGGATAACGTCCCTTCCACAGAATGTAAGATTAATGGATTTAGTTGCAATATAGAGGACGTTGGTTAACAATGAGGATAGTATCAGGCGCATGATGCGTTTGAGCGGTTCGCTTCAGCATTGCTAATTAGACATCCTATCAAGGTGGGCTTGTCAACAACACTCAATTACCTTGAGATCTATTTGGCACGTGGCGACGCCAAATCCAGCACATCTTCACGGTTTGTATCTTCAAAGTCTTACAAATAGTAAGTCTTGCACACTGGATGATGAACTGACAGACTCTTAAAGGTACGAGTTGCGCCCCTTATTTCATCATAGATAAAAAATAATCAGCAGATACAATACTTTCCCTTGAGTTTTTTTTAAAATTTAAAACCCTCCCTTTGGAAAATCTCCAGGGATGCGGGATTTTAAATATAATAAAAAAATTATCTGTCGTGTTTAATTCTATATATATTGGTATATACAGAGTGCAATTATTCTAGTTTTTTTTAAGATAATTTTAGGATAGAATACCTCTTTGTCAACAGCAATAATAACTAATTCAATAAAATCTTTACTTCTTATCATAATTTCTGTTATAACCTTCTTACAGGCATCTTCAGATTTCCAACCCTATAAAGCAATTATCTTCATAAATTCTACCTTAAGTTTCAGATAAACATCAAAGTTGCCACATTTGTATCCTTTTTCCGTTAAATTCTGCTATTTCTGCACTGAAATAAGGTAAGGTTGGTCAGATCAATGCATCCTGCTATCATTAGATGAATGGCAAACAGGGATGCAAATTACAAGTAAAAAGTGCCGTACATAATTTCTATTGTTTTTTCTCGAATGATTCGGGTTTGGATGATGACCATCATATCTAAGAAAGGATTACGGCTTACGAACTGAAAGAAACCTACCATTCTCAAATAACTGACCACTCGATAAGCTGGACAATGTTTGAGTATTAAATCACCATCTCCAGAACAACATGCTGCCCCACCTTCATTATCTATAATATAATATGTCACATACTGTATTCGAAAAATGGCGATATTGCCAGTACACAATATCCGAGTGGCTATTGGAGTGGAGTTTGGATTGTGCAATTGTGGTGAGAATTAAAACAGTCAATGAAGACCTTAATAGAAATTTCAAATTATTACCAACGACTGAGGCATCATAATTATATCCTCTTATGATGGCTAATGAGGTATCTAAAGTATAAAACACAATTCTAGACACAGTATATCTAAGCCTTACCAGCATATAACCCTGCGCCACAGATAGCACTATCACCAACTCGACCAGCTTCCTTACCACCCATTCCACTTGTAGACACACCTGCATAGAAAAATACATCATTAGAAGCTATGACATCAGATTTTGCATCAGTATAAACCCGAGGGTCACGAGCCAGAGAGGTTAGTAAGGGGGCTTAATTTTGAAGGAAACTTTGGAACATGGATTCGTAAATTTAATGAAAAAGTTCAATAATAACATATTGTATTGTACTTATCATATTTAGATTATAATTATAAACTAGAACAATTTTCTGATCGATATACCTCCAATGAGTTGAATGTATGCGAGTGATGGCAACAGAATCGACAGCATGGCTTACCTACTACAAATTCACCATTCAAATAGCAGATAAGACCGAGAGTATCGTGCCCTCTAGGTTTACTATTATTTGGATCTAATTTTTGTATCTGAAATAAAAATTATTGAATTCATTTATCATATCCTGAAAATAATTACCAATGAAGCAGTAGTAAATTGTATGTTGAGTTGGTATATCTAATGGCACAGTGATATCGGGTGTGTGGGAAAGGCGATATGGGTTGTTATGACAGAGGCTTTGCTTTGATAATATTTTGCCTTGAAAATAAGACGGTAATTTCATAAAATGTATTTTTTTACGATAGTTTTCTTACCATCAAATCATGATTTAAATCAAAGCCATGTTTAACAGCGAATTGTTGTGCACCCTGGGCTGTTAAAATACTGTGCGGAGATTTATCCATTACTTTCCTTGCAACTGATATAGGTTTGTTAATCCTGGTAAGAGAAATAATATCTTTTTTACAGCAACGAGTTTTGTGTGTACTTTTATGCTTTTTGATTATTATAATCAAGGCCGTAAATAGCGTAGAGGCAAATGCACAAAACATTTATAAAACACCTTTCGGATTTGTCAAAATTGCATCATGAAACCCTTAGCTTCGGGGGACTGATGTGGCTCAGGTGGCCCTTAGACCTTCGCAAAATTATAATGCGAATTAATTACAGCTCTGTCTACGTACGGATTACAACTTAATTAATGATGTGAAATAGAGGAGAAGTACCCTTGAATTGCTGTGACCGCTCCATAGTCAAGATTTCTACCATGCATTATTGCGGCATCAAGTTCCAGGAAACCATTTTTATTTCTGATTCCACCACACCCAACAAAATATATACCATAATCTGAATTACTCTCTATCTCTATAAAAACAAAATAGTTGTTGACTAGCTCAAAGTATTTGGCGGAGGATGGGGGAGGGGGGGTCTGCATTGACCTACCCAATTTGTCCGGCCTATTGATTGTCCCCCCCCCCCCCCCCCATCCCCCCACTTCTCCAACACACAAACACAGTTCAACAGCATTCACCACCCACCGTGGAACGTGGGAAACTTACAAGCCAATTTCGGTGATCAGAATGTTCCCGGCTCGTATATTATGTGTGTACTGAAATAATCAATACGTTATCCAATTTATTACTTTATTTAATCAGTGAATTATCGGCTTATTATGTAATGAAAATCAATAAGTTGTCGTTTGGAAATGGAAATCGAACAGAACGACATCGCAGTCCTACAAAGAACTTTGCCTGATTATGATCATAATTAATTGACCGTCACCACCGCCAACTCACCCTTAATCTGTACAGAAGGTAAGGAACGGGATAGGTTTATACTTACTGTTTATACCCGTTTCAACCGCATCAATACACACATTATCGCCTTTACTCTTTTGTATAACAGTAGATGCATGTTTAACAGCTTCGAATGAGAATGGCCAAGTACCAACAATTCTGCAAATTTGTTCTTCTTTAGCCATTTTGATAATGTAAAATACCACTAAATAAATTGAAAACATAGATCAATATTTTTGTTGTGCATTTTTATAGTTATGCTGATGGAGTCATCTGATACTTTCAAAGCTTAGAGTGAGCCGGAATATTATGGCTCACTTGGATATATAAATGTTTATCTTGGATATTATGGGTATAACAGTGTTTCTGTGATACTCGTTGTAAATCATTTAGTAGGGAGTCACCTCCCTTAGTTCAGTCAAATCTGGCAAGATGTCTTTTATGTTTTATAAATACCATATTCGCCGATGAATTGATCTGAAATTAAAATACACTAGAATCATACCTAATTGATCATCATAATATTGAATTTATTCGATGTTTGTCTAATGAACAGCAGACAAATAGTTAAGTGAGAATTTAAACATGTCAATGGGCACCTGATAAAATGAGTTACCTCCCTTAACTCATAAAAAAAATTATAATCTAGTGCATTCTGGGCAAGTCCAAGACGGAAATGAAGATTGTTGTCAAATTTATTAACCTGTCAGAACTTCAAGACTTTATTTCCTGCTGATTTTTAACCGAAACGCTATAGTGTTTTATGAATGTCAGAAGAACTGTTTATTTCTACATATTATTAATCAGTGAAAATTAAAAAATGTCGATAAACTTACAGAATTAATTAAACATATGTAAGTATTTTGATTTACTTTTGTTTTCTCTTCTCATGGCCTAGTTTTAGTGAGTGGTGCAGTGGAGTAGTTTTTAATATTTTGTTATATCCGGGTTTTATATTTTCAAAGACGATATTTATTTGGATCCTGTTTGTTTTGTATAAGGAATGGATACTATATATGTATTCTGTTGACATTCTGGGTGTAAGGTAAGGTCTATGATGAATGGACATGTGAATGTAAAAATAAAGCCAAAGGTGGGGGTCTCCAAGTTTGTGACACTGATCACTGTGATTTCTGAATTTGATTTTGTTTGTCATTCATCATGTAGACTATAGACTTGCATGTTGATTATCATTACAATTATGTTATAATGTGGTTGTTGTAGGTAATAATGTTTTGCCTCGTGTCGGTTCGTCCATAATTTGTTTGTGAACACAATAGAGACCACAGTTTTTAACTAATTTTAATATAATTTGGTGTGATCATTTATATTGATGAGATCTTAGACAAATTTGAAATTGACGATCATTCGATGAACTTTTTTTGAGTTATTGCCCTTGACTTAGGAAAAAACGTGTCAAAATTTGTTTGTGAAAATAATAGAGGAGACAGTTTTCATCTGATTTAAGTGAAATTTGGTGTGATCAATTTTAATGATGAGATCTTGGTTGAGTTCAAATTTGACGATCTTTTGTTGAATGGCTTTTGAGTTATTGCCCTTGACTTAAAAAAAAAAAACGTGACAAAATTTATTTGTGAACAGAATAGAGACTACAGTTTTCAACTGATTTAAATGAAAATGATTTGATCATTTATAATGATGAGATCTTGGTCAAGTTCAAAATTGATAGTTTCAATTAACAGTTTCTAAGTTATTGTCATTCACTTAGTAAAAACACATCCTAATTTTTTGTGAACACTATAAAGACTACAGATTTCATCTGATTTTATGAAATTTAGTGGAGCCATCTATTACAATGAAATCTTTGTCAAGTTTGAATTTGACAAATTTTCGATGAAGTGAATTTGAGTTATTGCCTTTGGCTTAGTAAAAACACATCAAAATTTGTTGCTTGTGAACACAATAGAGATGACAGTTTATGTCAGAAGATTTTAATGAAGTTTTGTTTGATTACATCAACAATATCTTGGACAAATTAAATTTTTGGTATGATTTGACATAGATTGGCAACCACCAATTTATCAGGGAAGTGTATGTTGCTAGGCAACCACTTGTTTTGTTAAGTGTTTGGAATGCTTTGTTGGTATTCCATTGGATTAGGGTATAAGTATCAACACAGTATCTTAACATGGAATCCCCCCTCTTTCTGAAACGTTCAAGGTTTAAGCATTCATATTTAAATTTCTAGGTGTCATTAGTGCTTGGTATTGCCACAATACATAATGTATCATATAGACTATAGCCTTGGCTTATACTTTCCTTATACTATACATACATATTGCGATATGTGCATATGCACAAAATATAGCATTTCCATCTCTTTTACGGATGTAATTTTCAGATTATAACGAAATTATTACTAGTAATATAGTATGTAGATTTACTGTTTTCGTCTAGGAATTAAATATTTTATCTGTTGAAATAGTGCGCAATACGTCAATTGTAGACAGATATAGAAATATTAAGACAAAACCTTAAAAAGACATCTTGATACTCTGAGTTTCATGCTACCAGTATGCGATCTTCAGACAACTTTCCTATTTTCAGCCTGCATCTGATGTAAAGTTGTCTGGTATGCCCAGTATTGCCACACAATATGCCGAACATGGCATGTTGTATTGCAATGTATAGATTCATATTGTGTTACAACAATTCACCATTATCACCATTGTCAGTGTTCTTTGTAATTACACAATAAAAATATCTTTTTTAGTTAGACTGAAAAATTTCATACTGTTTGATTGATGGCTTTATCAACAAGTGTATCTAAATTGATGTTCAACAAACATTCATAAGTTGTGCTTTGCATTTGATTGTTTGTTATTTATTGTTATATTTGATATTCATACTGGTAACATCATTTAAAAGCTCATATGATATTTATTGATTTGATGTAGATAGATTAAACACAAGTTAAATATGATGTGATGATACAGCTTTTAAATTTATGTGGTATGATTACAATTTATATATATACAATCTAATATATATTTCAGATCTAAGCCTTTTTTTTTATCAAGTCACATTAATTACTGTCATTTTTTTCATTGGAAATCAACTAATTTACAATGATTTTGATCCGATTCTATTTTTTGAGTTATTGCTTGAATAATTTTTATCCCGTTTTCAATATGACTTGGTAGGTTTATTTAAATTGATGAGATATAGGGTGGTTTCAACTTCTACTTTTCAATTAATGAATTTTGAGTTATTGCTTTTAACCATTTGTACATAGACTATACAATTTGTTGTTACGGAATCTTTTCAGATGACTGCTCTTGTTTAATTTTTTGTTCCAAATCAACAACCCGATATCATTGTGATATATATACAGGTATAACTAAAAATATTGATAAATCAGCTTAAAGTTTTAGTTTATAACATCCTCATTCTATTCTATTTAAAAGTGTTTATAATGTTTCTAATCTCAGCTTGTTTTATATTATAACTATGAGATATCTGTGATATAAATGAGGCTTTTATTTATAGTTTAACATAGTTTCCTATAAATGTTGCGGTCAAAATAACCTTATTACATGTCAAAATATATATAAAGATAATTCAAAACTGAACATTTGCTGTCAATGTGTCTTTATCATATATGGTTAAGAATGCCATTCTTATAGAGTTTTGATTTGAAAAATTTGCATTGGAAGAGTCTATGTAAAAAAAAAATGTATGTTAAAAGTGAATAGATTGCCAATAATAACAGATTGGCTTTAAGGTCAGTTATTATAAAAAGGCACATTGTGATAAAAAGGTAATAGTCAAAGAATAAGGATAAATAACAAATATTGTAAATTGAATAAAATAAATAAACAAAGAGTAAATTATAACAAAAAATTGTGCTCCTCGCTTCGATATGTCGTTCAAATCTTATAAAGAGTAAATTAATAAAGATTAATTAGTGATTAAATAAACGACTTTTGCTATATTCAAGCCTTTATAATTGGACTATAATTAAATTGTTTAAAATAATAACCATCTATTACTGCTGTAGAAATACTAGTTATTCATATTAAAATCATCATCATGACTATAATATAAACAGGATTCTTGATTATTAAAGATGTTTTATAGAGGTTTTTTTAAACTTTTTATGTGAATTGGGGACACTGATAGCATCAATTTGCACCTTTCCAATTTTCAATCAGACAATGGTGGTTCTTGCTATTCCAATAAGCTTAACCCTTCTAGGACATCATTATTGAAAAAGCTGCTTTTGTGAAAGTGACCTCATAAAGCTTAATTTTAGTGGCATTGCAAGACCTACAGATGTTTGACCGAAGATTGGAATGGTGCAAATTGATGCTATCAGTGCTCTTGATACTCATTAAAAATCCCTTTAATATTTACTTGCAGACTTCATATTTGACTGTAAATTTAAAATATGGAATATTGGTCATTAGTGTTAAGTATTTAGTGTGATCAAGGACCTACTAAGTTTGGGTTTATTTTTAGCTTTAGGCTAATTAATCCATCAAACTCTAATTACCAAACTGATTTTAATTTTAGCAAAGTGACAAGGAAAAGATAAAAAAAAATTAAAATTGAAACACATCAGTGATCATCATGGCTAGTGAATGGATTAAGTTAACCATATTGTATGTGCTTTGTTATACTGTGTATTGTGCCACCTTACATACAGAACATAAACGTGGTGTTGATGAAGAAAATGGATTACCACAGGATGTAGAAACTATTGATTTACACATGAAGAATGCTATACCAGATAAAGTAAGTTTTTTTTTTATTTGGGGGAAGTGTTTTCCAGCTTGATAAAAATTGTGACTATATTCTTTCTCCCTTTGTTCAACAATATGTAGGTTTTTCTTAATGTTAGTTTTACTAATATTGTACTATTCTCTGGAGATGAATAGAAATCAAAATGAAGAAATTCTTTTAGAATTTTTTATATTTTTTAAACTATTCTAAAAGATAGGATTTGTATGGAGAAGTGTTTAACGTTTTTTTCTTGAAATTGGTATTTTTGCATTAAATTTGCACTGATCTAAAGGATGGTCAATATATTTTTCATAAATTGTAAAAAACCAAGTTTGAAATAGTAAGGTAAAATAATTGTGAATGATTAAATGATTGATCATGATCGACAGATTGACACAGATTATACTTAGGAAGTATGAATTGATTTCAAGATTGACCTTATTAATCAAACTATAATCTTGATGATTGCAAACAACAAGAATTTATTTTTAGAATATAAAACTGTATGTGTTTTATCGTAATGTTTAGAGAATTCTGCATTTGATCATTTCTTTAAAGTTTTAAAAATTCCGCAAATGCTTTGTTTTGATTTGTCTTTTAGACATTGTTTTATTGTAGGACTTAATACTCTTGTCGTTCCTGTGTTTTTGATCTTAATTCTTTATAATCCAGGAATATAATTCTAGAGATTATCTAGAATTAAAGTATATTGATAAAGTCAGTAATTATTTATTTTATTTTAGGATGATTCTTATATTTGTGCTAGTTATGAAATGCCACAAGATGAAGTATATATAGGTAATATTTCACTTTTTTCAATACAACTGTTCAAATCTTTTGCTGATTTATGCTCAGTACATGTAGCCAATATATCTTAGCTTTTGTCAATGTAATTTACCAAGATACCTAATTCAAATTTTAGCTTTTTGTTGCGCTTTACACCAAGACAAAATTCAATCTTTTACCACTCCAATTCACCATGTGAATATGTTTGTCTTTCTGACTTCTGAGTATCTGGAAAATTTTAGCCTTAAATGTATCTGACCAATATTTTGACTAGTGCATTTCACCTGGCCAATATATTTTATCTTTTACCTTTCAATATCATGATCAGAGCTTTAATCACTACACAGTCAATTTACTGAGTTTGAGAAATTATCAATCAATAATCAAGATCATTATTTTAGCCTTAAATAACTTTGATGATCTCTACCAGTTCATTAATTTGGCCAATGTTTCACCTCTAACAGCCGATAGAACTGGCCAATATTTTAGTCTTAAATAATAAACACTCAAGCCCTTGACCTGTAATTGTGTGATTGTGAAACCAAAGATTCTGTCATATTGCTTTAGTTTGGGTTTTGTTATCCTTTAATTTGTCATTGTTATCATGAAATATGTCTTACATGATATGGTTGATTGGCTAAAAATAACAGGATACAACTTGGGCTGTGGTAGAAAACTTGTTAGATTGTTAGATGGAGAAAATAAGAAACTGAATTGTGAAATTTGAATGAGATTGACAGCCATTAGCTATGTTAACATAGAGATATTATGAATATATATATATAGCTGATATTTTAGACTTGGATTACTATTTATCCATTGACAGCAATACATTTTTAAGAATATATTTTTAAGCCTTTAATTATTAATGGACCTAAACAAATTTGAAAACATTTTTGTAGTAAAATTTGAAGCACTAGCTAATGCAAGTACAGCACATCACATTTTGTTATTTGGTTGTTCTGATGGACCTGCTTTGACTACACCAACATGGTAAGTTAAGAGTATCTTGTTATTGAAGAATATGTATTTGTTGTATAAAGCATTAATAATTAATTAATTAATTTGATATTTAGAGAAATTTGTCTAACATCTAAACTGATGCTAGAGATTTTTTTTTTTCAAATTTTGTCCAGAAAAAGCATCAGGAACATTTGCTACATTTTGAATTTGGAAGTAAATGGTATTAAATAACTGTACATATAATTTATAATATTTCAGGGGTTGTCCACCATTATGTAAAAGTAGAGAACAGATTATGTTTGCTTGGGCCAAAAATGCTCCGCCAACAGTTTTACCAAAAGGTAGTTATAATGATAGCTGTTTTATGTTTGATATCAATTGCGATCTATGAACAATGGCAACTGACTATGTGACAGAAATGACCAGAGTCCACAATACAAGATCATTGTGTATTATTTGTATGGTAATCAATATATCTCTATAGAAGTCAATGTTAGGGAACTATTTTTTAGAAAACTAGCGACAATGTTAATAGTTTTTATTTTGAAAAACTTGATCTTAATCAATGTATACAAATACTTATTACTTGATGGAAATCAGAAATATGACATAGGGTCATTATAACAGACAATATGCATCCACATAGAGAGACATGGGCATATCATAAACTCTTTATAGTCTGTATGTATGAAAATATCTTGACTAATGATCAGTTAGAGTAAAATAGTATAATTGATGTTTTTAGATGTGGGATTTAGAGTTGGTGGAGGTTCTACAATAAGAAATATAGTATTACAGATTCATTATGCTCATTCTTCACCATGTAAGTAAATAAATAATTATAGGCTTATAGTATGAGCTTTAATCCCTGAGTAAGTGCTGATTTTTTTTTAAATCAAGGGTCCCCCCAAACATGGAGTGATGAGGATTAGAGGAGTTTAAGTTCTTTGTTCCAGTTCAGGATGTCACTCTCATGGGCAGATATTACTTATATCATGATATCTTTGATCAGAGTTGCACCATTTTTTAACTATCTTCAAGTCATAGTCTAAACTAGTTTGGGTTTGATTTGGAGGTTTTAATATGAAAAGTGCTTTTGTCACCTGGTATAGGCAGTATTTAGACAACTATAGATCTTAAGTTAAGCAAGTTCTGTAATATACTCTTTGTTATTTATTTTTAGATCCTGATCAATCTGGTATTAGAGTATATGTTACAAGACAGAAGTATGTTGATCTAATTATTTTAACTTGTTTTCACCTCTAATATATAGACCACACTATAAAATTAACATCTTGTGCTTACATTATGTCATTTTCAGATTTTCAATATGTCACTATTCAAATCGAAACTACACTAAATTGGTATCAGTAATAGGAGATCTTTTCTGAGAATTTATGTCACTTATCAATTGACGAGTTTTCTATTCTTTTTTGGGGTTATTTGGGCAGTATTTTGACTCTGATATTGTTTGTTAGTGCCGTTGAAGAAAAATGACCAGATTATGACAAAAAATTTTGGTTTGATGTTGTTGTGACAGGTTTAGAATTTTTTCTTGAATAAGAGGAATCACATATTGGACTGAAAAATGCAAACAAAAGCTGAAAGGGCCATTTATTTACATCATAAGCAAAAAACAATCTTTTGAACCCCTTTTGAATGTATGGTTCCCTTTTTGATTCTATAATGACCATTGTACATGTCATGTTGTACAGATCTGATTGTATTCTGTTTAATCAAGTATAACTATTAATTATAGAATTATTAGAATTCCTTTCTGTATTTTAGACAGAAATATGTAGCTGGTATATTTTTAATGATGTCATATTCTATAACAATACCCCCACATAAATCAGGTCAGTCATTTCATTATTTTATTTATAATCCTAGAATGGTTGTCCAAGGTTGAAAAATATGTTATGTCTTTTATTGAAAGAATTTTGTTTTAGGCTGTACAATATTGAGTAAGAGTATATCACAATATTTCTAACTATGTTGTTTATGCTGATATGATATTTTGCACCATATGGTAGTTAATCTGATAAATTGCCTTTTCCTATATATATCCTACCACAAATATCTAACAAAAACTCTTTCAATAACAGACGCATATGTTGCAGATTTCAAATTACCTGAAAACATTGTGCAGATAATGTTGTTTATTAATATCATGTTAATTCTTATATTTATATTCAGATGCTTCTATTAATACAATTTTCACTGTTTTATATAAGTGGTTATTCTGAGATTGAGTCATTGTTTTGCTTTGAGATGTATTCATACTCCATATAGTCAAGTTACAAACTTCAGTTTAAGGAAAGATAAACACTATAACTGGTTCATTGACAAGGTCAGGGGTGGGGGGAATATAAATAATTTGTAATAACTGCTACATATCAAGATAAGAGTCATGTAGAGGTGCCAGTCTAATTAAAATTATGATGTTCCATTTTTATCAGCTTATATTTTTGACATAACTAGAGACAGGCTTCTTAAACATTCCTCAAAATAATGCTTTGACCTAACCTGGTGAACCCTGCTTTAACCAATGAAATTTAAAGTCAGGGTCATCAGGTTAGGTCAAAATGTTATTTTGAGGAATGGTTAGGAGGCTCGTCCTAAGACCCTGATTACAGTGGCTATATTAAAAATAAAAGCTAATAAAAAAAAGTTTGGTATAATATTAATTTGGCAGTAGAAGTACAAGGCTTATTTATTTCAATTTCTACCATATTAAAGTCTTATTATCACTGTCAAAATTAAAATTAATTTCATTTTAGTTGTACATGCTGATGTCAGTTGTAAATATAACGGAAAAACAGAGATACATCCTTTTGCATACAGAACACATGCTCATGAGCTAGGTAAGCAGTTTTTATGGACTTTGAAATCAAATGTGATGTAGATGCTAATCAAACTTGCTGTAAATTTTTGGGGTTTTGATGAAATTACAGTTATAGAATATATACTGGCACTAGTGTTGAATGTATAGTTTTTTAAGTTGAGCAATTACGCTATGCTGAACATACAATTTATACAAAAAATAAACCAACTTGATACAAAATGCAAAAACACGTTTTTATGATAAAGATATGGAAATATAACCTGCATCAGCTTTTATTCATTAGAAGTACATTTAGCTCACTTGATAACTTTCAAACTAGACAAGAAATTAGATTAAGATAGATTAAGCCTGTATATAATAATATGTATAAATGTCATATCATACTGTTTATCAAAAAACTTTTTGTACTGTGATGATTTGATATACATGTATTAGCTTGTGGTTAAATAAACTATGATTTCATTTACTGGTATTTTTATCAACAACCAGTATTTTGTCAATTTTTGTTTATTAACAATATTTTATTACAAATATATCCATAGTATCAAATTTGAAAAAGATCTGAGTTACTCAGATACTGTAGATAGTTGATAACTTTGAGAGTATAAGATTATAGATATATACCATTATATACCATAGTATCCTTAACTGAATTTCTTGTCTTGTCAGACGAATCGAAAAATATTTACTATGAGTTATTGTCCTTGTTCTTGAATTGTTTGTGGACACGATAGAGAGCTGGTTTCTTGATGGACTTTGACAAAACTTGGTGTGAGTGTTTGTAATCACCCTATATAGCCGTGGCCTCTTGTCTGTTTGTCCGCCTGTCTGTCTGTCTGGAAATATATAACTGTCTTAACACAAAGATTTGCCACTTGCTGCCAATCAAAAGATTAAATTCTATATGGATTAAATGAAACTTGACATGTTAAATTAATCCCATATTTTGACCCTTGATTTACAGTAATATGTCAAAATGAAACAATTTTATTGTAGTTCTACATGACATTTGCAGTTTGTGGAGATGACATGTTGCCTAGGTCTATTGTAGTTCTACATGACATTTGCAGTTTGTGGAGATGACATGTTGCCTAGGTCTTAAAAACTTGAATATGAAGTGAAGCTATTAAACAGGAAATTAGTAACTGGTGTAACATCTGCCTTGAATAAGAATAGATTCAAATTCTAATTTTCTTACATTTGTGTGAGCTCTATTTAAAATGAAGGCCAAATTTGGCGACTTTGTAGTAGACCTACATCAATAACACTGTTGTGTTACTGCAACTATTGATTCAATCATTCAAAAAGATTAAAAATCTTGATGTCTTAGATTTATTAAAGATTTTCATGCATATTTAGAATGAATAATTGAACTAGATAATGATAAATTATAATGTTACATGGTGTATATGGCTGAATGATATTAATATTGATTATTTTAATGTGTGATTGTTTATATATCACATATGGTATTTATATTTAACAGTAAATTGACCATTTAATTAATATTCTAATGGTCTATTAGTTTACCATTATATAATTTCACAGAAAGTAGGTCTGATTTAAAATTATCAGTTAACAATTATATAGTTTTAAAGACCGTTTTTATATGCCCACATGAAAATGTGGACGTTTATTGCAGTTGACTCTGTCCGTCGGTCCGTCAACATTTCTTGTGCACACGATAGAGACTACAGTTTTCAACTGATTCTAATGAAATTTGGTGTAATCATTTATATTGATGAGATCTTGGTTAAGTTTGAATTTGACGATCTTTCGATGAATGGTTTTTGAGTTTTTGCCCTTGACTTAGAAAAAACGTGTCAAAATTTGTTTGTGAACACAATAGAGACTATAATTTTTAACTGATTTTAATGAAATTTGGTGTGATCATTTATATTAATGAGATCTTGGTTAAGTTCGAAGGTGACGATCTTTCGATGAACCGTTTTTGAGTTATTGCCCTTGACTTGACTCAAAAATTGTTTGTGAACACAATGAGACTACAGTTTTCAACTGATTTTAATGAAATTTAGTATGATCATTTATACTGATGAGTTCTTGGTCAAGTTTGAATTTGACTATCTTTCAATGAACGATTTTGAGTTATTGCCATTGATTTAGGAAAAACGTGTCAAAATTTGTTTGTGAACACAATAGAGACAACAGTTTTCTACTGATTTAAACGAAATTTAGTGTGATCATTTATATTGATGAGATCTTGGTCGAATTTGATGTTCTTTCGATGAACGGTCTTTGAGTTATTGCCCTTGACTTAGGAAAAACGTGTCAAAATTTGTTTGTGAACACAATAGAGACTACAGTTTTCAATTGATTTTAATGAAACATGGTTTGATCATGTATATTGATGCGATAATTTGATGTATTTGGGTTATTGATACTGATTTTTTTTAAATTTCTCAGCATAAATAACTGACAGTAAATATATATATCATTGAATTCAAACTATTAAAATTTCTTTAATATGAGAAAATTCATACTTTAATCACTAAAGACTCTTTTATCATTTCTGACAGCTGCCAGTGGGTGTATGTTACCTTACCTGGCAAGCTATCTTGATCTTTAGATGTAGTCTTTATATATTGAGTAGTCCAGAAAAAATGATAACCCTTTTCATTCTTGAAATTTGTTTTAAGTATTATTTGTGAAGTTACCATTTGACAAAGAAATTTTAAAAGTATGGTAATTGTCTAATATGTGAAAATGAGGCCAAAATATTATGGTCTTAGCTTTGATGCTATATTACAAATGAATATATTATAATGAAATGGTGTCCTGTACCACCCGCTATATATTGGATGAGATATTAACTCAAGTATATACCCCTTGAAGGAATATTGAAGATTGTCAATGATATGATTGAAATGATTTTAGGTACTGTAATAACTGGCTATCAATATAATAAAACTTATTATATGATTGGTAAAGGTAATCCACAATGGCCTCAGGTAAGTTTTAAGTAGGTTAATTTTTCACACTAGATATATTTTTTACAGGATATAAATTATAATAATTTACAAATTATAACCTATTTAGATTTCATGTTTTGTATCTATTTTGAATTCTGAAATATCTTTGTAAAATGTTTTTTCATTTGAAGTCTTGACTAAATACACATAACTGTCCTCCATTGTTCAACCTCTGAAATGTTGGAACAGTTTTTATGGAACCTATTATTACAAATAAATGTAGAGCAATTAAGATCGATGATATAAGAATATACATACCAGTAGCAAAATTTAAATAAAAATTTACTTGTATTTATTATGTATATTAGGCATTTTATCCTGTAACAGAAAAAATCACAGTGAAACCAGGAGACAATATGGTATGTCTATATTTATTCAAATCATGTTTATAATATTTGAAATTTAGAATACAGTATGATGCTAGAAGTCTTTTTGGTATAGACATGTCTATTCTAGAAAATCTTTCATGATTTATGATGCCAGGAAGGTCTGTTTTTGTATAGACGTGTCTAGGCTAGGAAAACTTCATGATTTTGCGAGGAAAACTTTCGTGATTTTCATTTGTCATATTTAGTAATGTTGAACCTATTATAACAATTTTGTCAGATCACAGATGATAAAATAATCATCCACAGAACTGATAAAAACAACCATCTTGATTTTGTTGATTAGATTGTAATGGGGACTGATTTGGAGTTTTTCTCTTTTCTTTTATAGTTAGCTAGATGTACATATAATTCTACACAGAGAGACACACCAACATATATAGGGTATGTTATTTATCATTAGAATTGCTTTTCACCTTATAAAAATATTTACCAGTACATAGTGTGTACTGTACTGTACTGAACACTGTGACAGTGTATACATGTATTGATTTTAATCAAATTTGATGTGGATGGAAATATATTCATAAAAGATATCCAAAATATTTTCCTTATCTCGAGAAGAGAGTCACATGAATATGCATTTATACTTTTTGTTAAAGAAAATGCAAAAAGTGGAAACAAAATTGTATCTGATGGAAATTAGATTGATTTAATGTAAACCTACTTTTAGACCAACTGGGAAAGATGAAATGTGTAACTTTTATACCATGTTCTACACGGATGCATCAGTTGAAACAACGTTTGGCCAGTGTGGTGGTTCACAATACCCTGAAATAGTTGACCAGTTACCCGCTGGCTCAGATACCAGACTACCTCCTAATCCTTTATTAGATGAAATGGCAGGTCATCATCACCATCATCCACAGGCACAAACACCTCCATCTACAGGAACAGGTAATAACAATAGACTTCATCAATCCAGACCTTATCCTGGTACAGATTATCCAGACTATCAATTTGATCATCCAGCTAATGTCAATAACCAACGTTATCGTAAAAGATATGGTCAGGACTATTATGATTATGGTGAAAATGATGGTTGGAATAATTATGACACAAATGCAAATGATTTCGATCCAGAAGTTGAAAATGGCAGAAGTCGAAATCGTAACAAACAATTCATGGCAATGAATGATCAAATTAAAGGGTTTTCTCATCTCAAGCCACAAAAAACTAATAGCCCATCAGTTTTACAAACAACTACAACTGTTAAAACAACCACTATCGAAGGTGGGATAGCTTTAAAGGGAGCCTATTCTAAGTTATTAGCCACAACATCTTCTACAAGTAAGTGTCTTGACATCTGTATGTCTTGATGTTGTGGCTTTTTGAATGACAAAGACTAGTTTATATTGTACCTATCTGTATCTTGCCTGTATAGTGTAATCATATCTCTAGATTCTAATATCTTCCCATTTACACTTTGCTTGTTAACTGTGTAAGATCTTTTGTACGTACATGTGTGTTTGTAATCAAAATATGATTTTGAATTTTAAGAACTTAAAGCCATGCACTCATGGTCTTTCAGTTATTTTTAAAATTGATGTACGTATGCATTGACCACAGGAAGAATCCTTGTTATTGAAATGCTGTCAGAGCACAATTTTGAAGTCAGATGAATAACTATTTTCCACCATTCCATTTTAAGATTGCTCTTAAAAATCAATTTACACAATTCCCTCCAACTTTGCAGTAATATTATTGCTTTATAAACTAGAAATTTCAACCAAACAAAATTCAAGTGAAAATAAATCCAAACATGACTTCTATCAGTTTAGTGCATGTTTTTCACCAGTCAAGCATTTAGAATGGTGACATAGCTTATTATTTAGAATGTTGTTTTCTTGATTATAGACATAGAATATTTTTGATATATTTTGATGTTTATTAGGCATGCACAATATCTGTTGTGTTGTTATGATATTTGCTGTTTGCTACAATATCTGTTGTGTTGTTATGATATTTGTTGTTTGCTACAATATCTGTTGTTTTGCTGCAAAGTTTAGATTAAATTTAGTATACATTAGTCAAATTGTAGATATTGTATTGAAAAGCAACTAACTGGTAACTGTTATAGCTCCTGTGTATAAGAATGATCAATAATTTTGAAGATCTGAAAATTTGTACATCTGGGTGTTTTGTCTTATAGATTACTATAAATCTGATTTCAGGAAATATTTCACTTTTCTCTCAATTTCTTTTCTTAAATATCTAAATGCATTGAAGTTTGAAAAGAATAGATAGGATAGATTTGTCTTAATATTTAGTTTTACAGAAACAGTTTAATTGCAGTATCACTTTTCAAAATTCAAATTTAACATCAGTTTACAACACAATCTCACATCAATCATTACTGAAAGTTCATAATGGTTGGGAAATTATGGAAGGCTAAACTTTAATAGTATGTTAATTTTGATTGTAAAGTAAACATATGTCAGGTTTTATTTCTGATAGGTGATACATATTGAAATTGAGCCCTCTTAAAAACAGTTTACATTCTCCAGCTAATAATGAATAAATTTTTACAGGAGTTGCTATAGAAACAGATTTATTTTATGATAAAGAATGGCCAACTGGTCATAGACTAGGACAAGTTAGTGGTGTAGCAACTGGTAAAAATGGAAATGTTTATATCTTTCATCGTGGTTCTAGAAAATGGGAATGGGAGTAAGTAGTTTACAACTCAAAAATTTCTTTATTAGTAGAGGATCAGAAACAATCAGATTCTACATTTTTTAATTTGATTAATCTGATGAAGATGCAGGAAAATTGCATAAGGACATCAGCATTTTTTCAGTCTTTTTTTTAACATGCATAGACTGGAGCAAATGAGGCATTATGTAATTTTCTAACTCTTGTTCTTATGACAGTTGTTACAATGAATGAGAAACATTGGAATTATCTGAAGGTTTGATCTGAAAATATCCATTGAATTATGACTTTGACCTTTGGATTAGTAAGAAAGTGCTTAGACCTTCATTAGCAAGTGTCAAAACTGAAAAACATAATAATGGTATTTGTCCATGGACTGATAGATATATTAGTCAGATAGGTGTTCTGACCATTCTGTTACCCTCTAGTGATGACTTAATTTCAAACACCTTTTAAAGCAACTAACTATGATATTGTTTTTCAGTTCATTTGATGCCTATAATGTATTTACTCTACAAACTGCTACTATACCAGAAAAAACTATATTGGTATATGATAAAGATGGGACACTAATTAGAGCTTTTGGTGAAAATTTGTAAGTTTAATTAGATTTTTTCGATTTATATTTTTGCAATGTGATGCATTTACTTTTTTATGATATCAGGTAGGTTGTAGAATTTCAGGATCAAGCCTTCATTGATATAATCACAAACTCTTACTGTATAAAAATGACATTCAGCCAAGACCATATATCAAACAATTTTCTAATCTTTCTTGAATGGAATTTTTTATGCTCAATCTTCACCTATTGATTTTGCATTGCGAGATTTTAGGTGAAAGAAGTGCAATGTAATTAAACATTATTTCAGATTCTTTATGCCTCATGGATTATCTGTTGATGACAATGATAATATTTGGGTAACAGATGTGGCTTTACATCAGGTATATTTTAAAAGTTTATTTGGACCCATGTTTTTGTAACCACAACCACATAATTTCAACAAAAGTTCTTTTTGATCTCTTAATTTAAAATGACTTTTAAGTACATCCTATTACTAATTTATGGGACAATAAATCTGTTGACTGTGCAACTGAAAGATGGAAAGATAGAGTCTTATGCTGCTGTTCCTATAAAATTTCCCTTATTGCATACTGCGTGGTGTTGTCTGTCCTCATTAGCCGAATTAGATGCAGAAAAGTAGTTTAACGTCATTTCACTTATCTTGTCATCGCATAAGAAAGTCTTGTGTTGACTCTTTAAAAACTTGAAAACAGCAGTTTAAATACGAAACTAGGTTGCATTGAATTTTCTATACAAGATACAAGATATGAAATAAAATATGCTGGGTTTTATTACAGGCTATGAGGTTTCCAGCTGGTAAAGATAAACCTGATTTAATACTAGGTGAAAGATTTAAACCTGAATCAGATGAGAATCATTTCTGTAAACCAACAGATATAGCTATTCTTTCTACTGGTGAATTCTTTATTTCTGATGGGTAAGTTATGATTTTAAAGGGACATTTTTTTACCAATCAAACTTTAGTCTCAGAAATCAGAATTTTTTTAGATTAGCCAATCATTAATAATGTTCACAGCTCACGGTCGAAATTTGGGTCTTCAAATTAATGAATGTCCAGAATTATCCGAGTTATTGTAGAGATTTGTGTAAGAGTTTTGTTGACAAATAATATAATTCATAAGAGCTTATCTTGTGCTACTGACATATGTTTCAGATATGTATCTATATGAGCAGAGAGATTAAATAGCCTATTTAGATGTATTTATTTTCATTATTCCAATTGATGGAAATGCTTAACTGTTTGCAATGCAAAAGATTGTGATAACTGTGCATAAACATTTGAATTTAGTAAAATTACAAAATTCACAGAAGTTTGATCATGGGAGTGGTGGAAATTGATACACAGAAAATGTCTTAGAAACCCTGAAAGTCATTTATGGAAAACATACCAAGTTGAAAATCACAGAGGGATATTTTGGCATGACTGACAATTACAGTCAATTGTATCTATCTATATAATACTTTAATCGACAGTTCCTGATGGAAAACAACACCTTATATTCTAGGTATTGTAATGGTAGAGTGATGAAATTTTCAGCTGATGGAAAGTTTCTGAAACAATTTGGTACACAGGATCTGTTTGCTACAGGTAACATTTAAAAAAATTACTTCTATTTTCCATTATACATAGTTTAGAATTTCTTTGATTGAATTGATTTGTTCCAAAATTTGAAATTGTATGTGTTTTCAGTTGTGTTTTTGTGTTTGTAGATGATGGTGAACCACCAAATGGAGCTTTTGATGTTCCTCATTCTATTACCATAGCTGAAGATAAAAATTTGGTATGTGTAGCTGATAGAGAAAATGGTAGAATACAATGTTTTGATTTTGAAGGAAAATTTAGTCATATTATTAAAGTTAAAGAATTTGGTTCCAGATTGTTTGCTATAGAATATACTCCATTACATGGTATGTATCTTATTTTGTATTATAATTATAGTTACATATACAAGTGATTGCATTACATTTGACATTAATTCAGTTGTAGTGTAATGTGAACTTAATAAAAAAATTACGAATAATCTGTGTTCAGCCTATAAACATTTTTGCATTTGCTTTGATTTTTATCAGTAGTATATAGATTGGTTGATGTTTTCATATGATTTATTTTGGATGGAATACAATTTTATGATTTATTTTAAATGGTATATCATTGTAGGATATATTTTATATGGTATACCATTGTATGATTTATTCTAGATGTTGTGTCATTGTATGATTTATTTTAGATGATGTATCATTGTAGGATATATTTTATATGGTATATCATTGTATGATTTATTCTAGATGTTGTGTCATTGTATGATTTATTTTAGATGATGTATCATTGTAGGATATATTTTATATGGTATATCATTGTATGATTTATTTTAGATGTTGTGTCATGGTATGATTTATTTTAGATGATGTATCATTGTAGGATGTATTTTATATGTTATACCATTGTATGATTTATTTTAGATGTTGTGTCATTGTATGATTTATTTTAGATAGTGTATCATTGTAGGATGTATTTTATATGGTATATCATTGTATGATTTATTTTAGATGTTGTGTCATTGTATGATTTATTTTAGATGATGTATCATTGTAGGATGTATTTTATATGGTATATCATTGTATGATTTATTTTAGATGTTGTGTCATTGTATGGTTTATTTTAGATGATGTATCATTGTAAGATGTATTTTATATGTTATACCATTGTATGATTTATTTTAGATGTTGTGTCATTGTATGATTTATTTTAGATAGTGTATCATTGTAGGATGTATTTTATATGGTATATCATTGTATGATTTATTTTAGATGTTGTGTCATTGTATGATTTATTTTAGATGATGTATCATTGTAGGATGTATTTTAGATGTTGTGTCATGGTATGATTTATTTTAGATGATGTATCATTGTAGGATATATTTTATATGGTATATCATTGTATGATTTATTTTAGATGATGTATCATTGTATGATTTATTCTAGATGTTGTGTCATTGTATGATTTATTTTAGATGTTGTGTCATTGTATGATTTATTTTATATGGTATATCATTGTATGATTTATTTTAGATGATGTATCATTGTAGGATGTATTTTATATGGTATATCATTGTATGATTTATTTTAGATGATGTATCATTGTAGGATATATTTTATATGGTATATCATTGTATGATTTATTTTAGATGTTGTGTCATTGTATGATTTATTTTAGATAGTGTATCATTGTATGATTTATTTTAGATGTTGTATCATTGTATGATTTATTTTAGATTGTGTATCATTGTAGGATTTATTTTAGATGGTATATTAATGTATGTTTTATTGTAGATGGTATGTTATTTGCTGTAAATGGTCCAGTATATGATGGAGTGGAGACAGTGGTTCAAGGTTTTACTGTTGATATTAAAACAGGAAAACTTTTACAATCTTGGAATATACCTCAGGTACTTACATTTATTACAATTTCAAGGGAAGATTGTCTCTGAAGCAAAGTTGAGCCTACATTTAACCTCTGGTATCAGTTTGGAAATTTTATTTATCTGATTTATAAAATCATCAGCCTAACACTTACTCATTAGATGAGAGAAAACTGAAATATACTTAATATATAAATGAAACAATTGATTAATTCTAGGGGTTAAATAGTCCACATGATGTAGCAGTGAATTCAGTGGATCATTCTGTATATGTGGCAGAATTAGATAAAGTAGTTTGGAAGTTTATTATGTCACATAAGGCAGGCAGTGGTAAGTTTACTCTTTAATTTTGAAAACCTGAACCTTTCATTTTGAGCAGATTGTATAGACATATTATTCTAAATACTAGTAATTGTAGACTGAAAGTGAAGTTGCACCTATTTTCCAATTTAATAGAATATTGTTCATTGAAAAATTCTTTCTTTTGTCCAATGGAAGATGGTCATGGTAAGATTTTCTAGGCCGATAACTACCCATGACCAAACTTATATGGTCCATAATGATTTAAAACTTACTCTTCTTAAACTTTATTTAAAATATCTTGTTACAGTACCAGAGAAAAAAGACTATCCTGCCCTTGCTGAAACAAAAACTAATAATCAGAATGGTGATAAACCAAGTAGTTCTACACCATCAATAGTCATTGGTGTCTTATTAGTTGTACCAGTAATATTAGTTATAGTTATAACTATATTAGTTAGAATGTATCATACAGGTTAGTTGTAGATTACGTTATTAAAGTCAATAATTATTGGTGTCTTATTAGTTACATCGATAATATTAGTTATAGTTATAACTGTATTAGTTAAAATGTATCATACAGGTTAGTTGTAGATTACCTCATTATTTTCATCATTGGGTAAGAAGTTCCATTTTATCATGTTAGATGCTTTCCTTTCATTTAATTCCTTTCTTGCTTTTAGATACCCTATTCCTTAGTCTAATATTTAGCCATCTTTTTATAATTTAGATTGAATTATTTGTGCCATGCAGGTTGTAGGACTGACGTGGAAAAAATGGGGAAATAACCCTAGCAAATTATCCAAGTGGCTATCTAGAGGCATATTCCCTGTCAGCTTCCTCGACTTAGGTAGAAACAGTAATCCTTCATCAGCAATTGTCTATAATGTTTTAGGAAAATTAAAGTCATGTAAAAAATGCAGGCATCAAGAATCAGGTTGAGAGAGGTAAAATTTACGGGACAGGGTTTCACTAAAATGATTTTTTGGCTGGAAGATATCAGAAAGCTATAACTTTATATTTAAATGAAAAAAGAAATATTTCTTTCACACTTTACAAAGTATTCAATATATAATAGGTAAAAGAACTTACAAAGTTAATGGTTGATATAGGTAGGAATAAACTGGTGTTTTTGGCATCTAATCACACTGGAATTCCAACAAATTGAGCTAAAATTACACTTAATCAAACGGTTCATTCAACAAAGAGAACTGTATTTTGTCATGATTAGTTGTTATTGTGATGTGATTTGATGCTAGTCAGTATTCACTTTAGAGAGATGGTTTTACATTATTACTTATTATTTTTTTTTCCCAACTATACACATGAATGTATCAAATCAATACATAGTTCACAGGTTGATGTGAATTAATTCCTTGTGTGAATCGTGAAATTGATTTATAAATATTTGCTTTCTCAATCGGTAGAGTTCAATTTGGTATTACTTTTCAGTATGAGCATTGCTTATCAGAGATTTCAAAAAAGTTCAGTGGAAGACGGAACAATAGTCTTAACTTCTTAACTATTCCAAAACCATTTTAACAGTCTTAATTTCTAGACCATAATAAACAATCTAAATTTCTAGACCATTATTAGCAATTTTGAATTCCCAGAACATTACTAAAAATCTAAATTATTAGACCTTTGTTAACAATCTAAATTTCTAGACCATTGTTAACAAACTTAATTTCTAGACCATTACTAAAAATCTTAATTCTATGCCATTTATTTTTTTATGCCATTATTAACAATCTTAATTTCTAGACTGGTCAATAATTAACAATTTAAATCCCGGACCATTATTAACAATCTTAATTTCAACCATTATCAACAATCTTAATTTTCTGGTCCTTTATTAGCAATTTTTAAGTTTTAGACCATAATTAACAATGTGGATAGCTAGACCATTATTAACAAACTTAATTTCTAGCAATTTAAATTCCTACACCATTAATAACAATCTAAATTTTAAGAAAATTATGAACAATCTTAATTTCAAGACCATTATTAACAATTTCATTTTTAAACTATTATTAATCTTAATTTCTAGGCCATTATGAAAAATCTTAATTACTGGACTAGACAATAATTAACAATCTTAAATTCTATACCATTATTAACAATCTTAATTTCTAGCAATTTAAATTCATACACCATTAATAACAATCTAAATTTTAAGAAAATTATGAACAACCTTAATTTCAAGACCATTATTAACAATTTCATTTTTAAACTATTATTAATCTTAATTTCTAGGCCATTATGAAAAATCTTAATTACTGGACTAGACAATAATTAACAATCTTAAATTATATACCATTATTAACAATCTTAATTTCTAGCAATTTAAATTCCTACACCATTAATAACAATCTAAATTTTAAGAAAATTATGAACAATCTTAATTTCAAGACCATTATTAACAATTTCATTTTTAAGCTATTATTAATCTTAATTTCTAGGCCATTATGAAAAATCTTAATTACTGGACTAGACAATAATTAACAATCTTAAATTCTATACCATTATTAACAATCTTAATTTCTAGCAATTTAAATTCCTACACCATTAATAACAATCTAAATTTTAAGAAAATTATGAACAATCTTAATTTCAAGACCATTATTAACAATTTCATTTTTAAGCTATTATTAATCTTAATTTCTAGGCCATTATGAAAAATCTTAATTACTGGACTAGACAATAATA